GTGCCTGGAATTACTCGGCGTTGCAGTATTAGGGAAAAGTCTGTAGCGGAATATAGTAACGCCCTTTAAATCGCGGCGGAAAGCAACACCATCTGCCGAACTTTATCCAAGCCTAAGCGTCCAAGGGCTCAAAGTTCGGTGTAAGCATAATGTGGAGGCCAAATGATGATTTCATGCGTTGCTATATGCGTTCTAATGACTGAGACTGCTGATAGTGCTTCCTCCCTCCTTGGTACAATACCGTACTCATCTCCCTCAGCGCTTCGATAGCGCTTCGATGAGACGTTCAGCTATCCTGGCTGAATTCCCGTGCTCGATTGGATGGTCGTACATGTTCTTGGTGGGCTTAGGACATGCCAAGCTGCTTCATCTTCCGCGCGACCACATTCGGCAGCGGGCAGCTCGGGCTCTTGCTCTCGATGGGCTTGCCCTCGCTCTCGAGCCGCTTGTACATGTCCGAACAACACTGGTACAGCTCCTTCAGCGCCTTCTCGCATTTGGCCTCGGAGTAGTTGTTCCGCGTGAGGCAGGTCTGGATCGCGCAGGCTGCAAATGTCAGCCGTGCCGTCTCTCGCAGCTTCCGCCCCTCACCCCTGCTCTTTCCCCCTTGCCTGCGATTCAGGAATGAGGAAGAAGGGGGAGAAGTTGGGGGCAGACAGACTCACCCTCCGGGTGACACTCTTGATCGGGCGAGGACGACATGGTGTGGACGATGGTGAGAGCTCGGCGCCGGAGACGGCTCTATGTCAGGTCGAGCCCGACGTCATCTACGACGGGCGCACGTGACCTGTCAGCCTCATCGCTCACTGCGGACATGGATGCAGTGTTGACGTCCAGCGCGCAGCGCATGCAACGCATTCAAGCGTGCTACGTGCACCGAAGGTGACTACCTCCGCTTTGCTGTGACTGGTGACGGGGCGCAGAACGATCTGCATCCGTGCAGCTTCTAGCGATCTAGCGTTTTGGGTGGCGACAGATATCTAACCCATCGCTTCTGTTCGACTCGATTTCGTCGCCCATGAGTCGTAAGCGTCCACCGAGGCTATGGTACACATGTTACATGGCTGGGTATAAGATTGATGCTTGGTATTATGTTGCTTGGCGTGCTCGCCATTCCTCGAATCTCACTCCGTCTCACCACTCGCGGGTCTCGGCATGCGGACTCTCATCTGCTTGCTTGCGCGCTTTTCTTCGACTGCTGCACTCGCAGACTAGAAATTCAGCGGGTGCAGCGTCCCCAGCCCATTGTCGAGGGCAATCTGCTGCAATCCCTGCACCGTGTCGATACGCTCTCCGGCGACGGAACCGCCCCACCTTCGCCCGAGGACGCGGATCGGGTGCTCGTCGAGCGGCGCCATGCCTTGCGTTGGGAGCACGAGCGCGAGCGAGTTCGGCACCGGCGTGTCGGTGTCGAAGCGCCACTCGGTTGCTTCCAGATGGTGATCGATCACCTGGCGGAAGTCGTCGAGCGAGAGGTCAGGGGCTGTTGTCAGCTCTGCACGTTAAGTCGGAAGCTGCAACGCAGAACCACTTGGAGTCGAGTACTCACCGTCCTTCTCTAGCCCGATCGCTGGACCCCAGCGCAAAGCCCGCGCCTCCTCCTCGCTGACTTCCAGAATGCCCGCAAGCTCATCGAGCCGCTCGGCCCAGCCCTCTGGGTCCTCGTCGGGGTCGAAGGCGGCCGAGCTCTCGCTATCGGGGTACGTCGTGTCGCCCTCCTGCTCTTCCTCCTCCTCCGGCTGGGCTTCTTGCGTCTCGTCCGCCTGCTCGTACGACTCGTCAACAGCCGCTGGTACTCCCTCACTTCCCAGCGTCAAGTTTGCCACATTCCCGCCCGCAGCTCCGGCGAGGTAGCTCTCATCAGCGAGGGTGAGGTCGCTGCTGTCGGCGGTCGTATCTAACGCAGGGCGGTTGCGGCGGAGCTGGAGGAAGCGACCAGTGCGCCGAATCGCGCCTGGTGTTGCAGGTACTGGGCCGAAGAAGGAGTCGTCCCGCGCGCCGGTGCCGTCCATTGTTTTTGGTCGTTGTTATTGTTGTTGTTGTGAACGACCGTGCAGATGCAGACTCACAAAGTGGAGGTCTCCTCCCTCCACTGGAGCGAGGAAGGCCGGGATCGGAGAGCGAAGGCATGCAGAGGGAAGACATTCGGGAATTGATCCCGCTGTTATTGAATCTGGGCTGATACGGGAATTGGCAATCGCCCTGGGATGGCGCTGGGGCTTGGGTGCTTGGGACGACGTTAGCCGATCGACGAGGTCCATAGCGATGCCGTGCCTCAGCTCTGACGCCGCCCCGCGCCCCCCCGCTGCCGCCCGCCGCCCGTACACCCCGAAGGTGGCCAACGTTCCATCCTCAGGCCCCCGTCTCCATCCCATCATCGGCACTCGCGATTCCCGTCTTCTTCAACACTCTCCCTCTCCGTCGTTATCCCTCTCACCACCAGCTATGATCACACGGATAACCCTCTAGAGGGCTCACATCAAGCATACCGACAACTCAGCGACTACCGAACACTGCACCATCAACTCGCAATCTCATCTTATCATCCCCATCGACCCTACCACTATCACCCTGCCCCAACTCAGTCACGCCCGTGCACACGTTCCTCACGCCTGTGGCCACCCATTCACTCTCACCACACCTTAACTGCGTCAACAGCAGCCGCCCATACTCTCTCAACTGCACAATCAATACCAACTAAGCCGTCAAGATGAAGTATCTTGACTATCCCGTCCTCACACACCTCTCAGAGGTGCTGTCCGACAATCCGTCCCCGGAGGCACGGATCAACGTGCGCGTCGAGGCGTACTCGATCAAGCCCGTCGCCAAGGAGCGCAAGATGTTCAAGGAGATGGAGGAAGCCTACGTCTCCGGCCAGGAGGAGATGGAAGAGTGAGGCCAGCCTACCGGGGGACCTTCCTCGCGATCATTCGCGCCCCCATTACCCAGTAGTCTGATGCTAACACGTGCTACCAGGATGTCCTTCTCCCCAGAGATGAAGGAAGCCGGTCTGTCTTCCTGCTTTGGAAGACTCGACGTCAAGGAGTCCCGGTAAGTCACCAAGCTCGCCTTCGCCATCACACCGGCCGCGCCCGACGCCTCAGCGACTGACTCGAACCTTAGAAAGGTGCACTTCCTCCTCGTGTCGACCCTGAATACGGCCTTTCCCGACAACGACTTCTCGGGCCTCCGTCCAGACCACTTCATGCGCGAGATCTCCGCGGGCCAGGTCCTCTCGCATCTCTCGAACAACCTGCTTGGCATCAACGCTGTCGACTTGTCACCGTGAGTTATCTGCGGAGCCCCCGTCATGGTTCAGGAACTGACATTGTTCCTTCGCACCTTCGCACCCCACGAAACCTATATCGATAATGAACCCTTGACCACCTCCGTGCCCTTGGATTCCCTACACAATAGGCTGTCCGCCGCATACGCCAATGCGCCGCTGCCGCAACAAAGTTCGCCCCCCGGTTCGGCGGCGCCCCTCTCGTCATCCGCCAGTGCGGCCGGGAGCTCGCCTCCCTTATCTGGTGACATCGGCAACCCGAGCTTCTACCGCCTGTTGAACGACATTCTGCCTCTGCAGGATTGCGAGGTCTACTCGTGGTTCCCTGAGCCCGAATATGATCCCCACGTCGATCCCGAGGAGAACGAGGAGGCCAGCGAGTATGATGACGAGGACTCGGATGAGATGATTGGAAACATGGATATGGACATCGACATTGACGGCGAGGGCGCGTACGTTAGCTGGGGCCAGGCTGGCATGGATCTTGAGCTCGACGGTCCTTCCGGCTCGTCCGGACAGCGTCCGAGATCGCTGTCGCGCAACGCTATCGATGACCTCGAGATGGGCAGCCCCTATTTGAGCGCGCAGGACTTCCCCGCCGTGCGCAAAGTAGGCGGCCTCCTTTGGAGTGCTAACTACTTCTTTTATAGCAAGTGAGTGCTCTCAGCTTCTTAATCGTGACTCGGAGCTGACTTGCAGGCGCCAAAAACGTGTGCTGTTCATCACGACGTGGGCCCGCAAACGACCCTCGCACGAGGGTGCGCCGATCGACAAGACGCTGGCGGGTAGCCTGCCGCTCCCGATAAGCGCTTCTCTGACGCCGCCGACCGCTGGCTTCGCGGGCGGACACGGATTCACGCCGCGCTCGCCGAAGACGAAACGGCACCATAACCTCAGCAACGCGCGCCCGTCGCATCGTCGTGCCAAGATGGCCAAGCTCGCGCAGGGCAAGACGCTGCAGACGTCCACGATCCCCATCCGTGGTCTTGGTCTCTCGACCTCTACCCCCGCGCCGACAACCCCTACTGCCGCTCGCATGGCTGCCAGCGCTCCGGCCACGAGCGCGAGTGGAATACTCTCGCCCGCCTCGGTCGCGAGTCCCGGCGCCATGACAAGGATGAGCGGCTCACTGCGCCCTCGCCAGACCACGGCCCGCATGCTCATCAACGCCGCCCAGCAGCAGCAACAGCACCAGCAGAAACAGCCCGACCGCGAACGCGACCGTACCCGCAAAGAGCGCTCTGGCTCACTCACGCCCGGCCCGCCCTTCGTCCCCGTCGCCGAAGGCGGGAAGCGCGTCAAGGTGTAGCATGCCCACGCCGCTGCGCCTAGGAGTAGTATCCTGTGCATACCCAACAATGAATCGAAGAAACAACCAAGCAACAACTGCGACGACGATCATCAACTGACAGAACCGGTACGGCTCGTACGGGGACCTTTGTATCATGACTATGGATTTGTTCATTGTGACGACGGGGCGAGCGAAGCGAGCCAGGTGTATTCGTCAGCAGGGTTCTCAGGCGTGGACAAGTCGACTTATCGCGACTGGGCGGGGACGTGCACTGAGAAGTCGGCTACAAGGACACACCCCTTGTGCATGACGTACAAGCCTCCAATAGGACTCCCAGGGTGGCCAAATGAACACTCTACCCGTTCAATGCATGCATCGGAATTTCGGAATGTGGGCAAGGGCATATGCACAATGCATGGGCCAAAAAGAGTTTCAATTCTTTACAGGTATTGAACTCTTTCGCTCTATGAGCTTTATAAGAGATTGAATCTCTGGAGGAACTAAAGCCTCTGAGGAACTAAAGCCTCGTTGGGGATTCGAACCCTCAACCGTTAGTAAAATAATGTCAGCATTGTTTAAACCGTTAGGTTAGGGGTTGTCAGCTGCAAGGGCTGCATTCGGGCGAGGCACCCCCTGTCAGGAACCACGTTCAGGAACCGGAACCAAATTTCGACAGCTCGCAACAGGCTGAGGCTCATGAGAACGGCATCCTCTCCCCGTTGAGCTCGTTGAGGGAACACCCAGTCTTGGCCAGGTAGCTGGTCAAGAGGCGTATTAGGAGGCATGAAAACAGTCACATGTGAAAAGCTACAGAAATAGTACAGATAGCCGACGAAGCTCCAGCTCCATCAGCCTGGGTATTTCACAAGTCATAATGACCTAATCACAGGTCGAGTATGGAGACGTAGGGCCTGACGCGACGGCGAGCGGGTGCATTGGGCCAGTGCTGAGCCGCGAGTTCGGCATGGGGCGCGGGCTCGTCCTTCTCCTCCTCGTTCGCAATGAGCGGAATTGTAACGACAAAGACGTCCTCGGCCGGCTCGGCCTGACCGCCCTCGGGCGTGTTGGGGAAGGAGGGAGTGCGTGTTGCGTTCCCGCTTGATGGGGGCGAGCGGGGCGTGAGTGCCGGCGCGGGCGGAAGGAGAGGCACAGACGGCAAAGAGGGGAGAGCGCGGAAGGCGCCGTCGGGGTCGATCTCGGACGCGGGCGACGAGGGCGATGGCGACGAGGGGAGGGAAGAGTCGTCCCGCTCCTGACTGCTGTCGCTGGTCGCCTCGGGGCCCTCGGGCGGCACGACGGTCACATCGCTCAGGCGCCGGGCGGAGCCCTGCGTAGCGGCCGTCGAGCGGGGTGCCGGCGCCCAGTCACCCCAGGCTGAGAGCTCCGCCTGACGACTTGCAAGGCGGCGGTACGAACGCCCAATATCGAGCTGGCGGCTGTCCGCCTCGCCGAGCCGGGTCACCACACCGGAGGTGTCAGGGAGCCTTGCGTCGATCTCGGCAAGCACCTCGCGCTCGCGGGCGACGAGTGCTTCGAGGCGGCGGCGAATGTCCTCGCTGTGTCGGCCAGAGGCGAGCATCTGCTCCAGGTTCGCCAGCACGCGGCGCATGACAGGCCGCTCGTTGCCTTGTTGTCCCAACTCAAGCTCGCGCGTCAAGGCGTGCGTGCGCGCGCGAGACTGCTCAATGATGCTGATCGTGCTGCTCGTCGCGTGCAGCTCAGGGTCGCGCTCAGTCAGGTTTCGCTCAACGCGGTCGCGCTCCGACGGAGCAAGGTCCCAAGTCCCGCTTTCGTTGCGCAGAGCTTGAAGGACTTGCGCGCGGCGGAGAGCGCTGATGGCGGCGGCTTGCTGCTGGCGCGTAGCCTCCTCGTTTGCCTCGCGGGAGCTGAAGAGGGATGGACGGTGCTCGCGCTGCAGCTCGCGAAGGTGGCGGAGGCGACGGCGGGTGAGCTGATCGGGACCCTGAGTCTCGGTGTCCTCATCGTCAGCGCGGGAAGAAGGGCGGAGGCGGGAGCGCCGCGGTTGCGTGATCTCCTGCTGGCGCTGGACGATCTCGTTGTGAATGTGTGGCGGAAGGCGGAGGCGGGACGTCTGCTGCTGGTCAAAGACTCGCTGCATCTGCTCCGTCGTCTCGGCCTGTCGCGCAGCGTGCCGGCGACGAGCCTGCGCCCAGGTAAAGAAATCGTCATATTCCGTATCGTCGGACTGTCCACGGCCCTCACGCTCCTGCTCCTCCTCGAGGTCGCGCGCCTGCTCCTCCCACCAGTCGGGACTCAGCGCGCGAGTCACACCCTGGACGTGCGCTCGGCTGCGAGAGACGAGATCGAGAAGCTCCAAGCGGTCGGCCGGCCAACTATCCTCATCGTCCGAGTCATCTCCGCCGCTTCGCGACCGGCGGCGCTCCTCAAACAAGAACTCGCGATAATAGCTGTAGTCCCCGTGCAGTGGGCGATCGGCAGGCGGGTTCATGATTCGGTTCAGGAACGCCCGCTCCGTCTCGGTCAGGCGCTGAAGGACATCATCCGTGGAATCGAGCCCGGTCGTGCTGCGACGGAACGGGCGGGTGAGCGAGAGGGCGTACTGCATGGCATCCATCGGGAGATCCTCGGTGCGGTTCGTCTCCGCCTGCTGGGTAACGAGGTCCCATAGATCGTGAGCAATGTCGACGTGGCGTTGCATGATCGCTGCCCCATTGTCAGCGCTCGCTCGGGCGCTGCGCATCCATGCCGCTCTTGTCTCGTTCAGGCGGGCCTCGGCCTGCTCAATCTGGCTCTCGAGCGTTCGCACGTAACGGTGCCTGCGACTGGTACCCAGGTCACGCGTGAACGAAGGTGCAGTGACACTCGGTGGACTGGCCATAACGCCCGCACGTAAGTCTTGTGCCACCTGCACGATATTGCGAGCTTCGCGGTCGACCGGGTGGCCCTGGCGTTCGCGAACCATTATTCCACGGCTGGTCAACCCAGAGGACTGATAAGCACCATAGTAGTCGGAGCGACGGGAGCTGGAAGCCTCGCTTCTTGTCCGCTCACTGGGCGTGCTTGAGACACTGGGGCGAGACGACGGCGGCTCAGAACTTTCGGCTGGGCGAGACGGCGCCCGGTATCGACCGGTGGTTAGGTTGGCCAGACTGGCGAGAGTCGTCTCATACTCGCTTGGCTCGGCAGGGGGTTCAGCAGGGAGGGGCGTATAGGCGATCGGGTCAGGTGAGCTCGAGTCTTGTGTCGGGCGTGGTGAGCGCACGACAATCGGCTTGGGCTGCTTTGCGATAGCGGCCAGGTTAGTCGGCGGGTGGCCGCGTGAGCGCACCGGCTCCGCATGTTGAGTGGGGATGTATGCTAGCCTCGTGGCGTAACCGTGCCCGCCACTCCGGGAGCCCTGGCCGGCATGGCTTGAGGGGAGGGAAGACGAAGAGGCAGAAGCCTGCTCGTTGCGGGGCGTCGACATGCGTGCGAAGACTGGACGAGGAAGTGGCGTGATGTTGGACAGTGCGGACGTTGTTGTGAACGAGGGAGACAGCGCGGTCCCAAGGGCGGCAGCACGCTCTAGTTCTCCAGCTTGACCGCGATGGCGTTCGACGGCGACGGAGAGCTGCTCGACACGATTGCTGAGGGAGTCGCGAAGCTCCTCGAGTGACTGCAGCAAGACGCGGGTGTTCGTTGGGTCTGGTCGATACCTCGGTAGAAAGGCGGAGCTGCTGCTAGAGGAAGACCCAGTTGCGGCCGATGACCCAGACGATCCCGAAGGTTGGGAGGTTATGGGAGGCATAGAAAGGAGCGAGAGTCGGGGTAGTTATGCAGCTGCGGGGGAAGGAGATGAGAAGGTGACAATGAAGGGTGACTTGCCGGGTGCCGGGGAACGGGAGGAGAGCAGGGGGGATGGCAGGCGATGCTGGTGCTGGGAATGGGAATGGGTATAGAGAGGGCGGTGTTAGAAGGCGAAGAGTGGACGGTCACGGCGACGGAGGAGTGCGTTAAGCGTTAGGGAATTGGGTACGAGAGTCGTCGTTGTCGAGAGCAGCGCAACGCATGCAAACGCAGAGCACGGCAGAGGAAGGAGTGGACTTTGTGCTGCGCGGGCGGCGAGTGCGGTGCAGTTCAAGTAACTTTGGACTGGGGACAGGGCGTTGGGCGCAGGGTGCCAGGGTGTGTGTGAGGGAGGAAGGCGCCCTCCCCTGTGTGTGCGTGCGGTGCGTGGTGGCCAAGCCTCCGCCAGCTGTACTCGGGCGGCCAAGGCTCACAAGCGCCGCCGCCGCCGATAGGAACTGCTCCTCTAACCTGAATCGGACCCGGACCCGGACAACACCACCCAGGGACCGGACCTGGCCGCTGACCCACCTCTCCTTATTGGCGTCTGCCGATAAGCACATGTTCCCCGCATGGCCCCTCCGACCGCGGACGTCCAACCATCTCCGTCCGAAAAGTCGCGCCCGAAAGTTCATGAGCTCCCAGCCGCCCGCGGAGTGACCAGAGTGCAGAGTGACAAACAGCCTGACAGCCAGTGAGCTGTGAGCGACCCGCCATGACGTAGGACTCACCGCACACCACACCGATCGCTCCAGACCTATCTATAGCGATCTGCAACCTCGTTTCAAGTCTTCCTTCTTCAGCACATCATCCTCTACTCTCACTCTCTCTCATACTGACAGGAACTCACGGCAGCATGGATGTGGGAGTGTTCAACTCGACAAAGCCCGGCGACGTTCCGACACAGCCCGGCGACGCCAATGACCTGACCTGGGTCAACGTCGGAATCGGATTCCTCTTCGTTCTGTTCGACGCCCTTCTCTCAACAGTGCTCGGACTCGGTATCGGACGTGGACTAGTTGTCGCCGCATGCCGATGCATCATTCAGCTCACCGTCATGAGCAAGGTGCTCGGCACCGTGTTCGAGAGCAACAATATCTTCGCCGTCATCGGCATCGCCCTTCTGCTCGAGAACCTCGCTGCGATCGAGGGAACGTTTAACAAGGCTAAGAGGAGGTACACTGGCATGGTAGGTCACTAGGAGGAGCGGGCTGAGCCGGTGTATATTGCGAGCCAGCGATCTCGCAATGTCATTAAGCCCCGTGTCGTCCGGTGGCGGCCCAGGAAGGCGTCTTGAGCGGGGAAGGAAGACGAGGAAGACACTGACAATGTGCAGTTCCCCTTCATCCTGCTGTCGATGATGTGCGGCACAATCCCGATTTCGATTCTCGGCGAGCGTTTCGCCATGCAGCAGCGTCCCTTCTGGAAGCCAGACCAGTACAGTGAGTTCACAGCTATACGCCCACAAGACAGCTGACCACAGTCCCAATTCTCGGCATGCTGCTCGGCAATGCCATCAGCGCCATCGGTGTCGGCATCAACAACGTTACTACCGAGTTCACTGTCAGCCGCGACAAGATTGAGACTGCGCTCGCAATGGGTGCGAGCCGTTTCGAGGCGTGTCGCCCGATCGCGGTCGAGGCACTCAAGCTCGCCCTCCTCCCGACTATGAACCAGATGAGCATCATCGGTCTCATCAGTATTCCCGGTGCGTAGTGGCTGGAGGCTGGACCGGGCCTCCTCCCCAGCTGCGTGGAAGTGGCAGGAGCTGACTGTCAGGCATGATGACCGGAGCCATCGTCGGAGGCAAGAGTGTCGAGCAAGCCGCTCGTCTGCAGAGTGAGTACGCATAACTCTACATCCCGTGGACGAGCTAACAAACAGTGATCATCATGTTCATGATCAGCGCGTCCTCAGCGCTCTCGACACTGGCCGCACTCTACTTCACGCTGACGACGCTCGTCGACGCCTCAGCCCGTATCCGTACCGACCGCATCGACCCGCGCAAGCCGTGGATGTACCGCGCCCGCGATGCGTTCATCGAGGCCGTCTTTGGCCCTATCCGCGGCTTCTTCCGCGGCGAGAGGGGCACGGAGGAGGAGCGCCGCGGCCTGCTCTCAGGCCAGAATGGCGAAAACCACGACAACAACGGCAACAACGGCAACAGGCACTAGAAGCGCCTTCTTCCGCTGGAGTGACTGACTCACAAACCTCATAGACACACAACCGTATACGGCACACTGCCGGCCGATACGTACGCCACGATGACTGGCCATAGATAGTGAATGCAAGACGCCGCATTAGTAGACCGCAGGCACACAGCACTCAGTTCACACACGCTGATAAGGAGGTTGGTGGGGTATCCCGTCTATGCATCACGTACAACGCGTCTATGCGGCGGCCGGATGAGCGGCCGCCGTTGTCTAGGAGGAGCAAATCTTAGTCCTCAGCCTCGACCATCCAGTACGCGGGGGCGTCGAGCCGCTCGTGGCCCTTGAGGAAGGGAAGGCCGACGATGAAAATGTACTCGAGGGTCTTGCCGCCCTCCTTCTTGATGAGCTCGCCGGCGGCGGCGGCAGAGCCACCAGTGGCAATGAGGTCGCTGTATGTCAGCCTTCGGTCTCCGCCATAGAGCAGCAAATTGGCTCTGGCATTTGGCCCGAGTCATGGGCCCAGCGGAGACTCTGCTCCCCGCCCAGCCTCAAGTCAAGAAGCAGCCCACACTCCCATACGCGCCAACACTCACTCAAAGACAATGACAGTCTGGCCAGGCTTGATGGCGCCCTTCTGCATCTCGAAGCGGTCGACTCCGTACTCCTTCTCGAACTCGGCGACCTCGCACTGGCCGGGCAGCTTGCCGGCCTTGCGGACGGGGACGAAGGCGGCACCGAGGCGCATGGCAATGATGGGGCCGAGGAGGAAGCCACGGGCGTCAAGGCCGACAATCACGTCGGGCTTGGTCGTGTACTGCTGCGTGATGTGCGAGACGAGGTGGGTCACGAGCGTCTCGAGCGCGTAGGGGTCGCGCAGGATGGGGAAGATGTCGAGGAACGTGACGCCCTGAAAGTTAGCTGACGGCCATGAGTATCACAGCTGTGAGAGCCATTGCAGGTCCGCGCCTCGTCAGCTGCCCCGCCGATATCCAGCGGTCCGAGCTTTTGGTGCTGGCTGACGATTGGTAGGCAGGATGATGACGGGGATGAAGAGGACAGTGTGGGAACTCGATCCTCACCTTCTTGGGCCAGTCGGGGTACTGGCCGAGGCAAGACTTGAGGAAGGCGACGTCAGACATGGTGCTAGTAGGTAGTTGTTGTTGTGACAAACGTTTGTTGTCGCGCTGTCCTTATCGCGAAATCTTTCTCGATCGCAATTGATCGCCGATAGTGGGCACGTGGTCTAGTCCCCGTTCATGTCCTCCGACCTCCACCAGATTTTGGGATAGGCGCGAACCAAGTACGCACGCCTGCCATTCGCCGCTCTGAAATTTCAGAATCAATCTCCATCTGTTGTCGCTGCCGCTGGCCGCCACCAGGTGAAGTCATCGGTCTCGTGATACCATACACACCTTCGAGCGACATCGACACCATGGCCAAGGACAAGAGCAAGAAGAAGGCCCGTGCTGAGGAGAATGGCGAGGACGTCGCCGTCGAGGAGCAGGTCAACAAGAACAAGCGGCACAGGAAGGACAAGCGTGAGTGTCTCCAGCCCCTTGTCCGAGCTGCGCCGTTGTACTCTTGAGCTAACGATCAGCCTGGGACACGGAGGACATTGACCACTGGAAAATTGAGCCGATGACGGCGCCGGATGCGGCCTCGCACACGCCCTTCCTCGAGGAGTCGAGCTTCACCCTCCTGTTCCCCAAGTACCGTGAGCCGTACCTGCGCAGCGTGTGGGGCCAGATCACGTCGACGCTGGACAGCTACGGACTCGGATGCACGCTGGACCTGATTGCGGGCAAGATGAGCGTGCACACGACGCGCAAGACGTGGGACCCGTACATCATCTTCAAGGCGCGCGACCTGCTCAAGCTGCTTGCGCGTGGTGTCAGCGCCCCGCAGGCGATGAAGGTGCTGCAGGACGGGATTGCGTGCGACATTGTCAAGATCTCGGGCATCGTGCGCAACAAGGAGCGCTTTGTCAAGCGTCGTCAGCGTATCGTCGGTCCTGGCGGAAGCACGCTCAAGGCCATCGAGCTTCTCACCGACTGCTACGTGCTCGTGCAGGGCAACACGGTGTCGTGCATGGGATCCTACAAGGGTCTGAAGGAGGTGCGCCGCATCATCATCGACTGCATGCACAACATCCACCCGATCTACCGCATCAAGGAGCTCATGATCCGCCGCGAGCTCGCCAAGGACCCGAAGCTGGCCAACGAGTCCTGGGACCGTTTCCTCCCCAGTACGTATACACCGCCAGCTTCTTCGGTTGGTGCCAAGCTAACCTCTCGCAGAGTTCCAGAAGAAGCATCTGAAGACGTCGGAGAAGACGGCGAAGAAGAACGCCGCTGCCGGATCAGCCGCCGGCGAGCCCGCCAAGAAGAAGGCCAAGGTGTACACGCCCTTCCCGCCCGCGCCGGCGCAGAGCAAGCTCGACGTCGCGCTCCAGACCGGAGAGTACTTCCTCAAGCCAAAGGAGAAGGAGGCCGCCGCGCGCGCGGAGCGCGAGGAGCGCCACGCCGAGAAGACGGAGAAGAAGCGCGCACAGCGCGAGGAGGCCTTTGTCGCGCCCGAGGAGAAGGCGGCCCCCTCGCTCGAGGAGAGGAGGAAGAAGAGGAAGCGTGCCGAGGACGCCATGTGAGCTTGCTCGCGAGCGTAGCGAGCGATGCAAGCTTCGTGATGAGCTTGTGGGGAATAGAGGGTGTCTCAGATAGACGGCTGAGCACAAACGGGCACTCGTGGAGTACGCCCAGGGCCGCGATAGATAGCAATCATGCATGTTCTGTTGTACAACTGGCCAGGGCGGCCAAGGGGGTATATGGGAGTCTAACTGTGCTCTACGGCGCGGCCGGGGGAGCGAGTCGATGCTGGTGCGGGTGCGGGTGTGGGTGCCGGTGCAGCGCGAGCTGCAGCTCTATGCTAGCTATGCCAAGATGCGATGGGGACGCCTTAGACAAAGTAACTCGGCGCGCCGGCCCTCCGCATGGCCGGATTCCTGTTGTCGGTCTGGTTCTCGATCGCGGCCTCGTAGACCTTGAACGAAGTCTTCCCATTGCTGTCGACCTGCATGATGGACGCCGAGTTGCCGCACCGGTAGCAGTAGTTGGGCGCGGACCAGACGGTGACGAGCGCATCGTCAAACATGTGCTTGTAGCCCTCTTGCACGAGCTGGTGCGCGCGCGCAATCAAATTCAGGTTGTTCACGTGGTTGAACTCGTGCGTCACCTTGGCGCCGAAGAGCCAGCCCGCGCCTCGCGGCGAGACACCCCAGGTCTCGACGTCGTCTGGATCGGACCACATGAGGTCTGCCGTTAGCTGTCACCATGATACGCAAAGCTCAGCCGCCAGTTGCACTCACCACAAAACGGTCCCTCGTGCGGCACCTCCTGCGCGCGCGATATCGTGCGCACCTGGTCGAGCGTGCGGATATCCGGCGACAGGCCGCCGTGCACACACAGAATGCTCGAGTCGATGATGGCGGCGAGGTTCAGGCTGTCAAAGACGTTGCAGCACGCTCGCCACACACTCGGGTTTCCGTACTTGTTCATGCACTCGTCGTAGAAGCCGTACACCTGCGTGATCTGCCGGCTCTCGTGGTTGCCGCGCAGTAGCGTGATGCGGTCCGGATACCGCGCTTTGAGCGCGAAGAGTAACGACAGCGTCTCCAGTGAGTAGTATCCGCGGTCCACGTAGTCGCCCTGGGGATGTCAGCTAGCCGTCACCGTTAACCGAGCTGGGTGAGAGCCTCCCAGAGACTCTCGCTCAGCATGGCGTTGCCCACTCACCATAAAGATGTACTGCGTCTCCGGTGCTTCTCCTCCTTGCCGGAAGATCTCAAGAACATCCCAGAACTGTCCGTGGATGTCACCGCACACGGTTACTGGGCTCTGGACGAGGTGCACGTTGCTCTCCTCGAGCAGCAGGTCCCCGACGCGCTGGCATAACGCCTTCATCTGGCGTTCTGGCAGATGGCGACATTTTCGGAGCTGCGGATGTTGTCAGCTCCTGTCACCTGCTTTCTTGCTTCTTGAGCTACGGCAGCTGCGGTCCGCATGGCCAAATAGCCTTTGCCGTGCGTCTCCGGCTCCCGGTTCACGACCGCGAATCTCAACACGGCCCTAGACACACCCCACATGAGGCACGCGCTCCATGTTTGACGCCCATGCTTTGGAGCCGGTCCGCGGGTCGTGTGATACCGAGGAGCACACTAGTGAGTGCCTCTGGGGCACTGCTAAATGCCCTGCGCTGCTGTGAGAGCGACACTCACTCGCTCGATCCACTTGTCGGGGTCCGACTGATCATAGTCAATCGTCATCTCGAGCGGCGGTAAAAGGTGCGTGGGGTGGGTCCTGGGGCTGATAAGAGGCGCTGGAGGTCGGTACGGGGGTCGTTCTTGTGCGTTTAAGCGTCTAAAACGGTTTTCTAGTGGTTTTCTGTTTCAACGTCTATACCGGGAAGACGGACTCGACGGCGTCAGCGTCGTCGGCGATGGGTGGATTGAGTGGCTCGGCAGGATTACTCAGTGGTCCGCTGGCGACCCAAAGCACTGGACCAAAGCAAGGACTGAGAATGGGTTGGTGTAATGATTGAGTCACGTGGTCTGAATGACGTGTAGACCGCGGAGGTCGCTCACCACCTCGGCACCGTTGACTGGGGGCGCTGTCTCGGATCTTTAGCCGGGTATGCCGGGGGGAAGGCTCGCATCTCGCTGTTGATATCGCTCGCCCCCTGCCCCTCTCCCTGCTCTCTCCTCGCGCTCTGCGCTCGCTGATAACAGCGCTGCCCCTAGTTATCCCTAAGCGTAAGCCGCGATCGATAAGCCATGCCCGATCCATCGCCAAGAACCCCGCCCCCGGCATCCCCTTCAGAGCACGACCAAGACCACGACCCGGACTCACCACACAACGACACCTCTGGCACCAACAATGCGTCTGGCAAGAAGCGCAAGCTCAGCTCGGGGCGCACATCACAGGCCTGCAGTGCGTAGCGGATCCACGTTCGTCCGAGGGGGCATGAAACTGACAACGCCGCAGCACGATGCCGCTCCCTCAAAATGAAATGTATCGGGGCTAACGACCCACCGTGAGTTTCCATCGCACACGACCATGGCACATCGCTGACAGCCACAGATGTCGTCGTTGTCGACGTACTGGAGCGAGCTGCGACTTCATCCCCCGAGCCAATGCTGCGCGGCCGTGGTCTCCAGGGCCGTACCCGTCGCACACCTGTACCGAGCTGTGGCGCAGCCAGGTCACGCAACGCTTGAAGCAACTTGAGGCTGCCAACGCCCGCTTTGAGGCTCTCTTCCAGCAGCTGGCCAAGAATGGCACCATCTCTGGTGTCCAACTGGGTCCTACGCCGACTGATACGACGGACCCGCCTTCCCTGCCTTCTCTCGGGCTCATCCGCGAGGAAGGCGATGGCCGCACCGAGGGCGAGTACCAGGGAGTCCTCCAGGCCATCGAGAGGCTCAAGGACGAGCTCCCCGCGCACATCGCTGCGGATGAGGCATGGTCGCCCGGAGTTGTCTGCCCTATCTGGGAGTCGTGAGTTGTCTGGCCTCGGATTCCAACTGACCGTGCAGCTTCCGATCACACATGCCTGGACTACACTTCTTCTCAGGCCAAGTGTCGTTCGTGCACCCCACTCCACTTCTGGCCGTTGCCATCCTCTATGTCGGAGCTGCGCACATTCCAAGCGCCGACCTGGCGCGGCACCAGCCTGTCTACTTCAAGGCTTTCACCCGAGCTGTCGGCACGCTGGCCGTCCCCGACTGTCCTATTCGCGGGACATGCATTCTCGGGGAAGACGGTCCGGTCAGCGCCAAGTTTGACGACGTTCTGGCGATTATTCTCGTCGGTCTTCTTGCGGTCGGCTGGGTCGACACGCTGGGCATGTGGGTCAACACTGCTTATCGACTTCTGCTGGACGGCACAGCTGAGGAGCGAGGGCGTCGGCAGTCTGAGTGGCGTGGGCTCTGGGAAGGCCTAAGGGTAAGCTTGCAAGTACTTGTTGCCCAGCTGACAGCAGACTATTGAACTCGAGCACTCCTCGCTGCATCTCATCTGTCCGGCCCTACCGCGTTCGCCTCCCGACCCTCCTTTCTCCCCTGCCCGCTCGGGTTCGCCAACGATGAACGCAGGTGCGCCGATCGGTGAACTGCTTGAGATCATGCAGCGCCGCATGCCGCGGTTCGTGGGTCGCGGTCTGCCCACAGTATGGGAGACGGTGTGTCTGAACAACGATCCCAAGCAGCGACACATCACGGCGGAGCCGGACGACATGGCTGCCATCAGGTCGTGGGCCATTGAGATCGATACCTGGTACTCGCGTTGCGCAGCGGACACGACGAACGCGTCGCTCTATGTGCGCTCAATCATCTTGCTGAACTATCACCTGCACAAGCTGTTCGTGTTCAGCATTTTCTTCCCCCTTCTCGGCGTCGCCGCAACCGGTGCATCAGAGCGCGAGCCTCTACTCGAGTCGTCCCGCGTCGTACTCAAGATCGAAGCCAGCGGCTTCGAAGTCTGGTCATCCTGGGACCTCGTCATCATCACGAACGCGTCCCTGATCCTGCTGCAGGCGTGGGCTTCGGGCGCCGCAGACCAGGAGGACCTGAATCTCATCCAGAACCACCTAAACCTCCTCACGTGCACCCAGCAGGCGGCGCCTAGCCTCCGCCACATGCTCGCATCCCGCCTCGAGACAACCCTGCAGGAGGTGCGCACACCCGTCCGTGCCACTGTGCCCCTGCCTGCGACCAGTCCGCAGGAGACCAACGCCGCCATGAACTCCATGGTCAGCACCTGGTCGCATATCGGCCAACACCGCGAGGACCAGGAGCGCGGACAGGCGTACCCGCCTCGCCCGACGACGGTTTTCATGCCGCAAGCGCCCGATCTCGGTGGTCTCATCCCCGACCTGCCGCCTTTCGACCTGAGCGACCCCACAGCCTTGACAGACTGGCCACCCTTCTTGCTCAACTTCTTCGGCGACCAGAATGCCGCCGGACCGCAACCTCCACCTACCGCCGCCGGCCCACAGCCGCAGCAGATGGCGTTCCAGCCTCCTCCGCAGCAGCCACACCATGCCCCGCCGCACCATCAGCCTCACCCTCAGCATGCGCCGCATCCCCAGTAGAGCTCCGGGAACGCCTTGTTACTGAGAAACCTGCCTCCATCCTTTTGTATCGAGTAAACAATTTACAGCGCCGGCCTCGTTGTATATGCATGTCGTTGGGAAGTTTGAGTGTCCTCCCCCTTCAGCAGCATCGGCTCAGACTGCCACAGGTCATTGATGGCGCAAACGGGGCCAACTGCCTGAGCAATGAACAATTGATACCGCCTGCCGCCAAGTCCACCCACCTCATAACGTTGAGGCAACCATCACTCCTCTCACCGTTTGAGCCGCACGCTCACATTCTCCATCCACTTCTTCGCAGTTCGAAAACAAAAACGAGAGATTACATCCAGGGGGAATCGAACCCCCACCGCATCGAATCCACGTGGCAACGATGCATGATACCATTTCACCATAGATGTCACGTGCAACCTCACTAACCGCAGAACCAACGCGAAGTTGGCGCCGCGCTTGTTAGATGTCTTCCCTTGCGAGCGCCTATGTACCCCCACTGGCGAATTGGAACGCGCGATTTTCTCCTCTGCCGACTCCTGTGCATCGCTCAACCGAGCACCACTACCTTTGTCAGCGTTTCAAGCATCGTCTTGGCTATATGCAATGTAGGATATCCCTCTCTGTCACCGTTTTGAGGGCACAGACGACCTGGGTGGCGATCTCAATGCCGCGGAGGCAAAAGTGTCGCGGTGGAGGCCGGCTGGGCCGTGGAGGCAGGCGACAGCGTCTCGTTGCCAACATGGACATGACGCGTCACTTTCTGCCAACTCAACAACAACAAGCACCGGCACCATGGTTCGCTCAACTACGATCTTTAGAATCAGCGACGGACTCCCGCTCGCCGCGAGCGTGGACGATGAGACTGTAAGTGTTCCCGGCTGAGCTTATGGGAAGGACCTGTACGATGTGGCTGAGGGAGAGAGGACGGACATGTGCTCGGTGGCCATCGCGGACGTGCGACCGACTGCGCATGCACTTGAAGGCCTTCCTCCACCGACCGCAGATGTTCAAATCCTCTGGTCTTGGAACTTCCAGCTGTGCGCCGCGAGTCGAAGAGCTGACGCCCAGACCGAGAAGGCACTCACCGAGTACAAGCAGCAGAGCAAGCTCATCTTCCGTCGTCTGACCCCCAACTCTGAGCCCGCTTGCTCCATTGAGTCTGGCGACTACACTCTTCAGTGAGTTCTGCTGTCTTGTTGTTATCGCTTGCGCTCCTTCGACTGGGGACAGCGACCGCTGGTGGACAGGCTAGAGAATGCCAGATAGGCAGCATGAGCCGGCGTACATGACATCGCTCAAGCTGACATCAGCTACCTCATCGTCGGTCCCGCCATCTACATGTGCATCTGCGACTCGTCGTACCCGCGCAAGCTTGCTTTCTCGTACCTGGATGAGCTGAGCAAGGAGTTCCAGCGATCTTACGGCGACAAGATCGACAGCGCGCAGCGACCGTATGCTTTCATGGGCTTTGGTGAGTGCTGACACAATTGTATTCGCCTTCCCTGCGGAAAGCAGCATACCGCGGCTGTGCAGTGCGAAGATGAGCTTCCGCGAAGAGACCATTGAGCTGACTCCCAGACACCTTCATCTCCAAGACGACCCGACTGTACAAGGACTCAAGATCGTTGACGAACGGACAGCAGCAGGGCGCGACGCAGCTGGACCAGCTGAACGAGAACCTCAAGGACGTGACGCGCATCATGACCAAGAACATGGAGGACCTGCTGTGGCGTGGTGACTCGCTTGACCGTGAGTAGTGCTGACCGGCGTGAAGCCCGAGATGGGACCGGCGTGGAGAGAGAGCTAGCCAGGGTGTGGTTATAACCGGAGCTAGGGTTTCCGCAGCCGTCAACAAGACCACTACGCGCTACGCCAGCGCGGAGGCTTACGGCGCCACTGACTGCATTCTTCCACGTCGCTGCACCGTCCTCAGCTAAGGTGGCGATGTAGTCGAAAGCTGACTCCAGGCATGTCTACGCTGTCGACGTCGCTCCGCTCCGAGTCGGCCAAGTACAGGAAAGCGGCGCGGCAAATCAACATCGACCTCCTGATCCGAAAGTGGGCGCCCGTCGGCGGTCTCATCTTCTTCATCACCCTCTTCATCTGGTGGCGCTTCTTCTAAGTCAGCGCGCGAGCCCACCAGCACTGTTTCCATACACTCCCTGCCGTATTACATACACCCCGACCCACCCCACCCCACTTCACCAGCTACCGGTGAACCTACGACTTTATACCTTATACACTGGCGTCCGCGGACGCGAGTATGCATCGACATGATATCATCTGTATACAAAGGAAGAGGTGAAGGTGGGACAAATCGGAAATCGGGAGAGATCAAGGTATAACGAGAGATGGGCGGTAGAGAATGGCGGGGGAATGGGTGCGGCGAGCGAGGCCGCGCAGAATTCTAGCTACTCCTAGTCGGTCAACATGTGCACGAGGCGTGCCCGTGTGCGCTTCCACTGCAGCGCAAGGTTGCGCCTCATGCTTCCGCGCATGAGGCTGATGACGATGGCGGCGACGAGCACGATGCCGCCCGTCGCGAGGGCGGCGCGGCGGACGGCCGTGATCAGCGCCCACACAACGCGCATAGTGAGGCCGCGCCGGCGGCTGTTCCGCGTCCGCACCGTCGTGCTCGGAGCCGAGCGCCAGCGGTCCCGCTCCGACTGGAACTCGGCCTCCTCGAGCTCGTCATCTGCGTTCGTCCAGAACCAGCTCTTACGCCGGTCCTGCCGCCGCAGTACGACGGCCTGTGAGCGCTCAAGCGCACTCATCCGCTCGTGCAGCGCCTGCAGCGACGTTTGGATCTGCTGCAGCGTCGCAGGCAGATTCAGGGGCGCATGCGAGAAGGTCGACGCTGATGCCGGGCGCGGGAAGGGCGACTGCGACACATACGGCGATCGGAACTCGGCAGCCGACCCGCTCCGGTACTCCGGGATCATGGGCGGAACGCTCCCTCTCCCGAAGCCAAAGTCCGGCGTGCCGAAGTCGCGGCTGATGAACTGCGCCGAGGGCGGTGGGGGCTGGCTCGGGTGCGGGCCCTGCATGTTCGGTGGATTCGTGGGAGACTGTTCCGGCACGAATTCGAGACCGCCGCCTACTCCGCCGGGCCCGGGAGCTCCTGGTCTGCGGGGGTTCGCTGGTGTGATGCCGGACAGGATGGATTGCGGACGAGAAGGGAGGAACTGCTGTGAAGGTGCGGCAAAGCCTTCAGACGCAGGGGCGGAGTATGGGCTGTTGACAAGAGATCGGTGCGAGGGATTCAGTGCCGAGGGCGGGATGATATTGGGCGCTACGTCGGGTGCCGGCAACGACGGATCGGGCGGCGGGTACCGCTGCTGCGATGGGCCCTCGTCCGTGCCGTCCATTCCTGGCAGGTCGTCCTCGTCCTGACCTGGTGGCAGCGAGGCACGTGAGGAGTGGAACGACGAAGTTGAAGACGCGCGCGACAGCGGCCTCTCGGGGGCCATTGACTCTAGCTCGATGATGTAGCGTCGCGCTTCCGGAGCACGGTCTTTGAATCGCTCAAGAACCTATGCGTCAACCTCTCATCGCTTACGTCAATCATACCTTTTGAAGTGTCGAGACGTAAAGTCGCTTCGCATCCTTCTGGTCTACTCCTTTCTGCTTATTCCAGGAATCCCTGCTCCGGTTAGCCAACGCGTCATTGCATGGTCGTGTGATAACTCACCACTTCGCCCGGCCCAGCATGTCAAGCATACCGGGTCTTGGAACTGCAATGTCGCCATCGGTGGCTGTGACGTTAGCTATCGTCCCCATTCTACTAAGAAGCTACTCACCTTGCTTGTAGAGCGAGTACAGCTGGAGCTTTTCTTCATAGCTCGTCTGCACTGGCCCGCTCTTGGGAAGGCTTAGGGTCAGCCGGAACACAAGAAGTTAGGTCTCACCTTTGAACGAGGTCTACGGCGCGATGAAATTGACTGGAGAGATCAGTCTCCATTGTGCGCCCGAGTTCAACACGTCAAACTTACGCGTCTAGAGGTGGCGAGGGCGCCATGATGGCGAACAGAGTGTTTGAAGGATCAGGTTAGGACGCGTTGTAGTATCTTGTCGCCGGCTACGAAGCATTGCCGTAGCCCAGGCTGGCTGACGGGACCAAAGCACCGTCATGACGCCACACGTGGAGACCGCACGACGTTACGTAACCTCCACACCACTAAAGGTTTTTCCATTCCAAAAGTTGATGAGCGTCACTCACCACCCGCTCTACAACAACACCTCGAGCGTCGACAGCGCCTGCACACCACCCACACGCCAGACGGCCAAGCTGCCCGGTCGCTTGAGGACCTGAGGTTCTCCTTTGTATAATTATCTTTACCAAAACTCGAAAACTACAACAAAAATGGACATTGCGCACCCCTTCACCTCGGAGGTGACCTCCCTGTCCTTCTCCTTCCTGTCGTCCGACGACATCCGTTCCATCTCCGTCAAGAAGATCGACAACCCCGTCCTTCTCGACAATCTTAACCTCGCCACCAATGGTGGTCTCTACGACCCCAAGCTCGGTCCGATGACCGCTCGCGACATGTGCGAGACCTGTGGACAGTCGTACTTCGCGTGCCCCGGACACTACGGTCATATCGAGCTCCCCTCTCCCGTCTTCCACCCGCTCTTCATGAACCAGTGCTACAACCTTCTCCGTGCGACGTGTCTTTACTGTCATCACTTCAAGATGCCTGAGCTCATTCTCCGGAGATACATCGCTCGTCTGAGGCTGCTGGATGCTGGATGTCTTGAGGAGGCTCACACGGTCGCAAATTTCCACCCGGTCACAAAGGACGCACCTAAGGATGGCGACACCCAGGAGGACATGGACGCCGGTGTTGCTGGCGAGACCGCCGCTGAGTTCATCCAGCGCATGGACGAGTACGTTCGCCAGGTGCTCAAGCACAGGAAGCGCAAGCATGAGCGTGACAACTACAAGGATGGTCTTGTCTTCGAGGAGCGCAAGCGTGTCCTGAACGAGTTTGGCAAGAAGCTCTGGGCCAAATGCAGCCACTGCCAGGCTTACGGCAACACTTTCCGCAAGGAGAAGACGATCAAGATCATCGAGTACGACCTCAGTCCCAAGCAGAAGCTCGCCAACTCGACGATGGGCCTTAAGAAGCCCCACGCCAGCTTCTCCTCCCGATCAATCAAGAAGCCCAAGAAGGGCAAGGAGGAGGAGGACGAGGGAATTGAGGCCAGCTCGGCCTCTAGCGGAAGCGAGGCTGAGGACGAGGGCATGGACGTCGACGAGGTTGAGGCCGAGGAGGAGGAGAGCGAGGAGGAGGACGAGGGACTTACGGCTGGCCCCGCCCGAACTGCTAGCGGACAGGTGAAGGGCGCTCGTGGACGAAATGAGCGTGTCATGGCCGCCGCCGAGGTTCGAAGCCACCTCCGGAGACTCTTCCAGAAGGAGGCCGAGGCTTGCTCGCTCCTTTACGGTCGCCACGGCGGTCCCCAGGCCAAGTCTGGACACATCCCTCCCCCTCCTATTGCGGACATGTTCTTCATGGACGTGGTTCCGGTCCCCCCGACTCGTTTCCGCCCTCCTGCAAAGATGGGCGACGACCTGTTCGAGAACTCGCAGAACACCCTGCTCACCGCCATTATCAACACCTGTGAGCGCATCTACACGGTGAACCAGACGCTCCGCGACTTTGAGCGCCAGGACAAGAGCGAGGCTGTCATGGAGGCCCTGAAGAACCTCGACAAGACGCGGTCTTTCGAGATTCTCCTTGAGTCTCTGATCCGCCTGCAGCACGACGTCAACTCGTTCATGGACAGCACCAAGAACCCGGCCGTGATGAAGCAGGGCAAGCTCCCCCCGCAGGGTGTCAAGCAGCTGCTCGAGAAGAAGGAGGGTCTCTTCCGTAAGCACATGATGGGTAAGCGTGTCAACTACGCTGCGCGATCAGTCATCTCGCCCGACATCAACATCGAGACGAACGAGATCGGTATCCCGCCTGTCTTCGCCAAGAAGCTCACCTATCCCGAGCCTGTTACGCCGCAGAACGTTCACGAGATGCGCCAGCTTGTCATCAACGGCCCCAAGGTTCACCCTGGTGCCGCTCTCGTCCAGAACGAGGACGGTTCGCAGATCTCGCTTGACCGCACCACTCTTGAGCAGCGTACCGCCATCGCCAACCAGCTCCTTACGCCCCAGAACGACGCCTGGGCTGGATCCTCTGGTGGCCCCGCTGCGCGCAACAAGAAGGTGTACCGCCACATCCGCGACGGTGACATTGTCATTCTCAACCGTCAGCCTACGCTCCACAAGCCTTCCATGATGTGCCACCGCGTCAAGGTCCTGCACGGCGAGAAGACGATCCGCATGCATTACGCGAACTGTAACTCGTACAACGCCGACTTCGACGGAGACGAGATGAACATCCATTTCCCTCAGAACGAGACGGCTCGTGCTGAGGCTCAGATGATCGCCAACACCGACAACCAGTACCTCGTCCCGACATCTGGTAACCCGCTCCGTGGTCTTATCCAGGACCACGTCGTCGCCGGTGTGTGGATGTGCAACAAGTCGTCGTTCTTCACCCGCGACGAGTACTACCAGCTCATCTACGGCGCTCTCCGCACCGAGAACAACTACAGCGGTGGCGGTCGCATCATCACCCTTCCTCCTGCTATCATCAAGCCCCGCCCGATGTGGACGGGTAAGCAGATCATGTCCACCATCCTGGTGAACCTGACGCCTGCCAACGCTAAGGGTCTGAACCTTACCTCCAAGAACAAGGTCCAGAACAAGCTCTGGCAGCGTGATGACTCGAAGGACGAGAACATGTCTGAGGAGAACGTCATCTTCCTCGACGGCCACCTCATCCTCGGTGTTCTCGACAAGTCGCAGTACGGTGCTTCAGCCTACGGTCTCGTGCACTCGGTACACGAGCTCTACGGCCCGTACATTGCGAACCGTCTGCTCGCGGTGCTCTCTCGTCTCCTGACGAAGTACCTCCAGCACACTGGTTTCTCGTGTCGTATGGACGACCTGATCCTTTCCGAGGAGGGTGAGCGTCTTCGTAAGCAGATTCTCGACGACGCCAACGAGGACGGTATGCGCACTGCTCTCCAGTTCGTCGGTCTCCCGCACGACGGTGACATCCACAACCCCGAGCTTCAGCAGAACCTCAAGATCCGTCTCGAGGAGATTCTGCGTGACGACAACCTCATGGCTGGTCTCGACGCCAAGATGCAGATGGCGTTCAACAAGACGACGTCCAAGATCAACAACGACGTCCTCCCGGCTCACCTCGTCCGCCCTTTCCCGGACAACAATATGCAAATGATGACCATCTCCGGAGCCAAGGGTTCCAAGGTCAACGCCTCGCAGATTTCGACGCTGCTCGGTCAGCAGGCGCTCGAGGGTCGTCGTGTGCCGACCATGGTTTCGGGTAAGACTCTCCCAGCCTTCAAGGCGTTCGACACCCAGGCGCGTGCCGGTGGATACGTCGCGAACCGTTTCCTTACGGGTATCCGTCCCCAGGAGTACTACTTCCATTGGTAAGCTGACTAGCGGCCCGCAACAAGCTGACATCCAGCATGGCCGGTCGTGAAGGTCTCATTGACACTGCCGTCAAGACTGCCCGTTCCGGATACCTGCAGCGCTGTCTGATCAAGCACCTCGAGGGTGTCAAGGTGCACTACGACCACACTGTTCGAGACTCGGACTCGTCCGTCCTGCAGTTCCTCTACGGTGAGGACTCGATCGACGTGACCAAGTCGAAGCACTTGCAGCAATTCGACTTTGCCGCACGCAACCACGACTCGATGGTGACGCGCTACGACCCGGAGGGCATCAAGGGCAAGGTGATCATGGACGAGGCGGTCGAGTACACGAAGAAGGCGCTGAAGAAGCCGGGCAAGTACGAGCCGGCGATGAGCGTGTTCAGCCCGAGCCGATACCTCGGCTCCATGTCTGAGGCGTACGTGCGCAAGCTGAACGACTACATCAAGACGAACCAGAAGGGCCTCATTGCCCGCAAGGGCGGTGCCGACGCCCAGACGCCCTCGGCCATCACCGCGCACAAGGTGCCGGAGAAGGCGTTCATGCAGCTCGCGCGTGTGCGCTACATGCGCTCGCTCGTGGAGCCGGGAGAGGCCGTCGGTCTCCTCGCGTCGCAGGGTGTCGGAGAGCCGTCTACGCAGATGACGCTGAACACCTTCCATTTGGCCGGTCACGGTGCCGCCAACGTCACGCTCGGTATCCCTCGTCTTCGTGAAATTGTCATGACTGCCGCCCAGAAGCCGGCGACGCCGACGATGAAGCTCCCCCTCCGCGAGGAGGTCGATGTCGCCGAGGTCGACTCGTTCGTCAAGCAGGTCTCGCGCCTGACGCTCGGCGAGGTCATTGACCGCGTCGTCGTCACGGAACAGCTGACGGGCAAGGTTGCCGCGAACAACGACACGCGCAAGCGCAAGTACACTGTTCTGCTCGAGTTCTACCCCGCCAAGGAGTACGAGGAGGAGTACCAGATCACCAAGGCGCAGCTGCACGAGTCGCTGGTGTCGAGCTTTGCGCTCCGCCTGCGCAAGGAGATTGTCACCGAGACGCGCCTGATGGAGAAGTCGCGCCAGCAGGACGAGACGGTCGGCAAGGGTCTCAAGATGAAGGCGGACGAGCTGGACGAGTCTGGCCCCGTGCGTCGCGGGCGCGACGCCGAGCTTGACGACGACGACGAGGACGCCGGCCAGCTCAAACGCCAGGCCCAGGCCCGGCAGCACGAGTACGAGGACGACGAGGCTGCGAACAACAACGCCATGGACCTCGAGGACATGATCGAGGCCGAGGCCATTAGCGAGGACGAGGACAGCGACGACGACGAGGGCGCCAACGCCGCTGCGCGCTCCGCCCACGCGGCGACGAATGCGCGCTCCGACGCGCTCGCCGACGCCTTCGCGACTGCGTCGCGCTTCGGCGAGAACTTCTCCTTCGACACGAAGCACGGCAAGAGCGCGCAGTTCGAGCTCGAGTTCCCGGGCGACATGCCCAAGCTCCTCCTCGTCGACCTGATCGAGCGCACCTGCCGCGCGTCGGTCGTGCACGAGATCGACAACATTGGTCGCTGTCTCAAGGACTTCAACGATAAGGGCGAGTTCACGCGCTCCATGACCACCGAGGGCTCCAACCTCAAGGGCATGTGGGAGCTGGCCGACGAGCTCATCGACCTCGACAAGCTCGGGTCCAACGACGTCTACGCCATCCTCCGCACGTATGGTGTCGAGGCCGCCCGTCGCAGCATCATCAATGAGATGAGCTCCATCTTCGGCGCATACGGTATCGGCGTCGACTACCGCCATCTCACGGTCATTGCCGACTACATGACCCACCACGGCGGGTACCGCCCCTTCAACCGTACCGGTATCGCGAGCAAGAGCTCGCCCCTCCTCAAGGCGTCGTTCGAGACCACCGTCGCGTTCCTCTCCGAGGCGACGCTGCATGGTGACTTTGACGACCTCACGTCCCCCGCCGCCAAGATTGTCATGGGCAAGCCGTCCGGAAGCGGAACGGGCGCCTTTGACATTCGCGCTCCTCGTCGCGTGGGTGCATGAGTATGAGTAGTAGATGTGTAGATGAGTGAGATAGGGAGTAGAGATATCACAAGACCGCATTTTCTTTTAGGCAAGATACATTTGGCATTGCATGCAATTGTTTAGAGTTTCAACGTTGGCGCGGAGTCGTCTCGCGGCCCTCTAACTTGGACAAGAACGAGACTGGGACCGGGCAATGCTATGAAGGGGGGCAACGGGGTACAGAATGGTTGCAATGAGACGTATGCTAGTGAACGAAACCAAGAATCAAAGTGTCCAGCACTGCGGATCTCAGAAGAACGACCGACACTACTGATCAGAGAATGGCGAGGCGCCGAACGGGCTCGCCTCCTGCGGTCGCGAGAGGGTCGAGCTCCTGCTGCGCGGCACGGGCGGGCGAGGAGGGGACATCACCGACGCGCGCCTGCTAGGCGGGGGCGGAGGCGCCTTCCTGGCTACGCTGCCTGCGCGGCTGCGCGACGTGGGCGTCGGTGCCGGCGCAGAGGCGAGAGAGGTGCTCTGCCCGTCGTCGATAATGTCAAGCGAGTCGCTGTCGCTCTCCCCGCCGCTGATGTCGCTTCTGACACTGCGGTTGCTAGAATCGGGAACCCCAAGGTGTGTGTGGTTCCGCAAGTGGGAGAAGCTGCCCGGTCGGGACGGGAGCGCAGGGCGATCGGGGATGTACTCTTCCGTGAACGCCTTGGGGAAGAGGCCGGTCATGCCGTCCGCCTCGCCAATGAGCCAGTCCGCGCTCACCTCGGAGCGCACCTCGACGATTTGCCCGCGGCGCAGCGGCAGCTCGTCCGCCTCCAGTCCCTCAAAGTCGAAGAGCACCTTGACAAAGGTGCCCGGCGTTGAGGGCGTTGTGAGCGCTCGCCGCCGACCAGCCCCGTTCGTCGTCGTAAGGATTTCAGCAGCGACACTGTGGCTCCGCTGACGGCTCTTCGGCGGAGAGGGAGTGCGCGCAGGCGGGTCGTACCGCGAGTCCTCGTCGTCAGTCGCCAGCGACACCGCACGCCGCTCTTCCTCGTCCATGTTCGCGTACTTCTTCTCGCTGCGTCCGAACAGGCGCTGCGATGGGCGGTACGACGCCGTCTTGCTCGCGGCGCTGCTCGCGACCGATGCGGCAGCCTTGCCTCCCTTCATGCCCTTGTTTCCAATGTTGCCGAGAGAGGACATGATCGAGATGCGCTTGCGGGACGCACTGTCCGAGCGCGCGCGGTTCATCTCGGGCCGCTCCTTCTTCGGGGTCTCGTCCTCGTCCGAGTCCTTCCTCTTCGGTGTCGCCGCCGCTGAACGACCAGAGGCGGACGCAGATGACTTAGCTCGCGGCCGCGTCACCGGGCGGGAGGACGTGGACGCGGCCGGCGCCTCGTACGACGTCGGGAACTCCGAGAGCAGGTCCTCCAGGACAGACTTGCAGCGCGTGAAGTAATCGAGCTCAGCGTCGAGCAAAGCAGCGAGGGCGTGGAACTGCATCTCCTGCTCCTCCTTGATCGCCTGCATGCGCAGCTTGGTCTCGTCGGCCGCCTCGTCCAGGCGCTCCTGGGCCAGTTCGACCTCCTGCTCAATCGCCGGGTTGTCCCTCTTGCTCGTTCGCTGTCGCGTCAGGCTCGCGTCCAACGTCAGTCGTCGCGAGTCCATCTTCTTTCGGTACGTCCGGTACTCGTTCACGCAGTTCAGCGCTTTCTCTGCCGGTTAGCTGCGCCTAGAGTGCCTGTAGCTCACCAGTGTTCATAACGTAGTGCTCATACAGCCGCGCGCTAAACTCGTCCTGGTACTCGGCAAGCTTGCACCGGGCTTCGCCGTACTTTACGAGGCCGTCGCCTGATTGTCAGCACTACTCAGTCAGCATCACGTACCTAGAGCGCCACCGGCGTCGTTGCCGTAGTCCATCATGACCAGGCCGAGCGCCTCAGATAGCCGCATCTTCTCCTTGCCATTCTCGCCCGACGGATAAGGGTCAGGGTTGGCCTTGAGCTTGACGCTGTCCTCGTAGAAGGCGTTCGACGTCGTATGCAGCCTGAGTCGTCGTCAGCTTTGCCACCAGCAATGCGATAAGCTTACCTCTCGACACCGACGCACAGCGGCTCGAGCTCGGCCTCGAACTCCTCAAACTCCTCTGAGAATTTTGTCTTTTCCGTCGACGAGAAGACCTTGATCTGTCAGCGTGCCGGACGGGCTGTGATGGAAATACCTTCTCGTTGGTCCACTGGGTGACCTTGTTGAACTGGATGTCAGCTGCGGCATGCGAGGATATAGCGCACCTGTTTGAACGCTTTGCGCTGCATTGTCGCACAAAAGCGGGTGGGGAAGGTAAAGGTGGAGAGATGAGAGATGCAATGTCGAGGAAGGCAGTAAAGGGGGGTTTGGACTGGATGATCTCTAGCTTGCCGGATGTTCGCCCCGGCTGGCTCATACGGGCTGGCGCGATGGCACCATGGACGTTGGAAGGCAGGGGTCGAAGGGCTCAGGGACGGCAATGGCCTGATCTCTGGGTTCACGCTGTCGTGTTCTGGGCGGCTTTGGGCTGGTCCACTGGCGCGTCTCGGGACCTGGCATCCGCCGCGACCTCTGGCCATCTTGGGCAACCGTATCGCTCGGGGGCCTCGGGCGCCGCGCCTGGCCACCGCGCGGCTCATTTCAAAGCGTCCACGTCCCTGCATCCCTCATGCCCCCCCGCTCTTGGCTGTTCACATCCAGCCTGGTCGCGTGGTCCTGTTTCACCTCGCCCTCTCTGCGGTTGCCGCACGGGACCTAATTTCTGCTCCCCACCTGTCTCAGCCGTATCACTCACTGTCGAGTTCAGGTACGTCACCAGCCCTCCAGGTCGACCGGCACGGCTCCGGTTCAACGCGGCAGATCAATGAATGAACACACCTCCATCGCCGCGTCAACCTTAGTCGATTAACATTGTTATCGCCATGAACGGCGCCCCCGTCCACACGACCACCCCACCGCAAGACGTCTCAAGTCTCTCCTATCTCGTCGTCTCAGGCGGTACCGGTGCAAACTCGTTTGCGTCAGCGTTCGGTCCTTCACCCGCCTTTGTGCTTCCAGTCTCTGATGATGGAGGTTCCTCGGCTGAGATTCTGCGGTGCTTCGGCGGTCCGTCCATTGGTGATATTCGTGTGTGGCAAACTGCAATCTACTCAGAGCTCACCACTTCCAGGCTCCCGTCTGATCCGTCTCATTCCAGTGCCAACGACTCTCGTAACGAAGGAGGACCGCGAGTTACAGGCTATCTACAACTTGATGGCCCACCGCTTCCCTGCAGACGTTTCTGAGAAGATCGTGCGAAATATCTGGGAGGAAGTCGTTGAGGGAAGAGGGGATTTGTGGAATGGCATCGGCGAGGATAAGAAGGAGTGCATCAGAGGTGAGCTGTCTCATGGCCAGCCGTAGCTAATAACAGCCTTCCTCGTCCACTTCCAGACTCTCAACCTCAGACGAGCCCACAAACGCTTCTCCTTCAGGAACTTCAGTATCGGAAACGGCTTCCTCACCGGTGCTCGAGATCTATTCAGCAACCTCCCCAGTGCCATCTTCTTGTTCAAATCTGTGGCAGGAGTGAATGTGAGCTTTAGCAAACTCCAGCAGCTAACATCAGTCCGGAGCTCAGGTCATCCCCGTCATCAATACGAACCGTGAGCCAGTAATGTTTTGACCTCAACTGACAAGACAGAGACGGTGACGATAGCAGTTCAGCTTGTGAGCTAACGTGGGAGTACCTTGTAGCTGACGATAGGAAAACCAAACGCAGATCATCGGACAGTGCAACATCTCCCACCCAGCCCCAGCGCAAGAGCACGCTGCAGTATCCATTCCAGGGATCCGTGATATCCCGCTCGCGCAACGTTCTCGTCACCTCCGACATGGTCTGCGACGAGACTCACGGACATTCGACACGGCTGACAGCGCGCGCGTCACCCCAGAGCGAGGGCGCACTCCACTGCCAGGAGTCGACGCCGATGATGATGGGCTGCTCGGCAACATTGCGTACACGAAGGGCCAGAAGGAAGAGCCTTTGGAGGCGCGGATAGAGCGTCTGTTCTACATCAACCTGTATGGACAGGAGATCTTCCCCGAGCCGAACAACGACTTCTTCGACGCGATCGACAAACGCGATATTCTGGTGTACTCGTGCGGCTCGCTGTGGACGAGCATCATCCCATGCCTCGCGCTGCGTAGCGTCGCGACGGCGCTCGCGCAGTCCAAGTCGCTCAAAGCCAAAGTCATGCTGCGTAAGCTATTTGGGCGGTCTGATCAGCTGACAACAGTGAATTCTGTGAATGACCGTGAGACGCCGGACTACACGGCAATGGACTACATAGATACGGTGGCCAACATCCTGCGCCACTATGACGTTCCGCCACCCCTGCAGACGAGCCCCGACGACGTGATCCCGTGGGAGACGGCGAGCTTTATCACGCACGTCGCGTATCTTGAGGGCGCCGAGGTGCCTGTTGACGAGGCAGCTATACAGGTGGGTAGCAACGGCTCCGAAGGCGATGCGGATGCTGACGTTCAGGCACGCGGCATCTCCGTCGTGCGCATCCCGCGACGTGTGCATGAAACGGCGCCGGGAGCGGTGCCGATGTTCTCGGAGAAGACAGTAGAGTGGGCGATGGCGCAGGTGGTAGCGACGCTATGAAGCATAGAGTACATACATGCATGAACAATTGGACAATGGAGCTTCTCTCCACCTCGGTACTCGCGCGAGTCTGGGGCGGCAGAGGGCGAGGCCCCGCGGCCTCCACCGTAATTTATTTCCGTCCGCTTCTATATGCTGTTGTTGCAACCACCATCTGCGTCATCAAGCACCAATCATCCATGGACGCGATCCGGCTCCCGATCCAGCCGACGGGGGCGCAGCTGAGTGAGCACGTTGCGGCGCTGGACCTGCTGGCCGCGCGGCTCGATGCTCTCGCGTCCCGCCAAGCCTGGCCAGCGCTCGTCCCCTTCAACTCCAAGGCGAGCTTCCCCGGCTCCATCATCAATACGAACAGCGTCAAGATCGCTACGGGTCCGGACAGCTGGGCAGAGATGCCTCCAGCGCATGCGGCGGAGTATGTACGTCGGCGGAAGAATGGTAAGCTCAACCGTTGGCGCATAGCTAATGACAGCTCTGCTTGAGGACCACGCCCGAATGACGGAGGGTCAGGCGCCGAACGCGGCCCAGCCGCCGCTACCTCCGCACCGCTCGCTGAAGACGAAGGACGTGCGCTTCTCCCCCGTTCTCCGGAGGCCAGAGGACAACCCGGCGCAGCCCGTTGCGCAACAGGTCGCCGAGCAACAGCCGAAGGAAGGTCAATTTGCGCTCCGCGGCCCGAACGGCGAGGAGCAGGAGGTGCCCGCCAGCTTGCAGAGCCTTGTCGACCTCGTCGGCGAGCACTTGGCTGACAAGCTGCACCTGCCCGGCGACGAGACCGTCAACGAGGAGGGACTCCCGATTCACGAGATCCGCGAGACGCCCGACGGACAGCTTATCGGCTCCGAGCCGATGGGTGACGGCGACGGCGAGGAGACGATCCCCGAGAAAGAGGACGACTACTGGACCCCCGAGGCGGCTGCTAGGCGTGAAGCGCTGAAGCGCCGTGTCTTTGGCTCCATGTCCGACTCCGACTCCGAGGACGAGGACGACAGCATGGATGTGGAGCCCGCTGCGGCAGAGTCTGCACCGGCACAGGAGGCGGCCAACGGTCTCGTGCCCCCCGTTGGACGGCCCAGCACGCCTCCGAACGACCCTTCCCCGATCAACGAACCCCTCTACGCCCAGCCTGCGCACCGCAGTCCCGGAAAACAGCCCAAGGGGATCCTCAAAGCTCCGAGCCGGAAGAAGAGCGTGACGTTTGACTCCTCCGTCCCTCTTCCTCCGGACAGTCCGCCAGCAAAGCCAGGACAAGAGAGGATCAGCATTGCGCAGAAGCCTGTCCCGATTCTCAACGTCCCGACACCAGGCAAGCGGGCCTTTGGCGGGCTCAAGTCTGGCTTCCTCCAGAGCGCTAACGCCGCCGCGGAGCGAGACAAGGCCGCTGCTGCGCCGACGCAGAGCAACCTCGCGCCGAGCCCGAGCGCGACCAAGCCCAACTTTGCCTCTCGCGGAGTTGTGGAGCACGCCCCAGTTCCTCCGCAGCCTCAGGAACCGCCCCCAGCATCGAAGATTCAGGAGATCGGCAGCGACGACGACGAGGACGACAGCATGGACGTGGATGAGGACAAGCCGAAGAAGAGTCTGTTCGCGCAGCGCCGGGCCGGCGCCAAGCCCGACTTCCCCTCTATTGGCAGCCAGAAGCCGATGCCGACGATGAGGAACAGCATCGTCGAGCGCGCGCCTCTGCCGCCGAGCGTTGGGGAGTTGCCTAAGAGTTCGACCTCTGCCGCTCCTGCGGACCGGACGCCTCTCGTGGTTGTCGACAACGACTCTGACACGGACGAGTACGGGGACCTGGGCGAGTTTGACGACGATGAGGAAGACGAGTACGCCCTCGACGAGGCTCTGCTGCAGCGCGAAGCAGCCCTCGCGCTGCACCGGAGCCTGCAGCGCCAGCGTCCCATCGACGAGGACGAGATCGACCCCGAAGCCGAAGGCGACGGAAACGTGTACATGGCCGTTCCCCGCGTCTCCACGATCCAAGGCGGCGAGGGCGACGAGCCCCTGCGCATCATCAACCCTACAGCCGACGACCTGGGCCAATTCCTGCGAGTCGGGAGGGAGGAGGACGGTGGCCTCGTCTTCGAGCCGCCCACTGTGCACGAGGACTCGGAGAGTGATGGCGAGGAAGAGGGCCAGGACGCAGAGGACCGCCGCCAGCGCCGCAAGCGCAGGCGGGACGTCATGGACCAGCTCCGCGCGGGCGTGTACAACCCTGACGAGCCTGTGCGGGATCCGACAAAGGCGACGCGGGACTACGAGGGCAGCTTGCCGCCGAGTGTTCAGTCCCAACCGGAGCCGCAGCCGATGCAGGACGTGGTCGAGCGCCAGCCGGCGCCGTCAGTGGCCAGCGGGGGTGTGGTTGAGCGGCCACCTGCCCTCGGAGGCGTGACTGAGCGGGCCCCGCCTGCGCCGAAACCCAAACCGAGCGCGATCGGCGGCGTCGTCGAGCGCAACACCGACACTGCGGCGCCGGAACCGCCCCAGCCGCCGAAGAAGGTGAGCCGCTTCAAGGCGGCGCGGCAGGGTATGTAGAGTCCGCATGAGAGTGCATGACCGTCGGCGTACAGAGACAGTTAGAAGGTCCAGGCCTTCCAGGCCTCGGCGTCCTGAAGCCCTTGCTTTCGAACCCTCGGCATGCGCGTGAGGCGTGATCGGGACCACGTAGAGAGTAATCTCGGCTATGTATCTGTACCTTTTCCTCGTGATCGCCGCACTCTGCTAGCTCTGCTCCGCTCTCGGCGCGGACCTGCGTGGGTGCGCCGCTGACCCTGGTTCCTCACTCACTACCGCGGCTGATGTCCCCTACTGCCATCCTCCTCCGCTTGCTCCGCTCTTGACTCCGTCTGCTGGTACCGCTATTGTTTCTCCGCCGCTCATCGCCGCACATCTTCGATTGACTACTTACGAGGGTGATTCCCACATACGTAGGGAGCTTCAGAAACGAGCGTGCATGATAAACGTAAACAGAAACATGGGAGTCGCGGTGGTTCGGAGTGCCTAGCAAAGCCCGAAGGCAGACACCGCAGAACCGCGGTGAATGAGGCATACACCGCTGGACTGGGCGGAATCCCTTGCAGCAAACACCGCACTCCGAACGCGATCTGTTGTTGACTTGTGTGCTTATTCAGCAAAGCAACAACGGGCTGCATAGTGTATCTCTGCGTAGTAAGCATGTCGCGTTTTGCCGCCTGTGCATTGCAGGAAAGCAAGAGTCAGCAAGTAGGAGGCAGATCTGGATTCCAGGTAGCGGGCAAGTGACGACATGCCCTAAGGGGAAGGACGACCCTGCACTCCTTTACGGTCTGTCAGTAAGGACGCCCAATGTCGGGAACAGATAACGATTGACGCGTGGCTATGCACCGTCTCTGCATCCCGGCATCGCTTGGCACAGCGGGGCACAGCACTCAGGCTATGCATATCGGCGCTGCCAAGGTGTCGATGAACGGGGTCCCATCTCTGCCCCGCGGTCTTGTAACGTGGCTCCAAACTCTACTCCGCCGCTGGACGGACTGACGGAGGAACGCGACAGCGGATGAGTTAGTAGCGCTGAAGCGCCGAAGCGATCCTGCCGACGCTCGCGAGGGGTCGTCATTGGCGTCATGACCCGCAAGAAACAGTCAGGCTTGTCAGGTCCGTCATCAGGACGGCCAGGTCTACGGCCAGGTCCGAGGCACGGCTTAATCAACACTTGCTCTTGGCGGCTGCGGACGCTGCCTCTGCATACCGACACTGGTCCCCGCAGCTGGTTAGGGGCGGTGGAGTGCCAGCGGCGCGGCGGCGCACGCTGGCGTCGTAATGGCCATTACACAGGCTGGATACTTGGCTGAAGTCATGGCTTGCTCATGGCTTGTCATGCATGTCATGGCTGAGTTGCAAGCTCAGGCAAGCCCGACGCCGCACGTGACGCACCGTATGTGCAACGGCAACAGCAGCAACGGCAAGTTGTGCGAGAACAAGGAGCGTCACGTCGCGCATCGCGCACATCTTGAATGCGTGTTGAGCCGAGGCAGCGAGTCAAACGGCTTTGCTTCGGTAACCGACCCGGTCTACGCATGTCTTCTTATCGCAACATGTTCTCGCAAACCGAGACGTACACGCATACGAGGCTGTCGCGGCATGCATCGACAAATCCACAACACGAAACAAGGGCCCTGTGCATGACATCCTGGCCGGCCTGACATTCAGCAAGGCATGCATTGTCATGCCATGACATGGCCGCCGGCAAGGTGATTGAGGTGAGATTGGCACAAACGGGCGCCCGCCTGCGCCGCCCGGCAGCGACGGCGGAGTCAAGCGACGCTCCCGAGTCCGTGTCCCGCGGATACGGACCCGTTGGTGGGCCCGTAGGTGGGCCCGTAGGTGGCCGGAAAGCCCGAAGCTGGGAGCCCGAGGGAGGTTCTCGGACAACCGCCAGGCCGCCAGGAATCTGTATTTACGAAAACAAAGGAAAAAAAGTTTGACCACCCTCGCTCAGTTGCCGAAGGCCAGGGATGGAAGAAGGCGGCCGGAGGCAAAGAGGCAAAGAGCTGGTCGTGCATGGGGTGATGACCTAAGCTGGCCGCTGACCGTAGGCTACAGTGGCCGCAGGGCAGGGCACGCGGCCTGAGGAAGCTTTTGGGTGCCTCGCTGAGGAGGACTTGTTTACGCAGACGGGTCAGACGGGGGAGGGGAGCTTAGGAGCCGAAGCCATGCAGAGTCTGGCCCTACCAGCTCAGCGAAGGCATTCCGGATCCGCGTCATGCCCTGAGTCTGTCGCATGATGGGCCCTGAACTGAGTAACCCGAACCTGAAAGTTGACCGATGCTGCCCGTGTTCAGGCCGCGTCAAGGCCGCCGCCTCGGACGATCCGCTGATCGTTTCATGCACCCCTCACCCTCGGGCGGCATGCCCTACCTCGGGAGTCGGGCATCGCACCACCCTCGCACTTGCAGATAGATTTCTATATAACCTCTTGGGCACACTTGGCACACACCCTGTAACTTCAGCGAACACCTTGCACATCTGCACTACCACCTTTTAACATCTTGTTCATCATTCGCGACTTCACTCACTACCTCCCGCACACCCATGCCCCTCCTTTGAGCAGCATGCCCCCGACCTCGTCCGCACTCGCCATGCCGATCCCCCTGTCGACGGTATCCTTCACGCCGCCGCCGCACCTGTCTCTCGCCGCGATTCTCGCCCTCGGATCCATCGTGTTGGGCCGTACTGTTCTCCTCCTCTGGTCCCGCCTCGGAGGCGGGACATTCGACGCGACGCTCGTCGAGCTCTTCGCTCGCGAGAAGCTCGACAAGCTTGCTCAGCCCGTTCCGTACAGCGTCAAGGACCTCGAGGCAGAGGCTCTGCAAGCCGAGGCCATGCAGAAGCTCTCCAAGGCTGAGAAGCTCGAGAAGCCGGCTGTTCCCCCACGACCATCCCCGAAAGCCAAGCCGGAGCGAACCCAGGTCCCCGCCGATGTGTATCTGACAGACGACGAGATCATGTCCATCCTCTACACGTCCGCGACGTTCCGCGAGTCGACAAGCGTCCTCGGTTACGCCCCGGATCCCCTTCTCCCGCCGCTGATTGAGGTGGACGAGGAGTAAAAGAAAGCGAGCGCCGCGGGCGTGAGCACACGAACGCAGGCGTCGACCACTCGAGCCCGATCAGATCGCATCCAGATCGGATTCCATCATCGAGCTCGCCTCGCCACTTACACATACACCCATTCCCTCTCTCTACGGATCCGCCATCGAGTCATCCAGCGAGCACGGCATAGCATCACAGCACGCAGCATTGCATCGCATCAAGCATTGTATCCACAGTTGTATCACCACACATGTAGCATAGCATAGTCGACCACTCGTCAGAAGACAACATCCCCATTATTTTTCTTGGTTAATAGCAATTATGAATTTGTGATTAATCCAGAAGACCGAAGCGAAGCGAGGTGACAATTGAACTGACCATATTGACTTGACTCGGCGCCCGTCTCCTGGCACGCGCAGGCTCAGGCTCGCGGGTGCTCGGCCGCTCGGGTCGAGCATGCTCGAGTCAAGTGACTCATGGATCTCCGAGTCATCCCGGATGTCAACAAGCGGGCGCCGGAATGCATACATCTGCAGAAGGATCGTGCAGCAATGCATTCTTTGTCCATGACAGGCATGACAGGCTCGCAATGACCATCGCAGCGTCCATGGATCTCGTCGACACGTCAGATGGACGCACGTACTTGGCGTGGACACTCGAAATAATTTCGACCAGCATGGTCCATCACACTAAGAGGGGCGTGGATGCGCGCTAGCATCAACGGCGAGGTCTGGCCAGCCTGCGTCTCCTGCAAGCTGCATGATTGCAGTCCACAGCGTGCATGCACGCTGATGTTCGATCGTGCCATTTCCCACACCGAACACCAGATAACGGCTGACCGTTGCATCGTTCGATCACCACTCGCGCGCGACTCGCCAACCTTGAGTCGCTGCCGTGATGCATAATGTTCCCGATTCGGCACTTTGTTCCAACTCGAGGATGTATTCAGTTCTCAACGCTGCCGTGACGGCACGCATGGCGCAGCACCCGAGGCGGAAACCGACCCACCGGTGTCGCCCCTCGACCCCTCTTTATTGTCCGAGACTAGTGCGACTAGTGACGCTTAGGCTGACTAGGTTGAAGCAGGCTGGCTGTCAGGCAGCCACGGCACGAGGCATTCATGCATGGAATGGAAAGAACGACTGCGGAGTATACCCCTCCGCTCCCGGCGGTGCCTCTGGCGCCTCTGCGTCATGTCCCCTATGTCTCGCTTGACGTAGACATCCACGACGCGCAAGTGCGTCTCATCTCGCAGTCAGCAGTCTGCAGCCATGCAGCCATGCAGTATAGAATCATTCGAAACCGCGGCAACGCGGATTGCTTTGCAGCAGGTCGCAGCAAGTGGAACGATGCATCTGGAGATAGGTGGAACGAGCGTGCCTGTGTGTCACCACCCAAGCCACCTTGCTATCGACCCATCGCTCCCACACTCAAGCCACGAGCGTTATGCATCACTTCATGGCAACCGGCCGGCTCTTGCATCGTCATGGCTGTCATTGTTCTCACCGGCGTGATCGTGCTACCCAGCTCTTACTGGATTGTGACCTTGCTAGGTGCTTGCTTCAGCCTCCCGTTCAACAGCTCACAGTGGGTCAGAAACGGAGTAGGAACGGTCCGTCCCTGCGGTCTGCGCTACGGCGACACAGCCTCGGATCAGCGCCGCAGTCAACACCGCCTCCGATATCGACGCGTCAGCATGCCTCAGCCCTGGGTCCGCCTTAGCCTCATTATGCATTCAGTAGTGAGTGCAAGTGCATTAGCTCGGACGTGCCCTTGCACCGACAACGCCTGCGGTACCTTCATCGCTATCTGTTTGGAGACCCCGCCCTGCGGTACTGGTACGCGACCCGCTACACGCTACACGGAGTCCTGAAACCAGTGTATCAGTCCTGAAGCTGCGGATCAGCATTGCCTGAGACGCGCGCAGAAGCCAAGAACAACACGACTCGTCAACGCCGATAAGCTTCACTACTTCCGACCCACCACGATCGCTGTTGAATCGCTGCTGATTACCGACTTCTCGTTCAGGACCGCCGAAACTGCATCCTGGAGTCCCAGGACTGCAGCACACCTGTGCAGCTAGTGGTGCGGAGCAAAGAGACGGTGCGAGCGCGCCGAGCTCGCCGACGTTGCGGCGCCGATTCCGCGTGCGTTCGCGTGGGCCCGCCTCTGCCGCGGCAACGAGCGATCTTTGTGTTGACGGCGGCATGCCCGAAACGACGGTCCGGCTATCCGCAGATACGGCTGCGAACTGCTTGGCAGGGAGCCTAGGGAGAGAGGTCCGGACGACCTGGCAGTTTGACACTCGAGGGCACACTATCAACGCCTCGAGGACAAGGTCTCCTCAACAGTTCACACAACGCGCGTCGACATCCAAACCCTTACCTTCCAGTTCCACACCAGGACCATGCATGCTATGCTAAGAAGCTTAGCGGGTTGCATAGCATGCACGAAGCGACGGAATTCCCATTCGGAGACTCCATTCGGGATTCCCGAGTCGTCATGAGCTCGAGAAATAAGCGACAGAGGCGAGCTGACATCCAGGTCAACTGAGATTGGATGCTGACAAGAGCTGAATTGACCGACCATCGGTGTTTTCTTGTTGACTAAAACTTTCGGATTTGCTGACGAACATCTACAGGCGCTGTCATCGACACCTCGTCATCCACAAGACGGAGGTGCATACGCATTGCTCCCCTATTGCGTTGGGGAGTTGGGAATGAATGGAGAATGGTCTGGTGACTACCCCACCTTGTTCGGCTGGAGGTGATGGAGTCGGCTGCGTCGCTTGCCCTCGGCTGCGAAGCGACACACCTGCTGACGAACTCCAACTCATGCAATCACCCAGAGCCTCGTGATACAATTCAAAACAGCATGCGTACGGCATAGGCACAGCTTGGCCCGGACCAGAATAACCCCTTGACAAGCCTGTTTATCAATGCCAAGAGAAACGTGGAGAAACGTGGGTCTGGCGACTGTTATCGGAGTTGTCTTCAGGCCAGTCGGACTTACAGGCAGTCAGTCGGACACCTTTACGTTCCGCTCATCATTCAGCTGATGTCAACTGCCGCCCCGCTGCCGATGGGAGTGCCGCATGAGGGCCACAGGTGACCCCCACCAGTCTCCCGGCCTCTTACATTGTGCAAATTTGATTGCAGGCGTGTTTGTATGTTGCCGGCCGCCGAGCTCGGCATCCCATCGGCACCCCAGATCGATGTGGCGTTCAGCGCCACCATCCAAACCCTCGCGAACCCTCCCTCACACGACCCTACCCACCCACTTCTGGACCGACACGGACCGCCTGGACCTCCTCTATCTCTCCATATCTCTTACAGATACATGGGAGTGTATGCTGGCGCTCGCGAGGGCCAAAAACGTTCTCCGCCAGGGAGTCGAACCCTGCTCTATCGCGTGCTTTCTACGGTCCTGAGAACTGGAAGAGGCAGAGAGTCTCTCTCTTGAGAGGCGATTATACTAACCGATATACTAGCGAAGAGGCTGTGATGGGGAGCGAGCGATGGGCAGTCGACGGCAGGGCGCTCACGCTGCTGACGGAACGGACAAACGAGGGAGACGGCACGAGGTTTGAGCGGAGAGGGCGGCTGCAGAGTACCAGCCAGTCAATCCTCGGCCGGAGACGCTGGAACGATGAGGAAGGGCGGGCAAGAGGACAACGCTGGTGGGCGGCAGCGCCGCTCGCAATAGTAGGGAGGTCCCCGGTCTGCGATGGGTGCGGAAATGCTCTGGTTGTCCGCATCTCATCGGATCCGCTATGGCGAGCCTGCTTAGCCTCCATGACGGTCGAACGCGTCCTACCTTCTTCCCACCGTTCATCGTTCGGAGCCCCTGCCAGAGACATGCAGTCGTGCTCTGCTGGCCGTTGGAGTGCGCACAGACCGGCAAGAAGCAGTCAAGGGCCAAAAGCATTCTCCGCCAGGGAGTCGAACCCTGCTCTATCGCGTGCTTCTGACGCTGCTCGAGGAGCAGACGAGATCAGAGACTCTCTCTTGAGAGGCGATTATACTAACCGATATACTAGCGAAGAGGCGCTGTTGCTATGCTCCGGCGACGGCGGGGTCTCAGCTGGCGGGGTCGGAGCAAGAACCAGCGTTGTGAGGCGTCGGGAGACAGATGGTCGGAAACCGTTGGAGAGCTGCAGAGTATTGCGGGTGGGAGATGGATTGGTGAGTGTGGGGTTCGCTATGAATTGGGGCGTCACGAGTGTCAGTTTCAGATGATCCGCCACCACTGCAAGGCTCAGCTACATGTTGTGACTCTCTCAGGATGGTTCCATCTCCTTGACGCACCCCTTGCAAGTGTGCCACACGGTCTCCACCGCATGCTTTAGCCCGACCTTTGGATCTAACTCATCGACTATCTCCTTCTGCTTCACGGCAGGCTCGCTTGGAGTACGCATGCAGACGTGCAAGCCGCCTGAGACGTGACCTTGGAAGGAGGGTTAGACCCAGATCTTGCGGCCTTGACTTCCCACAGATCGTACATTGGTCCGGCTGTCAGGCTGAAACGAATAGGAGGTGTCAGCCCGAGTGCAACAGGAGGCTCGGGTGAGGCAAGGGGTCGGAGAGCGTTACACACGGTCCGTGGGTGTTGATTAGTGAGGAGTGTTAGAAAGGGTGACGAAAGCAATGCAGATATAAAGAGGTGCGATTAGTAACAACCTACCCTAGTTAGGAAGGCTTCGAGAGACCACGACTGTTGTTCGACGAAAGTCGCCACGTCCGAGCCTGGTCTTCCAAAGTCCAAGACCCATATATGCACGAGGGACAGCCTTTCGAGCTTACTACCAGTGTTGCCCCAGTGCCAACTGGCCAGTGCGTAAGATAGAGACCCCTGCCGCGGTCCGATCCCATCAGGGCGGGGTTTAAAGTCTCGCTCAATCATACAAAGGGAGTCTTAGAAACCTGCTTGTAAGTGATTGACCACCCACCCCCTTCCCCTGCGTCACGCTCACCCCTGCTAGAACTTTGAACATCACGAAGTGCTACTGGAAAGATCGGCGCGTTCTCAACGCACAGCCTAAGCTGCAGTGGATGTAGAGATCGTGATGTGAAGCCCAACGATAATCCGCTTTGGCGCTAGAAACTCGGAATGCGGACCGCCCCAGTCGCGCGTGGTCCAGTGGCCAGACCCCGTGAGGAACGGCGCGCACAGACGCGCTGCGTCTCCCGCTTCTTCAGCACTCAGCATCATCGACTTTTCTCCTGATCATCCCATGTACACCAAAACAGCGGTCTCTGCAGCATGACCGTCTCTCTTTCCTGTTCTCGCGGCATCAAACAATTATAGGTCGCCAAGGAGAACAGGAACGACAGGCAAACAGCCGTAAATAGACCCGCGCATCGGTATCAGCGACGAATCACAGGTTTCAGCCCAACCGGCGCGTTACTTTCACCGCTTTCTCGCTCAGGCGGATCAGCGACACACCGCCCACCGCGCACCCGGCTCAGCGGCCATCGCTCGTCCCCGCGCTCGGTGCACCCAACTGCCTGAAATTGAGGCTGCCATGCTTTCCCCTGCACCCTCGCAAAGCCTCGGGCTGTGCCGCATCCCCGCGAAGCCCAGAAGGAACAATGGGAACGCCCAGCGCCAGGGTGCTCGAGCGCGATCTGAAGATCTCACCGCCTGAGGCGGAGACGCGTCTCCCTCACTGTTGCAACCACGGTCCCACCGCTTCGTCGCACCCTCGCCTCCAAGCGACTCTATGTGCCTTCCCAGCTGATAAGGGCTGCTGTGGACATCAGCATGTTCTGACCTTTTCAGCTCACCTTGACTTCTCACATTCAATCACCATCGCCTAGTTCTGACTACTACCTCAATTTTCTCACTGGATGGTTGGAACGGACATGACCTGTGAGCTTCCTAGTTCGCTCGAGCTTACCGGCCAGACGCTCGAGACTCTTCAGACAATGTCAGTGTCTGGTCCATGGACGACGATTACAGCGGTGGCTGGTGGTGTTTCCCTGTGAGTTGAGCAGCTGGGTGGTTAACAACTCTAAGCTGACACGCAGTGGTGAGTTATCGCATTCCAGGCGTAGTTCAAAGTCGATGTCGGCTGAGGGAGCGAAAGCCTGGCGATGTCCTTGCTGCCGAGCATGGTCTCCGCTTCGCCTTACCCTGAAGCACACAGCTAACAAAAGTGGATCGCGCAAGTCACCATCTGCTTCCCGCCCCGTCGAATACCTGAAGCCACTCGCGCCGGTGTCTAAGCAGCCTGACGGGGCCCGTCCCATGTCCATGGGCCCTCGCCGTGCGAGCGGCGGCATGCCGATGCCGGACGGCTACCTCGTGTCGACATTACGCCGCCAACAACAGATGTCCGTCGGCCCGAAGGGAGGCCAGTATCTGTCGCCGAACTATTCTCCACAACCCACGATCGTGTGGAACGGCGCCGCGCAGGCTGCTGAGGCCGCGGCCCGAAGGGAGGCCAGTATCTGTCGCCGAACTATTCTCCACAACCCACGATCGTGTGGAACGGCGCCGCGCAGGCTGCTGAGGCCGCAAAGCAGAAGGGGAACACCGATTTCGGCCCTGGGTCCAACACGAGTCCGTCGGGGTCGGTCAGGAGCTCGAAGCGCGGCAACCGCAACAGCGTCGGCCCGCCACCGTCCAGGTCTAGCCGCCTCGGCAGGCCTGCTGGATGGGATGAGGTCATTGCCCCTATTGAGGAGAAAACCGAATACGGCAGTACCGCCGAAAACAGCGTCAAGTTCGCTAAGGGCGGGCAGGCGGCGATGCCAGTGATGGCACAGCGATGAGCACGAACGACCTAAACGATGGCGGATCAGGGCCATGAGCGTGACGGTGATCGTGTGATGATCTTCGGTGTGCTCCATTGACGGCTATGATCCAGGGCGGCAGGGCTTGGCGACATCACTTTCGAGTTGTATTATGCAGGACGATACCCACGCTAGTTCACGGACCAACGGACATCTCCTACGTCACTGCTCGCATCGGAGGTCGGACATCCACACTGGGGCGGGAGCTACGTTGCTTCCCCGTGCTACGGAATGCCTGCACCTGGACCATTGGGTGGCGAGCGAATGTTAGCTGGCCGATAGTGGTGGGAAGATGGGTGTTAGCGCCACGCTAATGACTGACGATCATGAGGTCACTGACGCCGAAACGTTCAAGTCCAGGATGCTCGCGTGCAAGCTCCCCCACGCACCCATTGGCAGGCCAGCATGAATGCGACATATCTGCCTTATGGCTGATGACGGAAAGGCAGGATAGAAGCAGAGCAGCTGCGGACTAGTGACGAAGCACACGAGCGATCGACGAGTTGGCTTCGGTAACCACTGCGCCGCTGGCCACCATAGGCAGCACTAAACCTGATCTCTGCCGTATTCTCTGCCGACTTAGAATCCGTTACGGACGTTGGCTATCCACAGCCAGCGCATACATAACGATGTCCTCGGCTTCTTCGACTGCTCCATCCGCTCCCCAACTGCCCTTCGGTCACGAACATCCATCTGCGTGCTCTCGACTCATCTTACTCTCACCTTCCGAACAACCCTTGTGCCCTCCTTCGCCCGACTTTATCCCCTGCTCTCAGCATGGCCGTCTCCTCTGCCTCCGACTCGATGGCGGTCATCGCGTTCCTGGTCATCATCTGCGGGACGCCGGTGGTCATTCTCATCCTCGTCGGGTGCATCTGGTGGGCCCGACGGCCTCCCCGCTGCCTCCAGTGCTCATACCGGCACCTCCCCATCCCCGCCCGAGTCGAGTGTCCGTACGTGCGCAACCCGCCCTCCTTCCTGCGGTGGTTCACCTCACCCCTGAACGCGAGCAGCGACATTGAAGTCACCTCCATTGCTTCAGTCTTTCCTATCCGCCGCTCACGGAGAGCGAGGCGGGAGGAGAGACCCGACGAGGTCCGCCCCCGCCGCCTGACTACCGAGGAGATGGAGTACTGGATCCAAGAGATGGCACCGCCTCTGCCCGTCTATCTTGAGCATTTGCCGGCCCACGAGATCCTCATCGAACGTGACGGGTGCACCTCCCCGACGCCGAGCTACCGATCTCCTGCGCCGAGCTACGTCTCGCCCCGCTCCTCGCTCTGCCTCGACTACATGGGCGACGGAGTTGCCGCACCGCCCAGCTCTCCTGTCGTCATGAGGACTGTCGCCGCCGCCGCCCGTGCGGAAGCCTCCTCGGGTGCGCCATTGACTGCCCTCCCTCCCGCCATCACGCGCAAGTCGATGCGCACTCTGCAGCGCGGACGCTGGTCGTCCACTGCCTCCATCTAGACCCCTGATAGATCTCTGCTAGACGCCTTCTATCTTTGTTGTACGCATATATCAGATGAAGCTATACACGCTACGCGCGCGGCGGCGTTAACGCCTTCGCTGAGGGCTTGAGGCGCCTGACCACCACTGAACGAGATCCTCAGCGCCCCAAGCATAATCATCATGAGTTGCACCTCTTGATCACCCGATGGCTTAGCCGGGTTTCTGGAAGGTAGCAGTGTAACAGAACACATCCGGCAAGACCTTGTAAAGCCTAGCAGCCACTGCTCCAGATCTGCGGTGGACGGACCCCAATCATGAGCCTTGCTGACGCGACGCAAACAAGAAATGCCCTATGGCTCAGTTGGCTAGCGCGTGGAGCTGTTATCCGTAACATACTCCGAGGTCCACGGTTCGAGCCCGTGTGGGGCAGCAAAGCAACTCCTTTTGTCCCTTTTACATTCTCCTTTCATGTTTTGACTCAAAGAGACCGAGAAAAGTGGAAGAATCGGGGGTAGGAAGAGCTGGCTCTGGGTGGTGATTGGCACTCACGGGGAAAATTTCGAACAAAGGGGAACAAAGTGGAGGTTTCAGGGTAGTGCCCCTAGCGCCGTTCGGCGTTTCAGCGCTTATCGGCCTGGGACTAATTGCCGTGCCTCGTGTTCATTGTCGAGTTCATTAACGAAGCTGTGCTACGCAAAGCGGAGGACATTAGGCAAGGGGCAGACAGGGAGCAATGTAGATACGACAGGATGGATACATGAATATATATAGTCTATAATCTATGCACAAGTAATACAGATCGTCCACTTCTACGTCGTTTCAGGCCGTCGCCTTCCTGGCCAGCTTCTTCCGCATACTCTCGCCCTGCGACACGGGGCGGCCCATTTCTGGCCGCTCGGGGCGGTGCTCGCTCTCGCTCCTCTCGATTCTTGACTCGGCGCGCGGAATAACCCCAACGACGCCGAGCACGCTGTCCCTGAGGCTCGTCCTCGAGCTGTTCCTCGACATCCTGGCCGAGCCGCCCGGCGACCTGCCGCCGCCCACGCTCCCGCCGCTGTTCCCACTCGCAGCATCCGTAAGCACCTCCTCCGTCTCCTGCGTCGGGAGCAGGGCGGAAGTGCTCTCCCCATGCTGGTGTGAGACCTGTTGCGTCCTGGCCGTGAACACTGAGCGAATAGAGCTCATGCGGGAATTGGCGGGACTGAGGCGGAAACTCGCATTACGCTGGAGGTGCCGCCTGAGGCTCGAGTTGCCGAGGAGCTTCGCGCTGCTCTCTCCTATGATGCGGCGCGCGCGGGACGTGCGGACCTCGGACTCGTCCTCCTCGTCGCTGCTCGTTGAGACGGACCAGGTGCTGCTGGCCGCACTGAGGGGACGCTCGGGGTACTTCTCGGGGCTCTTGGGGCTCTTTGTCGGGGAGCGCGGAGCGGGGGCCGAGTGCGTGCTGTGTGCGTGCGAGAGCGCGCTGTGCACTGCCACGCTGCCTGGTGCGGAGCGCGCACCCCGGGGATAGCGGAAGGAGGACGGTGAGGTCGGACTCGTAGGGCTCATCTGCATCGGCGAGGTGACGCGGCCATGGCCGTGGGAGGAGGACCCGTGGATCTCGCTCCAGGTCGGGGGATGCTCGGGCCAGGGCGTGTCGTCGTATGTCGGCGCCAGGGACAGTGTGTCCGTCTCGAGCCGCTTCAGGAGAATCTGCTCCTCCTCGGCAGCGTCGGGCTTGTACATCGGCAGCGTGGCCACGGACGTCCCGCTTTCCGTGCGCCGGAGCGCGGCGAGGCGGCGCTGTTCCCGGATCTCCCGGCGGCGCTCGCGATCAACGGCAGTCGATGGGGCCGACGTGGTCGTGGAGCGATTCGGAGCGACAGTGGGCAGAGGCGGTTTGCGTGCAAACCACTCTGGGCGCTTGTGTTTGAAGTACTGCTGTCAGCTACGTCGAAAACAGACCAGCGACAGACGTCGTCCACATGGGAGAGTCTGGGAGAACTCACAAAGTACGTAGCGGCCAGGACGATACCGACACCGAGCACGATGGGGAGCGCGATCGCGACGCCGTTCGTCGCCGACCCGCCCGACTCGGTGTGGACCGGGGCCGGCGCCGCGGTCACAGTGACCGGATGGACGCCGCTGATGGAGGCAACCACAATATCTGGCGGTGGCAAGCTCTGGCGCGGGATGTGCATGGTCTGTTGTGTTGAATGTTTGCTCTGTAAGCTGAAGTTGGTAACGAGCGGAGTTGTGCCAGCCGGCGGCAAGTTGATGGCGCCTGATGGCTGATGGCGATGCGCAGGCGGTCAGGGCGGAGGGTTGTTTTCGTCGAGACAGTTCTATTCCCGTTCTCTATCGTACTGTCGTGCTGTCGCTGTCCGTCAAGGTTCGTATCGCTAGTCGCTTCGGCGGTGAATTTTAGGATGCAAAGTAAAGAGTGTGTGAACGAGAGTGACAGCAGTGGACGATACAGCGTGGAAGAGGACTACGGCGACGAAGAAGCACCGCTTCGGCGATCAGTGCACGCCCAGCTGTGCTGGTGGAGGCTGGTTGCCGCAGCATTAGGCACAGTGACATGTTCCCTTGGCGTGCGGGGCGTTCCAAGGGCGGTGTCTCAGACGAACGTCTCGGCCTTCGATCGCAGCTGCACGACGGGCGCAGCGCAGCACACGACGCAATGCACTGGGCATGGCCAGACCTTCAAGGGATCGAGGGATTGGCGGTAGGCATGACAGGTTGCTCGTTAGGCGTGAGACGCTTGGCGGCGATCGGCAGTCTGGGCGGTGAGAGATGACTACGCAGCAGCGCAGCAGCCTACGTGTGCAGTGCAGAATGTAGGGTGGTGGAGGTGTCGTGCGACACGCACACTGCATACGGCGTACGCAGTCTGTGCCCTGTGCCATGTGTCAGTTGTGCCTCCGAGTCAAGCACATAAAGCACACTGCGCACACCTCAGGCCGCAGCATAAGAAGTCGAGTGGCGACGGGGAAGACAGCCGTTTGGAACTTCTACCTTCGGAGTATTCTTCATTCTACCCAGCGCAACCTGACGCATTTGTACTGGCAGGTGACAAGGAAGTAGCCGCATAACCGGCTTCTGACCAGTTTCACGTTTGTTCCAAGCTCGACGTCACTACCGGTCGTCCAGTCAACATCACAGGCTGCTGGCGCCGGCCGGTCCTTCGTCTACCGATACGAGGTAGTTGAGTCAGTGGAGATCCGGGATTGGTCCACAGGTCCTAGATAAGAAAGTGGAGTCGGGCTTGCCCGAGTCGTATCGGTGCCGTGGCGTCAGTTTCGAGTAAGCAGCCCGGCGGCAGTTGCGCCGCTGACAAGCTGACAACATTTCTCATGCAAAGATAGCGGCGGGAAAGCAATCCCGGGCCAAACGGCCTGCATGTTATTGGTGGCAAGCAGTTGCCGTTCAGAGGTACGGACGGATCTCAACTCATATCTTGATCACGGGGACAATCACGGGCTCACGAACTCCTAGGATCCCGGGATCCTAGGTTCGGTGCGGAGGAACACGGGCGCCATTGACTGTTTGGATCTCCGTTCAAGGAATCCAGCAGCGGCTTAAGCCAACGCACGTGAAGAGCACTGGAGCAGAGCAGTGGTGAGACGTCAGTGGAGCGAAGGGAAGACGAGTACGGCATCTATTCGGTCGTCACCGATGGTCAATCCTCACATTCCGCGCTAATCAGGTACGCCGTAGGTCCGCATGCACCGCCGCAGAGAGCCCCGCTTGCGCTGACTCCCAGTAGAATGGGAGCTGCATCGCCACTTGGCGATCTCTTCCTCCGGTTTGCTTGGCTAAGCATGACTCAGCCAGTCAGTCACCTTCCTATCTTTACTATCTCTGCATCTGTAACTGGCGGCGAGCGGCGGATTGAAACCTCGTTATAGCTGTTACATTATAATCTCAGGAACCTCATTAGATCTACTAAGTACAGTGATTTGCTATTTTGGTACAACAGTCTAGTGGTACAAGATGTTACAAGATTAGAGCACAGATTAGAAGGCGATTAGGAGCGATTAGGCGCCGCAGTTGCGCTCGATAGGCATACCGGGCTGGAGGGGACAGGGGAGGTGGCGGGGGTGAGCGTTGTTGCCCTCGGCGCAGGAGCAGGGGGCACAACCACAAGGGAACTGGGCCTTGTGGCCGAACCACGTAGCGTACATGCTGGGCTTGAGGCTCGCCTCGATGGCAAACTGGAGCCTGAGAGCGTCGCAGATGTCATTGCGCGTGGGGGGCTTGAGGGTACGGCTCGGGCGGCGGTGGCTGGGGTTGCGGCTGATGGGCTGCGAGGCCGGAGGCGAGGCCGAGAGTGCAGCCGAGAGAGAAGGGCTGGAAGGGGAGGGCAGCGCAGGGAGAGGACGCTTGGATGGCGAAGCCGGGGTACCGAACAGCTGAGCGCTGTAGGGCGTCTGGGGGTAGTCGTCCTCGTAGAGCGTTGAGTGGGTGCTGGTCGGCGAGCCCCAGAAGCTGGAAGGGGGAGAGGAGGCGATCGACTCCTCATCACTGAGCGAGCGCTCGCTGGCGCGCACGACAGCGCTGTAGGGAGGAGGAGGAACGGGAGGCGGGACCCGCTTGCGCGCAGCGTCGAAGTCGGTCACGATCCGCGAGGGAGACGGCGTGCGGCGCGCAGCGCCAGAGGTGGGGCGGGAAGCCCCGGAGCCCGAAACCTTGGTGTAGCTGTTGCTGGTGGCCTTATCATGTCAGCTATGGTTCCTCGCCTGGAGGAGGGCCCGACTCACAGTAGAGATCATAAAAGGTGTTGAGTTCGTGTTAAGAAACAGAGTCGTCTTGGAGGATGCGTACAGTGCGGTCGATGGTCATGCAGGCAGCTGTCGCTGAACTTGGTTGAAGCCGGACTTGTGAAGTCGTCGGGTGTGGGTGTTCTGAGGAGAGAGGAAGAGGTGCTTGTGCGTCGTTGACTCAGGCCCTAGTTGCATACCGCCGGGTTTATGTATCTCATCTCGGCGCGCAACTGGTAAGGTATCCGAGGCGTCCGAGGTGAGTGACGAAAGGAGGCGATGTCTTGGCGTAGATTATCCAGGCGGCGGACTCGACGTGCACCCGGCGCGGCGGCCCAGTGTCGGCGGTCTGGAGATATTCCGGAGTTGCTGTAGCGCAGCGTACCTAGTACCTGACGCCACTCTCAGCGCTGGCGAAGGCGCTACGGCGTACGGCCGAGGCACCGAGGCATCTTGAATGATGCGTATAGGGTCCGAACAACGAGGTACGAGCGTGCCGCTGTGTCATCTCGAGCTTGCGCGAGATTCAGCATCAGGTAAGCCAATCACGGCCCGCCCTCGCTCCACCGCCCGCTTGCGTCGGCAACGTCGCGACAGACACGATAACATCACGTGCTGTCGGACTCTTTTGACCAGTCAGAGCTCACCGTGGGTGAACTACGTGTTCTGGATGAACTTCTGGGAGAACTTGGACGGCCGCCATCTGCGGACTTCTCTTGCGGACACGTGCCGCTGGTACGCACCGTAGCGCCGTCGCATGAGCCCGAGGCCTGCAGACCTGAGGATGAGACTTTCCGATCCACGGTGCGCTACTTATTATACCAGCTCAGGGCTTCTCGCGGATGCCTCGGTGAGCTACCAGCTAGCGCAACCTCGCATGACCTCATTCATCTCTATCAGACACTGTTTGGCCTCACTCCAGAGCACTGGACCAGGCGGGACACAAGAGGATCGTCGTCGGATCGTCAGTTCCTAGTCTGAATACTAACGTGAGCAACACGGGGAATCTCGGACCTGCATCTGAAGGAGCAACACAGAGGCACCAATGAGTCAGTCACCTAGCCACCCGGACCCGGGTATGACTCGGGCTGGGCTGTACCACGGGGACGCTCCCAGCAGCCACCCGTGCATACGGCTATCTCGCTCGAAATCTGGCGCACGAACGTGTTTCGCAGTGTTGAAGCGTGTCAGTTTTGAATATGTGAATCGAACACGCTCCGAGCCGAACCATGATGGCATCGCCCGGTTGAGTGATGACCGTAGGGAATAGACTTCCCTACGCTTTGACTCCACCGCCTCGGCGTCAGATACTCGGCAACTAAAGAACACCGGGCACCAGGTGGTCATCTGACATTACTCTCAGCGATAGCGCGAAGCGTGCTCATGCGCCGGCCGAAGCTGCCTCGACTGATACATTGGGTGATAATATAGATTACAACTGTGCAAGCTTCACAACTGGGCGGAGCGAGGGCGTCCGCGCTGCTAGCTGTAATGAAAGGGAGTGGGGGGAGGAAGTGCTCGGCTCGGAGCTGGATTCGGGGTAGGGGAAAGTAAGAGTGATAAACGGCGGGTTGTGAGGACTTGGACTGTACATGCGGCGCGGACGCCGAGACGCAGGTATGGATACTGCGAGGAAGACGTCTACTTGGAGGCGCCGAGCTCCTTGGTCTCGCTCTTGGCCATCTCATCCTGAGGGTAGGCAGGGGGAGGAAGCTCAAAGGAAGAGCGGAGCGCGGTTCCCGTGAACAGCTGCTCGTCGAGAGACTTGGGCTCCTGGTAGTACGCGGGCTCGGGCGTGCCAGGGAGATCGATGGTGGACGAGGACAGCGAGCTGAAGTTGCGGGCACGGTCGGCGAGCCAGGCGGTGGTGCGATCCTTGCTGGAAAGGCTGCTGGGATCAGCTTGTTCCGCAATATGAAAAAGCTAGAGTCCTGAGAGCGCGTTTATTGTCCCATATGTACGCAAGTACGACGGCATCGCGTGCCACACAGGTGCCACGCGACCACAAGCCATGTAACACAACTTCCACGTCGAGTGCAGTACTCACTCCTCATTCTGCTCGAAAGCACGCTGGGCCCTCGATGCAGCGATCTCGGCCTGATCGGCCTTGCGCTGCTCGCGCTTGGCGCGGCAGCGCGCCCACATCTTGCGGGAGCCGTTGGTAGCCTGCGCGACAATCATGATCTGGAGGGTCAGATAGAGTGCAAAAATCTTGTCGCCGCTCCAACTGGGGCTAGAGGACTTACCACGAGCAGAAGACCAAGGACAATGCCGAGGACCATCCCGGCGATCTCACCCGGGGAGAGGTCGCCGAGCGAGCGGCCGGAGCGGTGGGGCGCGTCGGTCGACTCAGAACGCCTGGCAATCGGGGCGGCGAGGCCGAGGGTAGCGGTGACAAAGAGAAAGATGATGAGGCTGAGCATGGTGTTGGTCGAGTTTTCTCAGGAGGCTGAAGGAGTGGTGAGGGAAGTGCTCGAGGTTGTTCGAGCCACTTGAAGGTCGAGATGAGGGAGTGTAAGGAAGAGAAATGATCGCGAGACAGATGTCTGATCGCCTGTCGCCTACTGCTCGTGCGCTTGGGGCAGTTGAGGTGGTGCTCGCCCCCCAAGCTCTGATGAGGAGAGACACGTCCCAGAGAGAAAGGCGGGTGCCGGGGTCTCGCACGAGGCTTGCTCCTTTCGGCGTTTGGGGTTGACTGGGAAGGAGACACACAAATGTCGTGTCTGTATGATGGGGCTACGTCTTTTGATCCTGGGAAGCTGGGAGCTCTGAAGGAGGTGTGAAGGCTAGTGCGAAAGTACGAAGACGTCTGTCGAGTGTGTAGAGGTACGTCGGGTGAGTGAGAGTATGCAAGAGCAAACGAGAGCTCCAACTGGTTGGGCGCTATCCTTTCTATGATATCAACTAGTTACTGCTTCAGACGGAGCTCATCTTCTCCATGCGTATCTGCTCAGGGCCGCATGCCAAGCCATGCGAGGCGTGACAAGATCGACCAAGACAACGAGACATGCCGCGATGTAGGCTGCCCAACAGCGGCTTAGAGCGCAGCATTCAATCAATCAGGATCAGGGATGGGGCACACGACCCACGCGGCATGAGTGAGGCAGGACGATCTTCTGCCAAGTCACTCGAGCCGGGCCCAGAAGGAAGCGCGAGCGGGGCGCCGAAGACTAAGGCTCGGCGCTGAATGTGCTTGTCGGATAGTACCGCAAGCAACTCACCTGCCTCGGGCTGCAGCCTGCCGAGCCAGCCGAGGCCAAGAAACGCCTTGGCTCATGGTCCCTGGACCCGCAGCAGAGATCTGGATGATCTAGGGTCACGTGCGCCGTAAGGTTCAGTCGCTGGCCTTATCGTTCTCCTATCAGCCCCTGAGCTCCGGATTCCACGCCTAGCCGAGAGAGCCGACACCGCACCGCCGCGGCCGCTCCGCCTCCGTCGACGTCACACTCCGAGCTAGCCGAGATGGCGGCGGCGTGGAGCGTAACGTCCGGCGTCGCCCGGCTACGACTTCCCGGCGCCGGACACTTGAGCCTTGGCCGAGCCATGGCGGAGCACGTCATCTGACTGACCGGCTCCGAAGGACTACGCTGCTAGTCCGCTGCCGAGAGCTGTGCCAAGAAACTCGCGGTATGAGGTGCACGTGCAGAACAGCTACAGGTACTTGGTTTCATCCTCACTGACGGCCTTGGAGCTCGTGCGTTTCACGGCTATCTTATCCGGACCGCCCTGAAGATCACGGACCGAACGTTCGGCCGTATCGGGCGTTGAGGCTTGGTGTGAGGACTCGTTTGACAGCAGGCCGCCTTATATCCTTGCTGCATTAAGTGGAAGGAGCTTGTGCGAGGCGTCGTTCAATGTAGGGGCACAGGATGATAGGTGATAGTAGTCACATGAAACTCATATTATAGGGACGTCTATCTATCTATCCATCGCATTCCTTTGTTTTGGTTTTCTGGATATTATGGGATAACGAGTCGATTACTGAGTCCATTGTCATCGTACGCATCAGCGCACACCTTGGGCCGCGAAGCGGCAGAGACTGGCGGGCGCTCTTGAACTGCTGAAGAGGAGGCCCGCGCCAGACTCACATCTTGCCGGTACGAAGGGTACGCTCCTTGAACTCTTCACGACGATTGTCGTGGGCCGGAAGATCGGGGAGGACTGAAAGATCAGACCATGGCTCGCGAATACTCTCGGAACAGGAAGGACGGCTAGCGATAGGAGAGGGATCTACGTCGATCGTGGACTGGGCCAAGAACTGAACGGCCTTCTCCTCTTCTTCAGCGGCCTGAGTGAAGTCGTAGAAGTGGGGAGTGGGGCGGGATCCGGTAGCGGTAGCATGGCTGCCCGTGATGTCGTCCTGGGAGGAGACGCAGGGAGTACGACGGTGCTGCATGCCCGAGCGAGGACGAGGGACTGGATCAGGGACCGGAGGTGCGGGACGAGAAGACATAATCTCTCCGGGCGGGATGAGACCGTTAGATTTGCCGTTGGCAGGATAATGGCCAGACGAAGAGCAGCTAGGGCTGACCCCGCTGAACGTCTGAGCGAGCTTGTCTTGAACGGGCTGTCATCAGCACTGTCACTATCAGGTCAGACCGGGGCGGTGACCGTTGACACTTACAGTCTTAGCGTTGGTCGCAGTGGAGTCGAAGGAGTCGCCGCAGGTGGTGTTCGGGCGTGGAACCGAGGAGTCCGGACGAACGGCACGGCCAGTCTGGTACTGGGCAGCGTGATCCCAGAAGCGAACTCGGCGCTGCTTGTCACCCTTGCCTTGAGCCGTGTTGAGGATACCCTTGATGCCCGAGTCACTCGCTGAATTGTACGCAGTCGTAGGCTTGGTACCATTCTGGCCGCCCGAAGAGCACGCGACACCAGACGAAGTGTTGCCAGGGGTGATGGTAAGGTCGAATTCAGAGGTCGAAGGGGCACCAGCATCAGTCATGGGAGCAGCCTTGCCCGAGCCGATCACATAGCCATTCTTGGGGCTTTCAGGAATGTTACTCCCAATGTTTCCGGAGTCATTCAGGCTGGCGGAGATGGGCACGTCCAGAGACTGGGTTTCAGGACTTGCGTGACGGTCGTTAGCAGGCGCTGATTGCCCGATGCCCTCAGAACCAGGCGACTGGGTATGGGTATCGTTCTGGTTATCCGCAGTCTCTGCAGACGAAGGGATGTAGGGGGGCGGACCGCGACCAAGCATACAGCGAATAGCGGCCAGATCGTCATCCCAGTTAGACCGCGGGCCCGGGGCATCAGGAGGCGTGGCGAGGGCGGGATTTTGCAAGGCGATGGGAAGCCTGGAGTCACTTCTGCACTGTCAACGCTGAAGGCATGAGGAGACCATCGAAGGAAGGGTCCTTCTTCAGTTTTCTTTGCTCGGAAGCAAGACTCACGAGAAGGTTGAGTAGCTTGAAATTGAGCTGGAGCTTGAGTTCAGGGCGCTCGACTCGGATTCGGAGGACGGAGGGTTTAGACCGTTTGCGCCATTGTCGGGGGCAGGGGTGCCGTTGGAGCTACGGCGCTCCTTGAGCCAGCGGACGGTCTCAAAGACGACGTAAAACTGGCGTCAGTATACTTGTTACAGGATTGCGTAGAACCTACGGCGGCGAGAACAAGCATGTGCTGCCAGTCGGTGATAAAGAACCGCAACTGCGGATCAAAGGGAAGAGGAGGACGGCGGTCTCGATGGCGTCGGCCCCGTTTTGGCTTGTCACTTGCGTCGGTATGGATGGGATGGGCTTCCACCAGCACAAGCTTCAGGAGGAAGATCGCGAAAGCGACGAGAACAGAAGAGAGGGGGCGCATGGTGGTGCCGGACTGGAAAGTCGACCAGCCGACGATGGTGTTGACAGTTGCACTGGGGCTGAGGATCCTGCCTTTATAGCTTCGTCTTCCGAGCACGTCAACCTTCAGAGGGGGCGCTACTGCGAGGATACTCGCACCCGTAGCACCACGGCGGTGCTGCGTCTGACTGTTCCACCCGCTCCGGACAAGTGCCTGGTCCTCCTACGACGCACGACGTCCCATATCGCAACAACGCGCTGAGATTTGCGACAACCTGTCCATGTATATAGAAGAGGCGAGGTTCGCACGACAACACAACACACAATACGAGATCTCTTCCCACCCGCTTTGACCTCCTTGGCGCGAGGAAGGTGCAAAGAGTACGCCCCTCCGTCCGACCGACGCGCGCCTCCCACCGGCGTGGTCTCCTTTGGGAGAGCGGCAACGTGGGATGTTCCCGGGTAAATGCAGACCATGAGGTGGGTGCAGTTTTTGGGTACTCACAGGTCTGTATGCCGTTTCCTGCTCTGATACCTTTCACGGGACTGCAGGTGGAAAACTCGTTCCGTCTCTCGCGATCATTTGCGTTTCCCGATAGAATGTCACATACGTTGGAGCAATACAGACCGCACCGTGACCAGCTTTGCAAAGGGCCAATCACTATGTGCTTTATTTCAAGCAATCTAACTCAGAAGACGCCGCACTCCGTTCCGTTCCATTGCTTTCGAACGAGCGCATCCCCCGCTACATTTACACCCGCCACACGTCATTCCGCCTGTCCCGCTTGGGATATGACGCCTATAAGACATCGATGCATACCAATCTCAAGGGACTAAAATGAACTTGAAGATAATCATGGAATTCCTGCTGCATGAAAGGGAGAATGCGCTGAAGGACTTGGACGTTGGGATCGCGAAGCCGAAATTCGAAATTTGCTGGCAAACGCCACTCGGCTAGGACGATCAGGCCGATGTGGACCATAGCGAGGACAGCACTGCAGAGCCGGGCGCTAATCCACCTGCCAGGCCCAAAAGTCTCGGAGTAGTAATGCAAGGGTTGCAGGACTAATCTATTGATGTACAGCGCCAGGAAAAGTCCGTAGTACCACTGCAGTCAGGATACTGGCGGCGGTTGTGTCCAACTCACTGAGAAGAACCGTACGCAGAGCTGAAGAAGCACCGCCGGGTCGCGAGACGTCATTAACCATTCTTTGATCAGAGAGGCGACGAGAAGAGTGAGAGAGTGGTAGAACTTTCCCTCTAACGACCAGTGAACGAGGTGAGGGAGGGCATGGAAGAAGACGCCATAAAGCGCCCTCTCAGTGTCGCGCATTGCGATGCGGTAGGCGCGCAAGACCGGGGAGCCGTAGCAGATAAGGAAGACAAAAGAGATGACCGAAAGACGGAACTCTTTCATGAGAAACTGATAGAGAATCTCAGAGGCTGAGGGCATCTTGGTGATTGTAGGAGGCAATGGGGGTGAGGAGTTTCGAGTTGATAAGAATGGGGACAGAGAAAACGAAGGTGAAGTAGTCGACGCATTCAAGCTTTGTCTCGTCTCCTCATTCACACTGGTGCACTGGTTGCGAGTCGTGCATTGTCCAGCCCGCTGGTGGGGTGACGGCTGATGTGCGCCCGCGAACAACAGACACGCTGTGCACTGAGCGCGTGTGTGGCGGGTGCGTGGCCCCTTCGAAAGTAGCAATGACTGCTCAGCACTCAGCCTACGGCTTTCAATCCTACGTCGAGCATGCAGCGAGTCGCTCCTATCTGTATGCAGCCAGTAAAATCCATACACATTAAAGCGTATCATCGTCCGTTGACATGGTTACAGTGAACTGATGGATTGAAATGCAGCGAGGCACCGGGCTTCAGGAACACAGCGAACGTGTCCTCACACAAACCACCTGGCTTGGACTGTGGGGAGAGGTGGGGGAGGTTGAGAATGGCGGTATGGGTTGACGGGCTGAGGTGCCCAGTTTTGAACACGAGGGGTGGGCTTGGGAAGGGTGCCGGTAACAGCACCAATGAGGACGATTTGGACCACAACGATAAAGTGAGCCGTCACGGCGCAGAAGCAGAAGACGAGGAAGTAGATCAGAGAAAGTTGGCAAGCGATAATGAAGCGGTGAATGAACCTTGCGAGTTTGGCGTTCATCCTGCTCGGTAAGTCACGTTCGATAGCGCCGCGCTGCTACTCACTTGAGGACCGCGTACAAGTGGGAGTATGAAGACGAGATGGAGAATGGCAGAATGAAGAGGTTGAACTGCATCCCGTCTCGTTTGCTGCGCAAGTGAGAGTGTTTGAGTGCGAGAGTGCGAAAATGCAGCAGCGCTTATTGCAGATGCTGCTTTGTGAAATGAACAACCTGACGCGCGGGCGACCGTTGGCTTCAGGGGATAAAAGCAACATGCCAGAAGCGTGAGAGATCACAAACTTAACATACAGTAGCGGCTGCCAGATGAATTCGGTGCAGAGCATCGAGCAGCAGCGCTTGCTAAGCTACAATACACTCTACAACGTTGACACCGTTGTCCCTTCAGAATGGTACAGACTCATCCCTACGTTTAGCCATGCTTGGATCCTGGCCCACCTGGACAAGGTGACTCACGAGTTGCGACCTCCAGGAGAACTGAGCGTCTCGAGGGGCGCGTCGGAGATGCCAGCATCGTGTGAGGGCATGTAGGTCCTTAGGTTGTGAGCTATTGCAGCTTCCGCAGTTGAAAGGCATTGGAGACTCACCGGTTACGCCTGCCAGGGATCATCGTGTTGTCCCCAAAGTCGGGGACTTCGTCCTCGCACCTGAACAATAGATCGATGACGCGAGCGGGAAGGAGGTTAATGGGCTCGATTAGGAAGAGGATGTTACGGCTGATCGTGAGCGTGGTCTAGAGGCTGTCTAAAGAGCGACGAGTTCCAGTCCTTTATCCTCGGAACGCACCGTACTGAAACGACCTGGCGGTCGACAAATGCACTCATAGGATCCAAGAGGACTTCAAAGACCAGTTCGCAATAAAGAACGACGCAAAATTCCAGTACTTCGAAGAGGTTGCGGATAAGTATCCACCACGCGAGCCTGAGCCGCGCGATGAACAACGTGATCGAGGCAAAGAATTCGTAGCCGAGCATCTTCGTCGGAGATCTAATGAAAACTGTCTTGGCGAAGATTGGACTGAAGGTGATAAGGACACGACGTCGCCTGAAGGCTGGAGGCTTTATGGTGCAAAGCACACGGGCAAGCATGGGCAGCGTGGGAGCGAAAGCGATGGACAGGCTGGCTACGAGATAGGCAAGCGGAGGGTAAATGCGAGGGAAGCACACAAGCGACGCAAGAAAACGTGCCACATCGAGGCCGCCGAGCACTAGAAGGGGCCAAAACTTTCGCATACCTTCCGCTCCTCGACTTGAAGTGTCAGTCACCATGACTGTGACTGTTCTAGGTAGACTCGAGACTTGCGACGCTGTTGTGAAGACTGCTGCACCCTCTCAAGAGTTGGGATTTTCCCACCTACCTCAAGTATCAGCCGGGCCGAGGCTCGCAAGCGTTGTCTTCGGACGTTCTCGTGGTGTAGTGGTTATCATACTCTCTTAGGGTGATCTAACATCTTGAGCTTTGCCTCCAACTGTCTTCGGACAGCGATTGGGAGTGGCCCCGGGTTCAAATCCCGGCGAGGACCTTTTTAGCATCTCCTGCTATTCTTTACGCTTTTGGGACCCCCAGGATGCTTTCGGAATGGAGAAATATGGAGGGACGAAGGGTGGACGTACGGCGGAAGAGGAGGGATTGGTCCCGCAGCAAATCGCCAGACTTTTTCGATCGCCAGGCACGCCACGGTGGAGGTCCGCAGCGGAACCAGAATTTCTCCCGGACCTCAAGGGCTCCGGACTGTCGGACGTTGGCTGGGTGAGAGGAGCGGTGGGAGCTTACGGCGAGAACGAGAGAAGCAAGTAGGAAGGGCTGCCTTTATGAAGACCTGGGCTGCAATGATACGAAGATTGGCTGGCGAATCACGAGCTTGAGGATTGTCCCCAGCTGTTGATGATGGTCGGCTAGTTGGCCCTGCAAATCAGTCCCTTCTGCGCGATGATTGATCTGATCTCTCCTGATAGCTATGAGCTGCGATGCAATGCATGATGACTAGATTTCGTGAAACTCTCTACCAAGACGACGCGGAGGCGGTGCGCTTCATGACCTTGTCCCAGTCGAGGTTCTTGAACCAGTCACGGGCAAAGTCACCACGGCCGAACACACCGTACCGGTCGCCGAGGTACGCGTGCTCGTAGAGGTTGCAGACGGCGAGGGGCGTGACCTCAGCGGCACCACCACGAACCGGCTTAACAATACCGGCCGCAAGGGGAGCCGACTTGGCGGCGTCCCGCTTCGCCGGCTCGGCGGTCTCGGCAGCGGGGGCCGAGGAGCCGACGCTCGACGGCGTTCCGTAGACCGGGACGGTGCTCAGGCGTCCGCGCTGCTGGCGCATCGTGACCAGGAGCGTTCCGGAGCCGAAGGTGGGGATAACGTCGAAGTCGTTGAGCGAGTCGCCGGCCTTGACGAGCTGACTGTTAGCTTCTACTCACACTGTCTGAAGCTGGCAGAGGTTCGTCTGATTCCAACAGTCGGCTCCAGAAGCGCGCGGAGGTTCTTCGACTCCCTTCATAACCTCAGATAATCAAGGAGTTTCAAAAACAACGATAGCACGCTTCAGGACGAACATCAAGAGCCACGTTGAACTCACCCAAAGCCATCCGCTTCCCGCCATGCCGTCAGCCGTGGCAGCCACCCGGTCCTCGAGGTGCTGGAAGTGCTCCGGGATGGGCTTGGGGGCATCGGCGTTCATGCCCTCGAGGTAGTACGAGTTGTTGATGAGCTGGGAAGCGTAGTTGAAGGCGAGCGAGAGCGTGGGCTCACGAGCAGTGAACGACAGGAGGTCGGTCATGTCGAGCCTGTCGTTGTCCCACTTCTGCCTGATCGAGGTGAGACCGGGGTTGTCTGTAGTTATGGAAGCACATGATCGGATGTGTTTGACAAGCGATGAGGTCAAGTAAAGGAGGGCATCAAGGGATCACGTCAGACGTCCGAGGGTCGGTAGGATATCGCATGCAGCGTCGGCGAGCATCGTTGGCAGCGTCCAGAGGGAAGCACGAGCGTCAGCATCATTCCCAATCTGTGTGTAAATTGACTTACTCCGGACCTCCTGCGAGAGACGCTCCCACAGTCCAGCCTGCCACTCGTTGACGCGGTCCATCTGCTCCTTTCCGACAAAGCCATCGATGCCGTTGAGGACACGGAGGTCGACGCCACCAACGGCGCCCTGGGGGCGGGGAGCGGCGGCGGAAGAGATGATGCCGCGCGTAAGGCGGGGGACGAGGCGAGCCATTGGTCGGGACATGGTGTTCGGCGAGATGGGTGCGGTCTGCAAGCTTCCAGCTTCGAGCTTGCTGCTGTTGCAGAGCGTCAAGAAAAGTCAGGCCGTTCCGAAACATGCGGCGTGACACCGTGGGAAAGTCGCCCGGAAGTCGCCACCGTGGGAAAGTGGATTCTTCAGTTGCATCTTCTCCAACACTGACCCAAAGGCATTGCCCGTGCTGTTTGTGTTTCGTCGTCACACTGATACCCCGGCATGGACCTCATTCCCGAAGGCAGCAAGGTCGCGTGCGTGAAGAAGGTCACTGATACAGGCTGACAGTAGCGTCTCCGCCAGCGCCCCTGGCACTTCGCGCAAAGCTCTGATCGCCGATGACGATGAGGCGTGGACCGCTCCTTCCAGCCCCGCTTTCGTCCAGCTCAAGTTTCCCTCTCCCGTTGATCCAACACGGATTGCCCTCACTTTCCAGGGTGGATTTGTGCCCACCTCTGTTGCTGTGACAGCGACGACGGAAGCTGGAGAAGTTACGGGCACTGTCTACCCGGAAGACAAGAATGCGCGCCAGATCCTGGAGTAAGCTGTTTGCAAGGCGCTGAGCTGACCGCAGGCTGCCGGAGATGAAAGGTGTCACTGCATTGCGTCTCGACATGAAGAGCAGCACGGACGTTGGAGGACGGATAACGATCTATCGCGTCGAGCTGCTCTGAGTTCAGAGGAGGGAGTGCTTCATTGTAACACTGCATCAACATGCACGAGCCATTGTAATATATGATCTCTGACGGAGCTGACCTTTACTAACCATATTCAGAGTACTGCATATCTTGACATCTAGCTTTATACATAGAAACATATCACAACTTGGCCTTATTCCTGACCCAGGCCCTTCCGCCCGTCCGCCTGACCCACTCGTCCGCGACCGTTTTCTTGATCGTCGTCTTCTGAATTTTTCCGTTCGCGTTGCGGTCAAGATCGCCCTCGTAGATGACACAGATAACCGGGCGGGCAGCGTAGCGAACCATTGGCGCGACAAGCTCGAGCACCTGCGCCTCGGTCAGGTTCTTGCCCGGAGCAAGGGAGACAGCACAGCCGACAAGCTCCCCGAGCACCGGGTCCGGAACTGCGACAGCAGCAACCTCTGCCGTCTCGGGGAGGGAAGCGAGGGCATTTTCGACCTCTGCGGAGGCGATGTTTTCGCCACCGCGGATGATGATGTCCTTCTGGCGGTCTCTGATCGAGAGCCAGCCCTCCTTGTTGACGGTGCCCATGTCGCCGGTGTTGAACCAGCCGTCCGGCGTGAGGACTTTGGCCGTCGCCTCCGGATTACCGTAGTAGCAGTTCATGACGTTCGATCCACGGGCCCAGATGACGCCCATCTCCTCTGGGCCACACTCGCGGCCGGTTTCCGGGTCGATTATCTTGATGTCGCAGATGGGGACTGGCGGGCCACAGCTCTCCGGGTTCTCGAGGTAGTCGCGGCCAGTGAGCGCGTTGTGAAGTCCGTTTGTCTCCGTCAGACCCCAGCCGTTGCTGACACTGAGACCGGGGAAGCGCTTCGTGAGCGCCGCCGCCATGCCAGCCTGAATGGGGGCGCCGCCGGAGGACACGGCCGTGAACATGCGCTCCTTCGGGAGGAGGGGAGACTGGAGGATCGCCTTGGTCGTGGCCGGCACGCCGCCGAGGACGTTGACGTTGTACGCCTCGATCAGCCTGATCGCCTCCGGCACACTCCAGCGCTTCATGAAGACAATCTTGGCTCCCGTAGTCATTTGTCGCGTTGTCCAGGAAATGCACCCCGTAACATGGAAAAGCGGCGCGGGGACGAGCATGCTCGCCTGCGTCGGTGCCGGCGTAGTCGCCTGCTCGTACGTCGCACCCGCACGAAGCATAGCGCGCAAGCTCGCAAACGTGCCCGAGACGTAGTTGTGCAGGGCGGCGCGCTGGTTCGAAATGACAGCCTTGGGCATACCCGAGGTGCCAGAGGTGAAGAAGATGTGCCCGTCCGAGTCGGCGTTCATGCCCTCGAGGCCATCGCCCCGCTCAACAGCAGCGATCTCAGCCTTGCTCGGCGTATAAGCCGGAAGGGGCTTAACGCTCCGCCGCAGGTCGGCCGAGAGATGCTCAGTCGGCTCCCAGGTGTAGATCGGGCCGACGCCGGCCGCCTTCAGCTTGTCCATGATCGGGACGAGCTCGGTGATGTAGTCGGCGTCGCCGAGGACGAGGTCCGGCTTCGTGATGCCGAGGCAGTGCAGGGAGGCGTCGACGTGCAGCGTCGAGTTGATGAAGACCGGGATTGCACCGCAGTAGTGCGCCGCCCAGGCTGCGACGAGGAACTGGCTGCTGTTCGTGCCACCCACGGCCACCTTGCTGCCCTGCCCGAGCCCGAGGGAGCGGTACCACGTCGCAAGCCGGATCACCCGCCGGCGCTGCTCGCCGTACGTCACAACCTCGTAGTCCTTCGAGTTCGGCAGAGGAGACACATACATGTCTCGGTCGGCGTACTTTTGGAAACCCATCTCGAGCGCCGCACGGTAGTTGGTCGGTTGCTGAGGTCAGCGCACGCGAGTTCTGTGGACTCACGTTCTTCCATACACGCTGCTTGGCGCCGTTGATGATGGCCTCCTCCATCTCGCCGATGTGACCCGGCGCGCAGAGGATGGCGTCGCCTGAAGTCAGTTCCGCACTAGCGTTGTGGTGACTCACACTCCGCCATCGTCCGCACGGGGTATGCCTTCGCCGTTTGTGCCATAGTGGTAGCCATGGGTTACTCGTCGACTCGTTGAGCGTGGAGAGTAGAGAGTGAAGTGCCAAAAGCTTCCCGTTGCATTTGGGGTATTAACTTGCTGGCTTTGTCTACGCTCGGCATGTCGAGGTGCGGCCGAGAGCATCCCGCACCCACACCAGCGCCAGGCCAGTGGGCTAAACGGGGCATGTGCCTTGGTAATGTGGAGAGCGTGAGCAGCGAAAGACCGAACCCCGCCCAATCAGCCCAGCTTGCGTCAGTCGGCGTCGGCCATGCCCGACTCCAGCGGCACCCCCCGCCCCCAGCATACCCCACGTTGTATGGTGGAGCCCAACTGCAAGCGAACCAGCTGTCCTGTATCAGGCATCACCCTGCGTGCAAGCACAAGGATTTTCCGAACAGGCATGGCAATCTCCCCACCGTATGCCTGCATGTACAAAGATAGAAGGGAGGTGGCCGACTTGCCCCTGCCGGATTGTTGCCGGTTTCCAGCGTCCATAGCCGGCCGCGGGTGGGCAACGTCCGGAATGTCACCATGTCGTCGATGAGAGCACGAGCAGTTGCACGTGATTGACATCCAAGCTGTGGCTGCGATGGCCCGAGGATCGCCCGGCAGCCGCCGGCATCGTCGTGTATTGCTTGTCGACTCCACGCGGACGAGAATCTACCTTGACATTAGCTATTTACAGCCGCTTGGTGCTGTGCATGCTCTCCGAAAGGGATCTCTCTTGCAGTCTGAGTTCGGCAGTCGCCGAGATTTCTGCGCTCAGAGGAGATGCAGAGATGGTCGAGCTGCTGGTGGTTTCGGGCTCATCAAGAGCCAGCAACCTCGGCACCGAATTGCGAATTGCGAGCATGACGGCCTCCTCCTCCAGCTGTCTCAGACCATCCTCACACGACCGCATTCGCGGTCCAGTTAGGCATCAGCTAATCTATACAGTGCATGAATGTTACAACCAGTGCTTGTTCCAATGCTATCGTCCAAACTCGTCCACATGTCTGCTTGCCTTCCTCCCGACACCCGCAGCCCCGAGCCCGAGACCGCTCGCCGTGTCCCTCTCCCTCCTAAACTCGTGCGCCGAGTACACCTTGCCAGCGTAGTCTGATGCGTTGCCCACGCCAGCCGCGATCGTGCTCGGCAGCCCGAGCGGCGGCTGCACCGCAGTGCCGAGACTCGCCACGAGCTCCGGCGCCAGCGCCGCAAGCGTGTCCGCCGCCGTGGGCCGTAAGCCGTGTCCTGTGCCGGTGTCCAGGGCGCGACTGAGTCGCTCGCCCTCACCGCTAGCCGAGACACTGAGCTGGATTCCAGAGATGCCCAGGCCGGGGTCAGCGGCGGCGGGCTGCCAGAAAGCAGGGTCTGGAGAGTAGGCTCGGGCGAGCTTGGTGGCGGCAGGAGCCGTCGATTTGCCCCATGCCTCCCCTGCAAGCAGCGGTGCCAGTGTTGCAAGCACTGCGCGCGCGTGTTCCGGCGGAGTGTCGAGCTTCACGTCCTCACCAACGGTGATCGCACGAGCGGCCATCTCGGGCAGAACGCGGCTGAGTGCACCTGCTGTATCCGGCTGAAAGGCGAGGGGTGAGAGGAGCCGAACGATCGTTGCAAGTGCAGCGGGTGCATGGGCATGTGTGCTGACTGCTTGTGCTCGCATAAGTGAGAGAGCGAGAGCCAGCGGAGACTGAGTCGCCGGGTATGGGGCTGCCCTTGGTGTGTCGAGACGCAGAAGAGCGCGCAGCGCCTCGGCAGGTTTGAAGTCGAGCGTCTGCTTTCCATCAAGCCCGAGCACCGCGCGCAGAACGGCGTCATCACCAATCTCTGCAAGTGAGTCCAGGTGCGGCGATTCGAGTGCCTCCGCGAGGGGGAAGCGGCCTGTCTTCGCCAGCAGTCGCAGTGACGGCAGTCCTCTCGTATCCGGTAGGGAAGCCAGCAGCTCGCCAGCTTCCGGAAGCTGGAGCTTCGCCGTCACCTTCTCTGGCACTACTGCTGCGTCAGACGGGCAGCCATACACTTCAATGTTTAAGCGGGCAGAGGCGTTCACTAGTAAACGGGTGGTTGCGGTCTACTGTCAGCTTAAAATCGGGCAGTGGTAGCTTACGCCGGGTGGCATGTCGACAGTAACTTCCTCCGTATGCATGACGCGCACGCTCAGTCTCTCGAGCGCATCAGCCGGGTCCGTCGGAGAGAGGTTGTACAGCACGTCAGCGGTGAAGCTCGGTCTGTCGTCAGCTCAAGCAGAACGAAGTAGTAGCTCACCCGTCACTCTCCGGCGACAGTACTACACACTCGATGCGAACCGGCGTCTCCAGCGGAACGGCGGAGATGGGATCGCAGCTGAGTGAGCCGCGGAAGACGAGCTCGGCCATGGTGATGAGTGCAGTGTTCACATTGATCGGTGTCTTCCTCCTCAGGTGGCCGCTTGGCCGCGCCGTCGCACGTTCAGCACTGTGACGTTTCAGATCCCTGGTGGAGGTTGTCTCATCTCATCGTCGCTTGATTCTCACGTGACGACGGGACTAAATCGTCAGCGTGGAGCTATCCGGCACAGCCTCGGTACCCCCGAGGCGATGCGGGGGTGGCCCGAGCGCGCTGCAGTGGAGAAAGCGGGAATCCCATGTCGTGTCGTCCGAGTTCATCTCGGACCTCGTCTCGGACATCTCTCGGACTCTGCGACGCCATCCCGACGTCACCCCGAACCTTATCGCTCTTATCTCGATAACTATAAAGCCCACGCACGCAGCCGACATGCCCCCCGCGCCTAAGAAACCAAAACTGTTCCGCGCGTGCGAAGCGTGCGTCAACTCGAAGACTCGCTGCGAGGATGTCACCCCCGAGGGGTGCGGACACTGCCGCCGGCGCCGCAAGCAGTGTTCCCTTCAAGCAATCGTGGGCGCGTACGTTGCGCCGTCCGAGGAGCGGTTCGGAACGCCAGGAAGCGAGCATCACGGCGTCGGGGCTGGGGAGGATGTGCGCGCCCTCCGCTCCCGCCTCGCCGAGACGGAGGCACGCTTAGCAAGCCTCGAGCGCATGTCTCGCCATCCCCCGCCCCCGCCAAGCTACCATTACTCTCCCGGTCAGCCTGGACCTGCGACGCCGCGCACGGCGAACTTCAACAATGCCCCGGTCGAGCCTAGGCTCATGCACGGCGCGCTCCAGCTCGCCTCGATGTACCACCAGGTGCAGCACGACGAGACGCTCTTTTCCGCAGCGAGTACCCGCCCCTACCGCAGCCCGACGTCTGTGGGCCTCACGCCGGACCAGATCGAGATGGCCTGGCACCAGTTCAAGGCGAGGATCACGAGCCTCCTCCCCCTCCCGCCCTTTACGGCTGTCTCGACGCCCGTGCCCGAGCATCCCTTCGTGCAGACCGCCATGCTGCAGTTCGTACCCTCGCTTGCTGGGATTGCGCGGCCCCTTGTCGACGAGGGCCTCCTACTCGCCATGGCGGGACATGCGACGCGCGACGTCGTGCTCGCGCTCCTGATTCTGAGTCTTGCCCCGGGACAGGCAGAGGACGAGCCCGGCGCGGAAGGCAAGGTACCAGAACATGCGCCCGTAACGCCCTCGGCCTTCCGCCTCGTCGCGCTGGCCTACTCGATGGGCTCGAACCTGGGCATGCAGTCTGCAGCCGAGGCAGCCCTGCGCGCAGACCTGGACAGCGAACATTGGGACGAGATGCGTTTCCAGCTCCTGATGTGGACGGCCGTCGTGAACCGCTACTCCCTCCTCAGCCTCATGTACGGCAAGAGCGTGACGCTGCCTCCGCTCGTGGCGCCGCGCCTCCCGCCCTCGAAGCGGGAGAGCGTGCAGGCCGCGCACGCCCATCTCCGCGCCGAGGCATCCGTCGTCAGCGCCTTCCTTCCCCTCGCCAAGCGGCTGAATGACCTCGAGCACGCCCTGAGCTACGACGCAGACGAGGTGTCCAGCCTGCAGTCGACGTGGAAGGCGGCGTTCGACGCCGCCGCGCCCTATGTCTGCGACAGCGAGAACAGGGCGGTGCGCAACGACGCGCGCCTGATCCAGTTTGTGCTCGGGTTCCGTATCGCGTCGCTGTCGACCTGGATCCCGTCTCCCCTAATCGAGGCAAGGGAAGCGGCGCTGAAGTCCCTTCACGGCTTCCCGAGCGTCATGATTGCCGTCGTCGACATCCTCGTCGACAGCGACCCGAAGCGCCTGCCCGCGTACATGTGCGTGTTCATTGCGATTGCGTCTCTGTGCCTCCGCCGCGCCGTCCTCTTCGTGCAGTACACGTACAACCACCAGCTCATCGACAGCCGCCGGCTCGACCAGGCCGAAGCCGCCATCATACCCATCAACGCGCAGTGCCGCTTCATCCTGCACCATGCTGGGGAGATGCTCAAGAACCTGCCCTACGGGAAGGGCGTGTGGGGCGCCGAGGAGATGGATAACGCCGGCAGACCCGCCGACAGCGTCTGGAGCCGCAATGGCCAGGTCCAGGCGCCGCCGAGTTTTGGCGTAGAGCTCGATATCATGAACTGGGACCTGAGCCTGCTCTATCCAGACCTGAACTCGTTCCCGACCACTATGAGCATGTAGATAGACCTTTGTATAGTTATTGAGATGTATATTCTAGTTCCATCGTCACATAAACTGCCTGTGTCAACAAGCCGCTGGCTGATACGGCCGTCCAATGCCGTCGCGGGGCCGTCGCGCCGCCGCCGCTGCGGCGACTCCCATTCCCAGATCTCGGGCCAGGCGACCTTGAGGTACTCAGGAGACGGTTCCAGCAAACGCATACGCGAATAGATACCGCCAAGATCACGCCTGTCTCTCTCCTCCCCTGTTTGTTTACACCTCGGGCCCCGAGCTACATGGCTGCAGTTGCCGCTGCCGTTGGGGCGGAGTATAGTCGCTTTGTTTACTCCGTGCTTGGCCCCCGTGATCCCGGTGACTGACGCCTCTGCGGTGATGTCCGCCATCGAGGCGTTTATCCCTGACACCAGCCTGGCGACACACCCGGACAACCTGGACGCCACAGGACCCAGAATTTAGTATTTGGGGATAAGCAATGCAACTGAAGAGGATTTATAAACACATGAACTTTGCATGAATACTGCTTTGTCTCTTCTGAATGGTTTTGTACAGGGGACGTTGAATGTTTTGCAGCAGATGGCTCGTCCGCCTCATGGTTCTGCTGGTGGATACCTTAGTCGCTCACTTCTTCCGGCGACCGTCGCCGACCTTGGTCCAGCCGTCGCTGACATCTCGCTTCGGCATCGCTAGGGCCGATGCGACCGCAGCCGCAGCGGCCGCTGCCGTGGCCGCCTTCTTCTCCTTCTTCTCCGGCGATCGCTTCTTCGTCGGAGGCGCCGCACCAGGGACGTGGCGCTGCACCGGCTCCCTCATCGCCACCGGCTTCGAGGGCAGGCTGCACGTTGGGCCGCGCCCCGGAGGCGAGGGTTTGACGGGGGACGCTGACCTGCTGGCGGGGATCGACTTGAACCCGGCCGACTTCGCGGAGGACGACGACTTGCTCGGGGAAGTCGCCCTGCTCGATTCCCTGCGCCGCCGGTTGGAGGGAGGCTTGGAGTCGGCACTCTTCGACGTCTTGTTGCTGGGGCTTGGAGGAGTCTGAACCTGGGACCAGTTGGTGGTGCTGGTCGGTGACCCGAGACTAGGAGCCTGCTTGTTGCTGCGGTTCAGGGGCTCCCAATCGAGACCAAGGACGGACCCGTTCACCGACTCGGTCTGCGTGGAGCCTCGCCGAATAGACGCCGGCGGGGTCACTGAGGAGGAGATCGAACAGCTGCTACCCGTTGTCGTCCGCGACAGTGGCGGTAGGTCGGAAGCAGACCGGGCTGGTGACGCAGGAAGCTCGAGGGAGAGGCCGATGCTAGTAGCCTCATCGTCTTCTTCGAAGGTGTACACGGGGTTGGTAGATCTCTGGCAGTCCTCCCACACCTGCAGAGTGAGGTACACCGAGTGAATAAAGTCTATCGGCGTCAGAGTTGAGCGCTTGGAAGCGGAGAAGCGCCACTCCCCCTTGCCTTGTCTCCCCATCCAGCGGAGGATACGGAAGTTTGGCAGCCGTCTGGCGAAGCGGCGCAGCTCACGGACCTCGACCAGTGTCGGGTCAGTTTCGGCCATCCTCTTCGCGAGGAACGGCGGAAGATCAGCCGCGTCCTTCTTGGACTTGGCAGGCTTCGCCTTCGGCGCGGTGTTGGCGTGGATCGGGTCTGTCGTGACGGACAGCTGCTCCAGATCGGGTACAGACCCGAATGCAGTTGTCATACCGATGATCTCCAGGATAGAAGTCGAGGCTGCAACTTGAAGGCAGCGGAGGCGCGGGCAATTCGTAAGGATAGCCTCGAGGTCAGACTGGGACATCTCCCACCAATCGATGCACAGGTCCTCCAGCATACTTCCCTCCTCGGTGATGAGATTGAGGAAAGTGGCTGGGATCTGTCCGAGAGCATGAGTAGGCAGCGGGACGGGCTGGACTACGTTTGCAGGAGGCCACGGCAGGGTGGCGACTGGGTGTAGCGCTCGTCGGATGTGGAAGCGCTTGAGCTGGCTAACGGGAATAGCTTCGATGGACTCGAGGTGCTTGAGGACCCAACTTTATGTTAGCTTGACAGGTGCGCGAATTGTAGCTTACGAGTGGTGAGGCCCCGATTCGGATATGTCAATGACTAGCGACGTCAACGTCTGCGGCCAGCAGTCGATCATGTTCCAGGTGTTTTTGTCCAGGCGACCTTCCACGTCGTTCAGACGCAGGCTCTCCAAAGAAGAGCACCCTGCGAGAATAACTCGGAGACATTCAGCGTTCAGCTTCGTGCCAGAAGTGGCGAGAGTCAGATGCTTCAGACTTCCGAGGCTGCCAAACATTGCAATAGACTCGCAGAGCCGCAAGTCTGCAAAGTGTGTGGAGAGCGAGAGAGTGTGCAGTCGGGGCTGGTTGACTCCCTCATAGAGGCCAGTCATGATCTGGAAGTGGCTCGCTATGGAGCGCGCCTAAAGTCAGTCGACACCCCAATGCACCACTCACCCCTTGCGCGCTCAAGTTGTCGAGGGAAAGTTCCTCGAGGTCTTCCCAGGCTACGCCGAGGGCCATGCCCTTCATCCCCGTGGCACGGGCTCGCCCATCCCCTGGCTCCGGGGTGCTCATGGACTCAAAGCCCGGCGGGGCGCTCTGCTGTAGTGCTGGAGTGATTCGCGGGTACACTGGTGGGGCAGTGATGCAGGCGGGGTGAGGCTGCGGAGCGATGATCTTCAGTCGCCGGAGGTGTTGGAGGGAAGAAATGGCCTGCGGGTCAGTTATGGAACCAATCCCCCCCAACTCACCTTCCACAGGCTGTCTCCCACACCGAGGCTCGTCTCCCAGATCAGGTCTTCGATGTGAGGAAGGTGGGCGAGGAGGCTGGCAGCGAGATCCCATGCCTCGGTACGATCGAGTGAGCGCGTGCCCTCGTCGATCTCCACAGGTGTGTGAGTCGAACATGGCTGCCGGAAGCGCAGGACTCGCACGTGATCGGCGTAGCTTGGGTTCCTGTCGAGGTCAGCTATGGGTCGGCAGAACAGAAGGGCGGGCTCGATGGCAGTGGGAGGACACAAGACTTACCGGAAGACAGCCCAAAGCTTGGGTTTGGAGTTGTATCCTGGGCAGCAGGGTCGATTCTTATCAGAAGTCCCCTGAATCTGGTTGCCGACTGTGCCAAGGCCCAGGGTCCCGGGGAAGTCGATGTGGACGTCGAGCTCGCGGTAGACGAACGGCGCGGCGGCATCGTGGACAGCCTTGTTGCCGCACTGGATCAGAGTGGAGGCCGCGTCTGGGTTTGACTTGAGGATTTGTGGGAGGACGGCGACTGTGAAGGCGTCAGCGTCCGTGCACATGGGTACGATTGGAGGACGCCGCCGGGTTCCCAGTCGTTGGGACTTTCGACTCACGAAGCCGATGCGTATTGTCTTCTCCCATGTCTCTATTAGAGTGCTCGTTCGGTCGAGCGGAGGGATTGTCTGGGTGGGCTGAACCCATCGTGCGGGTGGTTGCCGTGCTCGATAGGTCTTGAGTGTTGGGAAGGAGTGAGGTGGTTGAAGTTGAGTGGCGAATGAGTGAATGATGAGTTGGGGATGGCAACTGTCTCGTGGCTGTTGACTAGCGAGCAGGCGAGGAAGGCTGCGAGGGAGGGAGACCGCTGAAGGCGGGGCGGGTAGGGCGACAGGGGAGGAGGGCGCGGCCGGGCGGTTCGAGGCGGTCTGACGGGCGGCGAGGATCGGGGCTAGAGCTCCAGAGGTGAAAAGGAGGGGGAACGAAGGGCGCAGTGAGTGCGAGGGTGAATGAGTGTGGTGTACTTGTGCAATGCAGTGAGTGTCTGTCAGGTGTCGAGACACGGTCAGGACACGAAAGCGATCAGGAGTCTGGGCAGTGCTTGATCGTCACTCTTCATCACTTGTCCATCCCATCGAATCGAATCCTGCAGCGGCCAAGGTCCGTAAGGAGCAAGTGTTCGTGCACTCACCGACGCCGTCGCCCACCGCCCAAGCGTTGGTCATCGTCCTTCACAGCCACTGTCGCCAGGACGCCAAGGCGTCGTTCGAACGGACGTGAGCCTCACACAGTGCCTACGGCGGGCACAGCAATCAATGGCGCTCTCGCCACCGCAAGCACCGTCTACCAGCCTTGGAGTTTTGTCGTCCAACCCATCAACAACTCTTCCGCGCCCGGGCGGCCTTGCGTAAGTTAGTTCTCCCTAAGCATACCTGCTCAAGTGGTAGACCGTCGTTTGTCATCTGGATATGTGAGTGAAGGGTGGGTTGGACCCGTGCACCTGCGCACGAGACCACTGCTGATTATGACTGAAACAGTAAGGCATGTCAGTCGATTTCGTCCAACACGCATACTAATCCAATGAATCAGCTATGTCGCTGGTCATGCTGGATAAGCAAGGTGAGTCTGCCTGAAAGTGGCTTTTCTGCATCCCAGCAGTGCACGGCCATCACTTGACACAACTGACGCCTCTCCACTTACTAAATCACCGATGGCGTCTTCCTTGTCCCCGTAACGTCTAGACTTCAAACTGCGACGGCCGACCGGCCATATCCGAGGTTAGACCATGGCGCACCCTGCCACCAACGGAGGAACCGCGTCGGAAAGTGACCGGTTTCTCGGCGGCCGCCTACCGAGGGTGGTTTTGCGGGCTGCGTTGTTGTCTCGTCTCAACACCGCGACACCGACGGCTAAGTTGGGAATTTGAGAACGTGCAAGGCTGTCTTGACAAGACGCACTGGAGGATGAGCTAGTCGAATCCGATCAGATAAGGGAAGAGCGCTATCGGAGGGTCGACGTCGCCACCTGATCGCGTCTTATGTCTGCCGACGCGAGAGCGCGTGGACATGCCATACCGAGCTGAGCCAGGGCAATGAGGTCGCCGAGCCGTGACATTATATGAGTGCTGATACGCCAGTTGGCATGTGAATGCCGAGGCTGAAGGAGCGACTAGCAGGTCCTGTGATTGGGCCAAAAGAGGATCCGGGGTGATGCCGGCAGGCATCGGTCATCGCGTTCTTCCAGCCCTCGGCCTCGGCATGCCTGACATCGAGTGAGTGCCCCATGTCTCGCAGCATGTTGCACTGACCGGTGCAACAGACCGTGTGTAGCGGCCGTCGCAGAATTGCAGGGACTGAGACCGATACGGCTGCTGCAGCACGACGCCGACACGCGTTGGGGATGTTCCAGAAACGACCTCGTCGGGGTACGGGTCTAATGACCTGCTGACTCACAGCGCTGGAAATTGCAGAACTGCATGGGGCGCAGGCTGAATGGTGGCTGAGGTGAGTACGATCAGACAATGCGGCCGAATGCATCTCTGGCGCAGGGAATGATTCTGTCGCCTATTTCAAGCGATCTGAGGAAGCATGGCGTGAGCAGGCAAGCGCCTCGGAACGACTCTTGTTTACCTCGTGACTTACTTCCAGGAGTCAGAACATTCCTGGCTAGGCTGTAGCAGGGCGTGAGGGGTGGGTTGCACTGACGCGGAGCTGAGTTCCATTGACACATGACTGATGACAATCACTCGACAAGGCGCCCGAGGCCAGCAAGACTTGAGAAGCATAGGCTCAGGGATGGATGGCCAGGGCCGAAGGGCAGGGCAAGGGCACGGTACTGGAGCCCGACCCAGACCTTCAGACGTTCCACCCGATGTCTCGCCACTCGGCAGGTTCGCCAACCCACTGAGACCAAAAATCTGTGACCCACCACCCGGCGTTGGCCAGCCCGCAGGAGGATTTCTGACCTTCTGGCCGGAATGGGAGCCTACCGCACCTGGGCACAACCAGCTGGGCCCAGGTGACGTCAGGGAGTTAGTTCCCCCTTGCCCTACGGGCTGACTGAAGCTGCCGTTTTTGGCGGGCGCCGCCTGTCGCATGATTTTCAGGACCTCAGGTAGCGTACAGAATGTACCGCATGCGATCACTGTCATCCGCACCAGGTAATGATGGCATCTTGCTCCGAGTCCGATCCTTAGGACTGCTCCTCCCCCTGCCCTCTGACTTGCTGAGCAAACCCTCGCCTGCCACGGGGGCCGCCCTCTGATTCAGCACTGCGCTGTGCGGCTCTCTTCCGCACCTGCTCCTCCTATGGAGCACCCGATGACCCGTTTCTGCCGTGCTCATGCCCGACTGCTGCGCTGCCAACAGCCGACTGCTTTGCTTGCCCCATCTGTTTGTCAACACTCTTATAAAACTTCTTCTCACACTCCTTCACCCTCTCTTCTTCGTCATCTTGTTTCTTGTTTTCTTCTTCGTCTCTTGTGTCACACATCTGCTCGCCATCGTGGCCCCCTCACCTCACACGACGGGTCCGACACACATTTGTTGACAATTTTTGATTAACCTTACCCCCCCTTCCTACCCCTCACCTCTTCCGCCTCGCTCAACCCCTCCCTCCCTCCACCACCCGCGTCATCCGACAACATGGCTCAACCAGAGTCCCGCACAGCGCTGACTTCGCCTTCGGCGGCGTCGACGCTCAACAATGCGACCGCCCACGAGAAGAACCGCAGCGGCGGCGAGCCCGGCGAGGCCCGCAAGCTCACCCTGCACAGGCGCCCGTGGCGCCGATACGTGACGCCGTTCGAGTACATCCTCCACCACCCGTACAAGGGTTCCGGAACTGAGGAGGACCCGTACATCATCGACTGGCTTCCCGAGGACCCGGAGGACCCGCAGCGCTGGCCGAAGGCCTGGAAGTGGTTCCAGGTCGTGCTCTGCTCGCTGGCCACGCTCGCCGTCGCTCTGTCGTCCTCGGCCTACTCTGGTGGTGTCCAGAGTCTGCTCGCCGACTTTGGTCACTCCTCCCTCTTCTGGACTGCCGGTGTCTCCCTCTTCGTCGTCGGTTTCGCTTTCGGACCTCTGTGAGTAATAATAACACGGCCAGTAGCGCCACCGCCGCCTCCACTAGCCCTCGTCATCGGCGGTCATCCCTGCATCACCCGACGTCATGTGCTAATGCCGCAGTCTCTGGGCTCCTGCTTCCGAGGTTATGGGCCGTCGCTGGATCTACATCGGTACCTATGCCATGCTCACGCTCTGGCAGGCCGTGACCTGCGCCTCGCAGAACGGCGGCTCCATTCTCGTCTTCCGTGCTCTCGCTGGCTTCTTCGGATCGTCCCCTCTTGCCAACGCCGGTGGCACGCTCGCCGACGTCCTCGACGGCAAGGAGATGGGTATCGGCATGGCCTTCTTCTCGGTTGCTCCCTTCCTCGGCCCCGCCCTTGGTCCCATCACTGGTGGATTCCTGGGCGACGCTGCAGGCTGGCGCTGGGTTGAGGGTATGCTCGCCATCTTCTGTGCTGTCATCACCCTCATGCTCTGGCTCTGGGGTGCTGAGACCTACGCTCCCCTCATCCTCCGCAAGCGTGCCGAGCGCCTTTCCAAGTACACTGGCAAGGTCTACCGCTACCGCGCCGACGCCGCCAAGCCGCTCAACGTCAAGGAGCTCTTCATTGGCGCCCTCACTCGCCCCTGGAAGTTCCTCATCTTCGAGCCCATCGTCCTCCTCCTCTCGATCTACGTGGCCATCATCTACGGCGTTCTCTACCTCAACTTTGCGGCCTACCCCATCGTCTTCATGCAGTACCGCGGCTGGAACGCTGGTCAGGAGGGTCTTGCCTTCCTGGGTATCATGGTCGGTGCCATCTGCGCTGTGGCCGTCGTCATCTTCTGGGGCAACCCCAAGTACCTGAAGGACGTCAAGAAGCGCGGCTACCCCATCCCCGAGGACCGCCTTCCTCCTGCTTTCATCGCTTCCGTCATCATCGTCATCGGTCTCGCCGGCTTTGCCGCGACTGACGGCCCCAACGTCCACTGGTCTGCGTCGATCATCTTCGGCATCCCCTTCGGCATGGGCATGGTGCAGCTCTTCCTCTCGATCCTCGGCTACCTCGTCGACTGCTACACGGTCTACGCCGCCTCTGTGCTGGCCGCCAACGCGGTCCTGCGTTCGCTCTTCGGAGCCGGCTTCCCCCTCTTCACGGCGGCCATGTACAAGAACATCGGCATCCACTGGGGCGCCGCCGTTCCCGGCTTCCTCGCGCTCGCGTGCCTGCCCCTCCCCTTCCTGTTCTACAAGTACGGCCCCGCCATCCGCAAAAAGTGCAAGTACGCCAACGAGGCGCAGCAGATCATGCAGCAGATCATCGCTGCGCGCAAGGAGGCTGCGGGCGGCGGCGGTGCCGCCGGCGCGGCCGACGAGGAAAAGAACCGCGTCCCCGGCGGCGGCGCCGAGCTCACCCAGACCGTCTCCCCGGAGCACGGCGAGGACGTCCTCGACGACTACCCCGAGGTCATGTCTCTCGAGCGCTCGACGAGCATGCAGAACGAGATCTACGACAGGCGCACACGCTCCAACTCGCTCTACCGCGCTACTTCGGGCGCGTCCCAGGCGTCGTACCACGGCGGCGCCCGGGTCGGCCGCGTCGTCTCGCCCACGGCGCAGAACACGATCCACGAGTAAAATCGGACCCTCCTCCATCCCCCCGACCCCCACACGCATATCCTGCACCCCACCACACCCACCCCCACACTGGCATACACCTTTACCCCGCCTATAATCTAATCACAACCAAACCAACCCCTTTCGGACCCTTTTCCTTTCTTTCCAATTTATCGAATAATCTACCATTTACTGTAACAGTAGCTCAGCACGCAGTTAGAAACATGGCATTTCATAGATATAACTTCCCCCCTTGGGATGCTAAGTGATACTCGGAACACTCTTGGTGCTTGTTGCATGCTCGCGTGCTCACTCCACTGATTTTGATATTGCAAAATCCTCGAAGGTTGCTCCGCTCCGCACGTCGATCAGGTCCCGAATCCGGCGCTCGCGCGCACCGCACGCACCGCACGTCAGCGCAGTCCAACCCGCATCCGCACCCGCATCCGCTGGGACAGTTGCTCGGTCATGGGCCTCGGTCATGCCCTCTTCCACTGCCGTATCGGTCACTCGCTACCGTGCCAGAACCTTGGAGCGTAAGTTCGTTCCGGGCTGTACCTGGCAGCATCGGGCGGGGGTTGAATTGAGCTGACGCGTGCAAGCTTACGCGTATGCGACTGTGTTAGACGTGTTAAGTGCGCTTCGGACTCCGACTCCGGAGCGTGCGTGTGTGACTTTTGGTGGGATTCAGATCAGAAAAAGTTGAAATGCCTTTGAAAAAATTGGTATGTAAATCAATCAAAAAATAGGAAACCAGGTATTGAGGATAGGGGGATATGGGTTGGGTGCGGGCGGAACAGATGAGGATGAGGGATGAGTGTGGGGGAGATGAGAGATGAGGCGAGAGAGAACCAAACAATGCCAAGTCCGTAGTTTATTCTGCTTTATGAGTATGTTCTAAGCTAGTTGTCTAGAGCTCTAAGATTGGGGGGTATGCAGTGTTTTTAGTGCTGGGTAGTCTTGAGCTGTTTCGGCATCGTGTCGAGGCCCTTGGCGACAGTGCTCGGGTCGAGCGTGCCGAAGCGCGAGGAGCAGTCGAGCAGAATCTTGAGTCCGTTGCGGGCACGGACGCGCGAGATGTCGGTCGTCTTCGGGCGCGGGCTCTGGTGCGCCTGCGCGGCCGCATCCTCGCCGTACGGGTACGGGAAGTGCTTGTGCATGAGCTCGTAGACGGCGAGGGTGACACCGAATTGCGGCGAGGAGCGGATGACACGCGCGATGCCTCCCTTGTAGAGGGCGCGGAGACCCTCCTCCTGGTAGATCTTGGCGAAGCCGTCGAGAACACCCTTGTACACCGTCTGGCCGGCACGGGCCTGGGTCTGCAGACGCGTCTTGACGACATCGGCAGGCGTCGTAAGGTACGCGGCGGGCATACCGGCGATACCGGCGGCGAGGAGCAGCTCGCCGAACGAGAGCTGCTTGCCCTGCTTGCCCTCGGCGAAGAGGTCCTTCTTCAGGTGCGCATACGACGTGAAGTAGATCATCGAGAAGGGAATGTCACGCCACAGACACGCTCCGGCACCCTTGTACAGGCCCATGAGACCGAGCTGCTTCACGACGTGCCACGCGCCACGCTGGACAGCGGCTCCTCCCTCAACGCGAGCCATCTCTCCAGCCATCTGCAGACGAATCTTGACAATCTCGAGCGGGTTCGTGACGGCGACCTGACATCCTCCGGCGGCACCTCCAGCGAAGATCTCCCATCCCAGAGGAATGGCGCCAGTCTCCGGGTCCGTCTTCTTTTTTCGGATGATCTCGTTGACGGTGATCTTGATCGCCTTCTCGGGAGCGACACCGACGAGCTGCGGCAGGACACCACGGTAGAACGCACGGACACCGCCCTCGTTCTGGTACACCTTCTTCACGCAGTCCCACGCGTTGCGGTACAGGACCTCACCGACAACGTTCGAACGCTGGTTCTGCAGACGCGTCTTGACCAGGTCGATCGGGTACACGGCAAACGCACCAACACCTCCGGCAATACCACCCTGAACGAAGTTGAACGTCGACTCGGCAGCGTGGCTCATGAAACTGCGCTTGGCGAGGGGCTCAACCTGCGAAAGCTGGAGAGGCGGCTGCCACTTGGCGTCGAGGAGCGACTCAAAGTCGGCGAGGGTCAGGCGCTCACCCATCTTGCCGTCGATACCGCGGCCAGCAAAGTGCCAGATAATGTTGGCCTCCATCGGCGTGAACATGCCGTAGCGAAGGTTGCCGGCAGACTCGTTCAGGAAGTCGGAAACGGCGATGCGTCCGTCCTTGGACTTCTTGGCGGCACGCTGGATGATGCGCTCGACGACGTCCATGTCGCGGATGATGTTGTGGAAAGCAATGACCTCGGAGTAGCTGATCTTGCGGCCGGGGTTCATCGTGCAGAGCGTCGGAAGGCGCTCGAGGACAGAGTCGGACAGCTTGTGGCCAGCAATCTCGACAATGATGCGCTGGAACTCCTCAGGCGAGATATATCCGTCTCCGTCCTTGTCAAAGTAGTGGAACGCCTGACGGAGACGCTCTCCCTGGAAGCCCTTGATGAGCTGGGTGAACTCGGGGTAGCCAAGAACATGGTTGCCGCCGCGCTTTCCGAGGTAGAGCTTGATCCAGTCGCAGTCAAAGTTGAACGGGATACCGGAGGCGGCGATGTTCTGCTGGAGGACGTTCTTGAACTCCTCAAAGTCGATGGTGCCGGAGGCGTCGCTGCGGAGGTCAGTCACCTGTCTCCGTCGTCGGGGAGTGGGGGAAGGACCGCCAAGGCGGCACTGGCGGCGACTCACGAATCAAAGACCGAGAACGCGAGCTGGTAGTCGGCGTCGGGCTGGGAACAGAGTTAGTTGCGGGATTCAAGTCACTGCCGGCGGCTGTTGCGGCAGTAATGCCGAGATTTCGGCCTGGCTCACTCGTTTAAGCACTGGATCGTCAGCAAAGGTACGTTCAGTTGTATGTGCATGACATGCGCAAGCGACAGGGTTAGGGCGGCGACGTAGTGCACACAGGAACGAGATCGAATGTAAGCCCGTTCCTGTGTAGCAGCGGCGTTCACATTTCTGCTATGCGCCGATGGTGCCGCCAACTTTGCCCGAGGCTTGTGCATGTGCATGCAGAGATAAGCAGGAGAAACTTACGCGTCTCGAACAGAACAAAGTCCTCGAATGACACGAGACCGCGCTTGTGGGCGTCGGCGACTCGGAAAACTGCGGGTCAGCGAATCGGTTGAGACAAACGAATGAGCGCTGGACTCGGTGTCCTCGGTGGAGGCACAGTCGGGCAAAAGGCGAAAACAAAAGCACTTACGGATGCTGTACTGGTCGCGCTTGATGCGGTTGAAGCCCTCGTCGGTCGGGGCGATGGCGTCGATGAACTGCTGGGGGTTGAGGTACCTGCAGAGACGGCGTCAGCATGCTGCGTCTCGGCGTACGGAAAGTAGCCACTGTTAGGGTGACGGGATGTGGTAAGGCCGGACCGGCAAGTAAGCCGCGGGGCGGTGGCCGGTGGGCAGGGTAGCTAGACCTCGCGCCCGGGGGCGGAGTGACAATGGATGCATGGGTTACCGGGTGGTGCGTGTGCAAGTCACAGAGTCACCCGGCGGTCCCCGCTGAGGTCGATGCATGGGCTGTCGCCGCTGGAGCAAACGCCGTGCTAGCGACTTCGCCAGCGCCCGCGACACACACTCCGTATGCATAGCGCTATGCATGTTGGGAGCTGTGTGTATGCTGGGCGAAAATTTCGGCAAGGTTTGCGGCATGCAGCGAATTTTGCGGACACGCGTCAGGACGCATGCGTTCTAGGTACGAAGCACGTACCCACGGCCGGCGGCAACGCAACCCAGGACCTGCGGGACCCAAGATTTCGACTGGGACGCAATACGCGGCCCGTGCAAAAGTCGGAATTGGGCAAGACTCACTTCTTTCCGTCGACCTCGACACCGGCATGCTTGTCGAATGTCCGCTTCCAGCGGTTCAGCTCAGACTCGGCGGGCGCAGTCAGCGACGCAAGACGGGCCGCGACGCCCGGGCTGTTGTCGGGAGCGCTGGTCGATGATGAGGCGGCAGCAGACATTTTAGGTAGGGAGTTGACTCGATCGAAAGTTGAAAACAAGTCGGGGGCCGATGCAGTCGTTGTTTTCGATGCGGCGGCGACGGCGGGGTTGGAGGGCTCGACCGGTGGATGGTCAGGCGAGGGGCAGGCTGCACTGAAGAGCTTGCGCTTGCAGTCGAGGAGTGTCTTTGGAGAGACGCGAAAGAAGGAAAAGAGGATGGAGAGTGGGGGAGAGGGGAAGGACGAAATGTGGATAATAATGAATCTTTGTTACACGGTCATTTCAGAGCGGCAGTGCCAGGCAGCAGGCAGCAAAGCAAGGGCACGCGGCGCGCGGCACTGCCCAGCGGGCGGCGAGAGGCGACTCAAGCGGCACCCGTCCCTGAGCTGCCGGTAAGTCGCCTCTGCTCTGGCCCGGTGCGTCCCAGACAATACTAGAATGGTGAACGATTTAGGCACGGGCTAATCTCCCGCCTAATCCAACCGTTTACTGTGACTTCGTCCTAATGGACAGCAAAGCGCTTCGGCCTCTTGACCCGATATCGGACTTGCCGCCGCCTGTCAGGTTGACCAGATCTCAGGACACTGCAGAGAATGCTGCCGGTGCATTTCTCGTGCATCATCAACATCAGCCTTATCTCCAGCCGAGAACCCGGCGCTCTCCGTCCTCCCTCCCTCAAGCGAACCCGAGTTGAACCCTCTCCTCCTGGCGAACCACAGCAAGACCTGGGCCCACCTCATCTTTGCCTGACTGACACCGGTTCGCGGCTCGGCAGCACCAACCACCTTCCCTTCCCTGCCTCCACTCGACCCATCTACGGTACCTTCCTCTGTGCAGATCAAGACATCAGCAAACATGGAGGAACTCGGTCTCCCCATGTCATTCGGCAAGCAGCAGCCCGCTGCCTCAGGCTCGTCGTCACTGCCGCCAAAACCCCCTCCTCCAGCTCGTGGAGAGCCAGGCCAAAGGGGTCCTCGGGGGGTAGTCGGCGGGGGCAAGCGCCGCCGCGGTGGCGGTCGTGGCGGCGGGCACAACGCGCACAACACATACAGCGGGTACAACGCGGGCAGTGGGGCCAACGCACAGCCTGTTTCGACTCGCGGCGAGAACCCAAGCGCAGCGCACGCCGGTGGTCACGGGGACACCGATAACGCTGATGGCGAGCTGAACCCGGGCGTCAAGGTGAGTTTTTTGGTTGCGTGCTGCTTCCGAGCTTTGATATCACGAGCCTCGCGTGCCTCGTGTTTCGTGTCACGGCGGGCGACTAGTGCCTGACCTGGGCGCTGGGCGCTGGGCGATCTGGGCGATCTGGGCGTGCAGACGCACACGCAGAACGTGTTGCGTGCTGCCACAGTTGGGCTCTGGCGGAATCCGCGCGGGCGGGGAGGGACACCGAGAGCGGACAGTGGCACAACCAGCGTCGTTATCTCTCGCACCGCAGTGCCTCGACGCAACGCACCTCGAGCGTAGACGGCAGGCTCGCTCGGTGCATTCTGCACTGACTCGATGGGTGTCGAGAAGTTTCGCCGGCGGCGAGACTTCCCTGCTGGCTGAAGCAGAAGGATCGTGCGCTCCCCACTAAAACCGTTGCGGCACTGGCGGCACTGGCTGCCGCAGGGCAAGGCGTTGGGAGCGATCAGTGCGGCCGCTGCCGCCCCCGCGCTGCCCCCGCTCAGAAGTGTCGCTCAGAAGTGGGGGTGGCACCGGCGGCACTTGGCTCGGGTTCTCTCCTGTCTCTACTCTGCGGTCTTGGTCGGGAGCAGTAAGTGGCCAGTGCAGGGCATGGCGCCGGCGCCGGTTGGGCCTGAGAGGCGTCGTGCACGCCCTGCCCCTCGCTTGCCGATCCAAGCTCGAACATGCCTTCTTCACGAGTCTCCACAAAACTCCAGCTCTGGCCGCAGTTTCAACATTGTCAAACACGAGCTAACGAAAGCAGCGACCACCCACATCGCCAGACCATGCCCGTGGCCGAGGCCGGGGGCGTGGCGGGCGACACGGCGGCCACGGCCACGGCCATGGCGGAGGGCACGGTGCAGGACATGGGGGCAATGGAGGACACGGGGGGAAGGACGATTACACGACGCGGGGATACTTCCAGGAAAGCTTTTGCGAGGATCCGTGGCGCGAGCTGGTCCGCTCGCAATTGCGTTTTAAAAAAAAGCTGGGGCTCGGGCGGTCGACCTGAGACAGAGACAGCTGAGAAGAATAGTTGAATGGTCGTAGATAACATTGTACCGTATGTATCATAGCTGATCTTATCGCCGTGCCTCCTCGCATTTGGAGGCAGCTCGGCCGCAGCTCGGCCGCTTTCGTTAAGAGAAACTGCTGCGCGGCCCTCCTGGCAATGAACGCATTGCATCAAGACCCAGATGCCACACTCGAGTTTACACATTCTGATAAATTCTATACATAAGTGCTGCTGGCTGGTAGTAGCTTCTATCCGTCGTCCCCTCCGCTCATGCACAATGTGGTCTACTTCCGGTTCTGCCCATTGATGGCACGACACCACTGCAGCGCGGTGCTGTGGCTTCCACCATTGAAGTAGTAGATGCTCTTATTGTCGACGACGCGGAGCACGCGGTCGTTGGAGTGTAAGATGCTAGCGGGCTCCTTGAGCGTCGCCATGCGCAGGACGCTGAAGAGGTCGACGGGGCCGTCCCAGCCTGCGTCGTTGCGTTTCTGCACCAGCACCAGCATGTCCGAGCACAGGATCAGCATCACCGCCTTGTCCATCGGCTCGGGCTTGATGAACTCGATCGGAATGACGGATTTCGACGTCGTGATCGTGTTGTCCCCGCTGCCGCTCGGGAGGGAGTAGTCCACCTCGGCGAAGGCCGAGGTCTTCTTCACGACGCGGATCAGCTGCAGCGCTCCGTCCAGCACCAGCTTGCGGTGCGGCTGCACCAGCGGCGAGGGACCGCGCGAGGTGATCCGCTGCTGCCAGTGCAGGAGGCGGAGGCGGCTCTCGGCCTCACGCTTCTCCTCGTTCATGAGCGAGGCGAGGTTGGCAATCTCGTTGATCGCGTCGTCGAGCGCGTCGCTCGGGCCCAGCGACTCGCGCGGCGGCGTGCACATCGCCAGGTCCTCCAGCAGCAGCTTGTACCGCGGTACACGCTGCACGGGCAGAAGCAGGTACGACTCGAGGTTGATCTGCGAGTGGCGCGGGTTCTCCTTGCACTTCTTCAGGAAGTGCTTGACACGCTTGCGCTGGCTCGGCTGCAGCGGCGAGTGCTGCATCGGCTTGCCGTCGCCGACGGGGAGCACAGCCGATCCAATCAGGCCCGCGCCGATAGCAGCAACTCCGATACCCGACGACGGCGACACCTTGGTGCTCGCGGACGGCGACGACCCAGCGACCGGCAACGTCCACGAGCGCATGCGCTGCAGGGCATTGTCAAAGTTGTTGATGTACGTCGAGTACTGCTTCATGTACGCAATGTAAGTGCGGAACACCTCGCCGACCTGGTGGGCGATGCGCGCCGAGATCGTCCCCTCCGAGTCATCACTACCTCGGAGCAGAGGCTCTATCACGCGCTCCAGGGCCGGAAGGAAGTTGTCACGGTGAATGACAAGGATCGACTCGACACCGCCAAACACCACCTTGCGCTCGGCAAGCGGGATCAGCGTCTCGTTCGACTTGGACGAGATGCACTGCGACGCCGGCTGGACGTAGATCGCAATGAGCTCCTGGAGACCGCGGACGTACGTCTTCTCCGTCTCAAAGATCTCCCTAATGACACCGGCGCGCTTTGACTTGTCGTCCTTGAAGCGCTTGACCTGCGTCGATGGCAAGTCAGCAGGATCGACCGCAGTCGACCTTCGCTCGCTAGCGACGCTGATCATTGACTGGCCGCGCATCGAGTCGCGAGTGACACTCTCCATCGTCGGCTGGCGCGACTGCGTCGAGTCCCGCAGGCTGGCATGGTCGGACAGCGGCGAAATCGGGTTGAACATGGCGCCCTCAACGACCTCGAATCCACCATAGGGCTCGAGCGCAGGCAGGGACAGCTCATACAGATCGCGGAGGTAGCTCTTGATCGACTCGAGTCCTCGGGTGTAGCGCGCCTCCTGGTCCATGGCGGCGACCTCCATCTCGTGGTGCGTAGCGGACGACGAAGGAGCGCGGACCGAAGTGCCACGGGCCTCGGGCTCATCACCAAGCGTCTCCATGGCGTTGTCGTCCGTCACAGACGTCGCCGCGTAGGCCGCCTCATGCTCCGCCAGAGTGGCCTGCGGCGCCATTAACGGGGAGAGCGAAGGGATCGAAACACCGTTGAGCGAGGGCGGGCTGGGGTCGATGGGGAGGAAGCTGCGGCGCTTGTTTCGTCGCATGGCCGCCGCGGCGCCGTAAGACGAAGGGGCAAGGTTGTGCGTGTTAAGGTGCGGGAGGCTCGAGGCGGACGTAGAGAGGCCGTTCGGAGGTGAAACAGGGGCACTCTCCGCAGATCCGGGAGTAAGGTTGTGGGATCGCGTGGGAACGACAGAGGTCGACCATCCAGACGTCAAGGTTGGTCGTCGAGGCTTGATGCCGTTCGGAGCCGAATGGGTGTGCGGCAGCGTCGGCATGGACGATAAATTGGCAGCAGCCGAAGCATTCAGCTGCGCCGTGTAGTCCTTCTCCGTCCGCAGACGCGAGATGGACACCTTTCGGAGGAAGCCCCACTTGTGCTTGCCGCCGCCGTCTTCCGAGTCGTCTGGAGTGGCAGCGCCCGGCTGGCCGCCAGGTCCAACGGCACTCTGGACTCGTCGCGACGGTCCCGTACCAGACATGCGCTCAGACGGCGTGAAGATCTCAGACGACGGCTGCGGGTGCGAGGCACTGCGGTTGGGAGCCCTAGAACCGTTAGTCTGCTGGGGCGGCATGACGGGCACGGGCGGTCGGGGAGCTGCACGAGTCGTCCTTAATGACTGAATCGGTCCAGCGGTAGGGGTGTCGTCAATGCCAGCGGCAGGCGTGACCGAACGCGATGGCGTACTAGGCTCGCTAGGGTAGCCAATACCGAGAGACGAGTCATTTGTGAAGGAGCTGGCAGATGAAGCAACGAGGTTCGTCACGGAAGCGTGAGACGATCGAACAGAGCCCATGCTTAACGAGTGAACGGACGACTGGGCCGACGCAGTGCGCGAGTGCGAGGGGTATGGCGAATTCTGGCCCAGCGTCGACGTCAAGATAGGTGCGACAATCGAACGCCATTGCGGGGCGAACGGGTTGTTATCGATACGAAGCGCCTCGAGACGGGTGAGAAGACAGATCCACGACGGCAGGACCACCATGCGATTTCCTCGAATGCAGAGCGTGTGCAGGCTCTGCAACGTCGAGAGCTCCTGGGGAAGGGTCGTGAGCAAGCAGTTGTCGGCCGCAAACAGACGCAGCTGCTGGCAGTCGGCCAGGAACGGAGGGAGCGCACGCAGCGGATTGCCAGACACGTTAAGCTCTTCGAGTGCCGTACAGTGTCTCAGCCCCGTCGGCAAGGTACCGAGGTTATTGTCCGAAACATCCAAAACCACGAGGGTTGTGGACAACACGTCCAGCAGCTGAGGCAGCACGGTCATGATGTCGGGACCAATCCCGGAAAGAAGCAGATGCGTGTAGCGCGGGAGCCGCAAAAGTTCGTTTTCAGACATCCGTGCCAGAGTCGGGAGGCCGCCCATAGCCTCGATCTGCTGGACGTTGAGAATTTTACTCCTGCCATCGTCGACAAGGGCGAGGGCAGTGGGCTCCGAGATGACCGAGTCCCATGGTCGCGGCGACTCGCCCAAGTAACCAAACGAGTTGGCAAAAGCTTGTGATAACCGGTCGCAGCCTGATGCCGAGTCGGTGGTGTCGTCTGTAGACTCTGTCGTCGTCTCAGAGTGACTACGAGCGCGGTTCATAACGGGTGATCGCCAGGATTGAGCATAAACACCTGGTGAAAAGGCAGTACCCGATGTGTTGGAGGTGTCGGTGCAGCTGTTGGCGGAAGCAAGATCAGGCTCCATCACCTGGTGCGAGCGTATCGGCGAGCTCAGGTTGATGTCTGGAACCGGCGGTTGCGGGTGTGTGTTGTCGCTGTAGGCATGGTAGGAGAACTGTCCCGAATACGCGCCCGAAGCGAGGCTCGATTCAGCAGAGGAGTACGCGTTTTGACGCCCAGCATTGGTCCTCATGCGGATGACTCGAGGCTCGGGCTCAAGTTGCTGCTTCCGGTCGAACCGTTCTGTTCCGTACGTGTAGGTAGTGTCTGGGATGGAAGGCGAGCTCGTCGTCGAGTCGACGGTCGAAGAAGTCACGATGCTCAGCGAAGGTTGGCGAAGATCGTCCTCGACGTCGTAATACTCCTGCGAATACACGTCTAGATCAACATCGAGTTGAGCAGAGGGAGACGACGGGTTCGGGCTGGGAGGCTCGTACGGCGCAGCCGTGTGGGGGGTAGGGTCAGTGTACTTGCGCGGCAAGTGAAACACAGGTTCGTCACCGGTCGACGGGTAAGTGCTGTGTGGGCGGCGACTCATGTCAACCTTGGCGGTGCGATACCGTGTGTCGGAAAAGTCGGGTGTGCTATACATGTTGGGCGACCGGGCCAGGCCGCGCAAGTCGTCGTGCACGGGTGGTTGAGGTGGGACTCGGGTAGGCATACGCGGCTTGCTTGGGCCGGCAACAGACTGGTCGTCGTACATGCTGATAGAAGGTTGTGTGGATCTGTGCGATCGGGTCAGCTTTCAACCTTTGCAACACGTCTCTCGTCTCGTCGACGGCCGTACCTGTTTCCTCGCTATCGACGCCACTAAACCAGTCGATGACGCGACGTGCAGAAGGAAAAATCCACTGGACTGTAGACGGCGTGAGCACAGACCCATCGCAGTTGTTCGTTTAAACAACTTACGCTATCTCGTTTCTCTCTGACACCTTTGCACAGATATCTTCAGCGACAAAGATAGATGTGTGGTCCGTCTAGGCACAAGTCAGCGATGGGCGCACAGGACAACGAATCGCGTCGAAATCGGTTGGACGAAGAGAGAAAGTGCAGGGGGAAGAGGTCGGTTTTGGGAGGGAGACCCGGACAGGTAGGGTTCGATGGCTTGGCGGATGAGGCAAGTGCACCGTCGGGCGGGATCGTTTGAAGCGGTGGTTGGAAGATGAGAGTTGTCGAATGGGCAGGGGTCGACAGCAGTAGTGTCATGCAACTGCAGCAACTGCGGCGAGACGAGACGCGCGAACGAGTGTGATGCACGGAGGAGAGGTCAAGTGATGGCTAACTCACCTTTAGTGACTTTGGTGACTGCTGGAATGAAGGTCGATGATTTCAGATGACAGCAGCAACAGAGTCGAGCGGGCCAGGGGCAGCGCGATGATTTGACTGTGGAGCTAACAGCGCAGCTGTAAACAAGAGTGCGGGGGCGGGGAACAAAGCGCGCAGACGCGTAGACGTGCTTGAGCACTGCTTTGGAGGAGAGGTCGAGGGGCGGGGTGAGGGATGCAGTGGGTGGGTTTGAAGGAGCGTTACACGTGTTGGTTGGTCGCGATTGTCACGGCGCGAGACAATTGCTTGGATGTATGCAAGACGAGGCGTTTGTTTGGTCGTTATTCAGTTGATTGGGAGGATCGAGGAAGAGGGAGAGGGAGAAGGGGTCGATTGCTAGAATGCCAGCTAGCTCGGGCGTACAGAGTCGGAGTCGGAAGTCGCAACTGATAGACGGACAGACGTGGTTTGGATGCAGGTGTCAGAAAAGGTTGGACGTCGTCTGGGGTGGATGAACGGAGGGGTAAGGAGGGCGATATGAAAACTGCCTCCGTTGAGTGAATGAAGCAGGGGTGATGGCGGCGGGCGAGGGTGCGTCGAGTGAGTGAGTGCAGAGTAGTGAGGGTGATGGGAGTCGAGAGAGAGATGCTTGGGAAAGAGTCCTTCCTCCTGTAGGATCGCAGAGAAGGGGGCAGGAGATTAGGAGGGCAGGACCTGGACAGGACCTGGCTGGCACCTTGGTCAGGTCGAGGTGCGTGAGCGTGAGGAGTGCAGGAGTGCAGGGTGGTGAAAGGAGGGTAAAGGCAGGGGTCGAGGTCGCGTTCGCGGGGGCAGGGGCCGAGAGCGCAGACAGCTCGCAGAGAGGGTTGAAGGCGTGCGGGCAGGGTAAAGCTCTTTACTTGAGCGACTTGCCGATACGTTACTGGCCGGCCGGGTTCAGAGCCTGGGGTCCATGGGGGTCCTGGCCTCGCTATCGAGGTTCCAGCCTACAACTCTAGCTCGTCGCCTAACGTAGCAATCGTCAGGTCTGGGACGTGCCGTGCCGTGACTGTATTCCGTAGCACCGTTTGTTCCTACGAGTCTCGCTGATATTTCTTTTGCGCAGAACAATCACTGACTCGTTCCGGCAGACATCGAATCAACGCGAGCGTGCAGCGCGTGCATGGCACACTCCCATTCACTTGTACCTTTGTGTGCACGATACGAGGCGTCCCCGCAAAGGTGAGTGCATGGCGTTGGCTTATGGCGCACTGCATGTCCTCGACTCGCGACCGGCAACCCCGATCCCACAACCCACGGAGCATCAAACCTGGTCCGCGAAAGGAGGTTCGCTGGTTGCTGAGCAGCGCGGGCAGGGCGGGCAGCGCTGGTGCTAGCGTGTCTTATGTTTCTCTGTTGGTATGCGTGGGATGCCGTAGATACCGGGTGCAGTCAGGGCGCGACAGGGCATTTAGACTGAGTTCCAAAACACACAGAGGGAGACTCCCTGATCCTTCCAGGCCGGGGCGGAGGCGCGCGGCGCGCAGGCATGGGGTCAGAGCCGGGCAGTCGCGCAGTCGCAATGGTCGAGGCGCGAGCCAGCGCGAGCAAATGTCCTCAGGGCCATCTCAGGGCCAGATGGAGAGCGCTAGAACCAAAACCAGCAACTCGTAGCGCGCCTGATGCCGGCCCTGTCTTGCATGGACGAGCCTACCTCTGTATCAATGTAGGCTCTTCATGAACGCAAGTACACAGGCAATGAGACATGTCCCAGTTGGATCTTTGATGATGATCTAGCGGCGCTCGGTGTTGAGCGCGGACGGGCGGCAGCAGGCGGGCCGAGCTGCTGCGTCTGTGTGTCCGACTGCGTCCAGGCTTATGAACTGCGGCGGGGCTTTCTCGCGACTCGACCAGTTTCACGAGCAGGGGTGCGCCGTTCCACGTGCGAGTGTGCCAGCTTCAGCCTCTGGGCGCTCTTGGGCGCAGCCAGGCGGCCAGGGTTGTCTCCGCTCAACCTCTCCCTTCATTTCGCAGTTGCGTGCTGGCCTCGACGAATGTGTACAAGTGCTCGTGTGAGGCACCAGGTCCCCCGCTCATTCAATCCTGCAAACGTCCTGTCTGTTTGTCTCTTCGACTCGCCGGCCAGAGCGCCGACGAGCCGATGTCCTGGCGCCTGTACACCTGTGCCGCCCGCTAGTGGAAACATGAATATGCATGAACAGGTCCGAACGCCCCGACGTCTGGACCGCCGACGCCGCCGTTCCTGTATCTGGAACGCCCGGAAACTGGCGCCGCGCCGCGACGCCGCACTCGGATTGGAAGGACGCTACGGGCCGGAAGGCGTTGGCCGCACAGGCGCGTAGAGCACACAGAGCACACAGAGCACACAGAACACTCGGAAGACGGCCAGACGGGCAGAAGCGCGAGCACGGCGGCGCAACGTTACGCCATATCGATGTTCTCGAAGCTGACGAGCCTTGGGAGACAATTAAGTACCAATGTTCAGTGACAAGGTGGCAAGGTGACAACGTCACTAGTGGTACTGGGTCTCCGTCTTGTCACTGGTCACTGGTGCCTTGGCAGGCTGGCAGGCTGGCACGCTGACTGGTCTCGAGCTACAAAGGTGACGAGTGGCACCCACACCGCGCCAAGCAACGTGCCGAGCCACAATGCTGCGACCTGTGACCTGTTACATGCAACAATTCCAACTCGCCTTACCCCTCCCGCGACCAGATCCGGATATTCACCACTTCCGGACTGAGTGCGACTGAGTGCTCGGAGTACGGCTACGACGGAGAATGTACGGAGAGTGGGTCGAAGCCAAACGGCCACTGTCGACATTCAGTTGAGCCTATCCTTCTGCGACTTCTCGCACACGAGGCGCGTAACGGGCCTACGCAGACACGTCAGACCACGTTCTTGGCCATGCGCGGATATGCTTGGTGACAAAGTTTTGATAGAGTTGCCGCGGACTTGCGAGCTGATCATCACAAGCTCGAGAATAAGGGAGGCAAGGGAGGCAAGGGAGGCAAGGGAGGCAAGCTCGGCGCTGAATTCCCACTTCAGGCTTCGAGCAGGCTTCGAGCAGGCTTCGAGCAGGCTTCGAGCAGGCTTCAAGCAGGCTTCGAGCAGCAGCACATCTGGGCATCTGGGCCACTGACCACGCTCTTGTACTCTCGCGGTCATTACTGGACGTCGCCGAAGGCACTCAAGGCACTTGAGGCACAGCTGAAGGCACATTGCAGGCAAGTGCGGAGTTCCTGCGGCCAAACATGCAAACCTTGATCCAACTTCTGCAAAGAGCCACGAGAGGCACGCCTCACATAGCCAGGTCACCTAGACAGGCGGGCTTGGTTCACCCAGCCCAGCGACTTGGGTACGCCTACGGCACCTACGGCAACTCGCCAGGTACATCTCGGCGTATTATGGCAGCCGCGGACAAAACCCAGCACACGGGCACTTTGTTGTCTTTACGTAACTGCGCCGATCGAGTGTTTCGTGCATGTGAAGGTGCAAGCTGCCTCGCTGGTGCGTGCTGGGCGCGTGGCATGACGTCAAGACGAGAGCGAGCGTGAGGTGTAGTCTGGCGTGATCTGGTCAAATGCATTAATGAGTGTGGCGGTCGGCTTGGTCTGATCGTCGACAGCGCTGAGGATGGCTATGCCAGGGGACGCGATGGACAGATCTGCGTGTTACCTTGCCAGGAGCCAGCGTTGTCATCAGTGTAGATTTGTGGAAACCCTAGGCAGATACCGAAAGTTGGGAGTGGCGCCGATGGAATGATCGCCTATGAGAAAGACGACTTAGATTGCGAGCAAGTGAGGATCGGGCCGGAAAACAAGCCAGTGGATTCGCATCGATGTATTCTGCCAGGCCAAGAGCTCGCCATGCAGCAAACTCGATGTGTTCAGGTATTGGATGCCACTCTGTTCTCCCAACGACGCCTTGTTGATACGGCCAGCTGCAGCGAAGCGGCCCCATCAGTGCGCGGATGCCCTGAGGTCGGCAAAGGTTGTGCAGCTGTAAATTACTGTCTGATCTGTGGAAGAGCAGGAATGAACTGCCCTCTCCGGCCACTGGAAGTCTATGCACAGAGAGGACTGCGGAAAAGCACTGACGTCTGACCGTATCCGCATATGCCATTAACAGGCACTCATTCCTACCCGAAGACATTCTCCGGGGCAGACAGAGTAGTGCGCCTTCGTGGCGAGACTTGTGCGATGCTCGTGCAAGAGCAAGACTGCAAATAGTAGTCCGGTCAGGTGGCAGACTTGCTGAAGTCGGTCCTAGGTGGTCGGCATCGCCTAGGCTCGTGTATGTGCCACAACGCTGGAACGGGACCGACGGGAAGCCGCTCGTCATGGAACGGCAATGGAGATCGACAAGTGAGACAAGGCGATCAGACTGCGTGCTTCCGCGGTTGAAACCTCCGATACGTGTGCAGACTTGTGTCATCGTGCCGCGGATGCGGCAACAGGAGCGGGCGATCGCGGGCGAGTCGTACGCGCCGCTATGAGTACAGAATGCACTCTGGGTAATGCGGCTACAATGAAGGTTCCCAACGCCACCCTCTCGGCCTGGTACCGTTACGCTGGATGACTCGAGTCGGGAAGGTTTCGCCCACTCCTGCTGCCCTGCCGCACTGTCCCACGCCCGCTTCTCTCATCTACGAGTGTGCTAAGAGGGTTGCAGATTAGGATTCTACCGCGACCCGTATCCGTTCGCCATCCGTGACGAGCCGCTGCTGGGTCGAACCCTCTCGTCCTACCCTCTCCCTTCCACTTGCTCCTCCCAACTCTGGGTGCGTCCGTGGGCTGCCCGATGAGGCACTTCGTCGCAAACTGGCACCGCCACTCTCAGCCTGACCCAGCACCCTGTCAAGGATCCGCTTCGTCCTGTAAGATCGGCGTCGGCAACCACAACACCCTCCCGGCTGTCATCTGCGACTAGTCTCGGCTGCTGTGACGTCAGATTCAGCCGCGCGTTAGTAACTGCTCATGTCCAGTCGAGTAACGGTTATGCATAACTCGATGTGTCCTCCAGGCAGCGGTTGAAGCTGGTGGGGTTGATTTGTCGGTGGTAAACTACTTGATATTGAGATGGTTACTCCTACTCCATGCAGATTGCAGATTGATTTGATATTGTAGTGTAGTGTTGGGTGGTTGGCTGCTGGCTGCGCTGCTAGCATGCTAGTATGCTTGTTGAGCTGGCTGCTGTTGTGCGGGCGTTAATAAATGCGTGCCCGCGGTTGTCGGTCAGGTCGATTCGTACGTTACTAACTTGCAAAACAAACAACAAAATGATGTCGAGATCGAGATGAGAGAGCGAGAGAGACGAGTCGGTCTGATACGAGGGAAATTGGGGTACGTTGGTACAAATACAATTGTCGGCAAGAGAGCAAGGAGGAGATTGTAAGAGCGTAGAGTGGGAGACTTCTAGAAGTCGTCGAGGTCCGGCTGCGGCAGCGAGCCAGAGGCAGGCGAGTTGTGGAACGTGGGTCCAGCGTACTTCGGCCCAGCGGTCATCGGCATCTTGTTGATGCGGGGGAACTCGCCAACGATCGGGAGGGTAATCGCGTCGGTATGGGGTACTGGTACACGGGGCGGCGTCTGCGGAGCATGTACAGGTACAGGCGCATGCTGCGCACGGTTGTTCGCGTAAAAGTTGGTCGTGTCGAGATCACAGGAGGCTCTAGGTTTCGCATTGCGGGTCTTCTTCGCAGGCTTCGATGGCGTAGCAGACGGCGAGTCGAGCTGCTGCCAGGTGAGCTGCTGGCCGCCGACGGGCGCAGGCATATCCCACTGCTTGTCGGCAAGGAAAGAGGTGGGTAAAGACTTGGACAGATCGGAAACGTCCAAGGGTTCCGCACGCGGAGGAGACTTGCGGTTGTTCTTGTTCTTGGTCCGGGTACGCTTCTTGTCGTTCTGCGCATTCTGAGTCTGGGGGATCGGCAAGAGGCCAGGCTGGAGACGAGACTGTTGCTGGGGAACCTTGGAGACTCCCAGAATGTCAAACAGCTCCTCGTCTTCGTTTGGGGTAGTTTCGGCAGTATCCGTGTTGCTCACGGAAGCATTCTTCCGGGCGTCTGCCCTCCGGCGGCCATGGTTACGCTTCCTGGGAGACGATTGATCCTTGACAGCTGGGTCTGCGGGCATCCTTGGTCGTGGGTGGTGGATGTGGGCGGGAGCAGGGTTGGGTGACGGAGAGTGAGAGTGAGGATGAGAGTGGGAGTGGAATTGCTTGGCGTTCGGAGGTCTTGAGAGGAGTGCAGAATGACTCATGCTGAACATCAGCGTCGTCGAGAGTGTGGATGGTACAATGGATAGGTGACAATGGTGGATATGGAGAAGAGAAGATGCGGCGGCGACGACGACTCAATTCACGCCACCCAAGCTGTGTGCTGTGTGCTGTGTGGGAAGCGAAGAGCCTGACACTTGCATCTTTGCCCACGTGACAGTTTCAGGGACACTTTTCCCAAACCGTCCGTCGTTGTCCGAGTCCGAATTCTGATTTCACTGACAGAGTGACTTTTGAGATCGCAGCACCCGTTCCCACCGACGACCGCGACATGCTCTAGTCCAGGATGCTGGCAAGATCATGGCGCATAACGGCACCTGCGCCAACACACGCCTCGGTACTGTACCGCCGTGTACACGACGATAACGGCGCCGGGCCGTCACGCCCTCGACCTGCTTCCAAGCGACGGGCTCGTGATTCCAGCCGCGAGCTGCGCCGGTTACTGCCGACTCTTCACGATGGTGTCTACGGCTCATATGGCGGCTTGATGCGAGAAATCGAGAAGAACGGCTTCGACGAGGACCGCCTTTCTTCGCTCGACCGGCATGTCATTCTTCATCACATTATCCGCCGAAGTAAGCGAGGAGGACCGCTAGCAATCCAAGCTGCCGCCGAGTTCATGAAAGGGGACGCGACAATTAGGGATCGCACGATGAGCGTCATCTGCTACAAGAAGAATCACACCGTGCGGAAAGTGAAGAAGGTACCGATACAGGCGATATCGAGCACGCAGCAGCCCTCGATTGAGGATCAGCAGCCACTCCAGATCCCTCCAAGACTGGCGGAAGTACTCGTACTTCTGGAGACAATGCAACGTCGGCATTTGACCAGACCGAAAACGCTTTACGACCTCGTTATCCGGCAAGCTGTCGCCGAGGATAGACCAGACATTGCAGCCAAGGCGTTCGTCGGCCTTGTCGAGGACTGGATTATTGAGGGCCGGATAGCTGAAGGTGCAGACCCAGAGGACTTCTACCGTGGTGGCGGCCCTCCCCGTCACAAGCCAAAGAGCACGCCACTTCACCAGCTCTGGTTCTCTGGCGTTCGAACCTGGCGGTGGCCCGGTGAGGCACTCAGCCCGCACGACCGTTTGGATCTCTGGCACCCGCAACATCATGCACTGGACGAGCGTCTGCGAGGCTTCCCGATGCCTGTTCCGACAAGCCCGCCGAGTTTAGTTCCCCACCCGACCTCAGACCTCCTGGAGCTCATTCTTGAGTCCTTGGACATGGATCCGACAACTGTGCATCCGAGACAGTACGCCGCGACAATGCGTGCTTTGGCTATCTTGGCCAACACGATCCTCTCCCGCACCCTTCCGATCAACAACATCCCGCCACTCCTTGCCATGTTCTCCAAGGCCAACATGTATCCCCTGGTATACCCGGAGAGTTTCACGGAGGAGCCGCGGTCGAATGCTTGGGCATACACAGCCAACACGCAGGCTCATGTCGCCCTCGTTTCGCTCATGCTCTCCCCGCCCAACTACTCTCAGGCGGCGGAGATGACCGAAAAGCTGTCGAGGCGCGCGCAGGAGAAGAAGAAGGAAGAGGGGCCGGCACAGTACATGCTTGGGCCGCTGTCATGGCGTTCGTGCCTCGTGCTTATCAAGTACGCGGCAGCGCAGCTGAAGCAGCCCTCAATGGTCACCCGCGTGGTGGCATACATGCGGTCAACATTCCGGGATTGGTCGCCGACGGCGCTGAACGTCTTCTTCCGCTCTTCAAATCGCTCGGGACAATACGGGTATGCGCAGAACGCCGACGACGCTCTCTTCGGTGGAACGACCATTGGCCGCCGAGGCTCGAGCAAGGACGATCTCGCAGCCATGCCGAACATGGATTCGGTCATTGCTCTCATCAAGCACCTGCAGTCGACGGAACAGATTGATCGTCTCGTCAAGCTCACTTATGCGCTGCATCCCTTCCTGCAGTCGGTCCGCGGCGAGAATGGCGACCTGCGTCCCGAAGTTCACCCGCTGCCTGAGTACGTTGCGCTCGTAGAGGCACTGGGCTCGGTCGGCAAGGTCAACCTCGCGCAGCGAGTATTCGGCCTGGCCCTGCACGCCGAGAGCAGTCTTGTCGGCCAATTCCGCCGCGAAAACCCCGGCACCCGCGAGCCGCAGGAAGTCTACCTCCCGCTGCCGATCTTCACCGCCATGATCCGCATGTTCGGCGCGGAGGCTGGCCGCGGCCGCGGCGAGAACAAGCAGCGACGCGGCTGGTTCGTCCCCGCCGAGGACGTTCATCTCTCGCGCACGGCGGCGGCCGAGTCAATGATCCTTCGCATCCACAAGCGAGTCATGACCCGCTACCGCGCCGGCGCCGGGCAGGAGGGTCGCATCGTACCCGACGAGCGTTACCTGAACGCCGTGATCCGTGGCATGCGTTTCCGTTGGCATCTCGAGGCGGAGGACGCCGCGCGGCCGCTGCCCGCGCAGGCCAAGGCCGATCTCGAGAAGTTCTTGGGAAACGTTGCCGAGCTCGGTCTCACTACCCCGCCCGGTCTGGTATCCAAGTTTAAGACTGGCACGATCGAGGGCCCTACCGTCTTCGAGACGACGGCACCCTTCGGCCCTGCCGCCCCACTCCCCACCAGCCCTGAGCTCGTCAAGATGGCCCTCGCTGCCGTCGAGGAGGAGCGCCAGGCCATGCTTGAGGACGAGTTCGAGGAACTCGTCACCGTCCCCGACACTTCGGAGAGGCGCCGCGCCCTCCAGCATTAGTAACATCAGCATTAGCATCAACATTTGAGTTCAGTACAGTAGCATAGCATCCATGCATTATCACTCTGGTCTAGTCTTTTCAAGCGTACATCCCTTGCCTCTAATTCTATCGGTACAAACCCTCTTGCCGAACGTACTCGCCGACGCCGGGTGCGCAGAGACGCTCAGCCAGCTCCCAGTTGCCCTCTTGGACGGCGCGTCGAATCGCAGTCGAGCTGACTTCGCCGACAGCCTCGATGAAGCGCACGTTCCCCTTCTGAGCCCAGTCGCGGATCTTAGGGTGCTCGTTGAGGACAGCGTCAGCGTCAGCGCCGCGAGCACAGCAGACCAGGTGTGCCCGCTCGAAAAGATGATCGAGAGCCCTGTCCATGTCATCGTAGTACTTCGGATCGAAAACTCTTGTGAGCGTATCCGTGCCGACGAGGAAGGTGAGGTGCGAATCTGGGAAGTGCTGCGCGAGGTGGTCGGCCTTCTGTGCAAATGTCGGAAGCGCTAGCAGCGCCGCGCCCGTCTCCTGTCCTGAGCCGCTCATGTGATCAGCGAGCAGGCGCATCATCTCTGATCGCTGCTCGGTCGTCGCATCCGTGCTGCCGGGGACTTTGTCCGCGTTCCGCGGGGAATAGAGCAAGAGGCGGGCCGTGTAATTCACTCGCTCACAGCCGGGATGTCCGGGGAAAGAAGAAGAGGCAATCGCATGATGCGCTGCTGAGGGCGGGTTAAAGGACGAGTCGAGGATTGCGAGGTGCCCGCCGCCCACGCTGACGGGGCGGAGGAGCTCGAGCATCGGAGCAACGAAACGGCGCACGGTGGAGAATGTGGATGGTCTAGTTGAGAGATCAGGTGGAGGTCATACCCGAGAGCCGAGATAGTGGATCGTGGCCTGCCACTTGATCATCCGTAAGTTACCTAGCAGCCCGCACAGTCGTGCTTCCCAAGTCATTCAAAGGCCCCTGTTCGAATGCCTGTCCACACAGCACTAGGCATCGGGTAGCCACCTCAGAAGCATTGCGTTGTCCAGGCCACAGCGGTAACATTGAACTGGTGACCTGCTCTGCGACGTAGGCGGTTGCGGCGAGGCACGTGACGGTCCAGTAGGTCTGCCTTTCAGAGCTTCTGCTTCTTCCCTCGTTATCAGATAAGAGGGCAGACGAGCATGCAAGCTCTCAGCCTGCATACGTACCTTGGGACGGCTCCAAAGGTATATCATGCTTGAAGAGTAGTAGTCGGACGGACGTTAGAGGCATTCGGAATCGCCTCGCGGCGCAAAGCCCGTCGATGGCAAAGCGCCAGGCACGGGTCATATGAACTCCGAAACAAGCCCTGCTCGCCTCGATAACTGACCTCCACCAGACGATCTGCAGGCGAGGGGAGATGACACATGTCCGCAGTACGAGCGTCCGAATTCACATCCGCATTCTACCTCTTGTGACCTCCGCCAGACGACGAAATGAGCATCCCAGACAGTGCGGACCGCGGGCGAAGACTCGACCACCAGCAGCGAGCTGTGAGTGACAGTTCCCATGGCCTTCGTCACCCTCTTGCCCATCCTTCTCTCACCCAAGGAAAGTGAAGAGGCACGAGTCCAGTCAGCCACTGGAAGGAAGACGACGCTCAACGAACTCATGCAGAGAGCTGGAGCTACTTCGATTGGAATAGCATAGCTGACGAAATAACAGTACCAGCTGCAGGTTGTCGGAGGACTGCAGGGTATGGGTCGGTGGACGGTTTACGGTCTTCTCGGCGTCGGAGCCATGCACGCTTTCTGGCCCCTGTTCCGAAAGCAGACGTGGGCGATCAAGGCGTTCCTCGTGACGAGCTGTGAGTTACATTAGTCACTGGTCAGAGCTGACAGTATAGCAAGTATCTTCGGGCTCTGTATCGGTGCTGGTGAGTAGTATTTTTCTTGTTTTTGCGCAACAGGAGAGCGGTGAATTCCTCACCGGATGTGCGGCCCGGACCCACCGGAACGACATGAGTCCGAGCACTTCGGAGTGAAGACAGCTCTCGATAAGGATTGCACAGCTAACATATTACAGAGGACAACCTGCTCCGATACGAAGCCCAGCAGCGAGCAACAGAAAACGCATTGCGGCGTGAAGCGCGCAATGCCCTCGCGCTGAAGGGCATCATCGCTACTGAGGGCGAGATCCGCAAGTGGCTCAAGGAGCAGGAGGCGGAGCGACGGGCGATTTCCGAGGCGCGGGCCAAGGTTGCGATCGAGGCGATCGACGCTGGCGACGCGGCCGAGTCGGCCGAGGCTGGAAACGTTGCGCGCCTCGCGACTGCCTTCCACGAGAAGCGGGACCAGGCTCGCACCCAGAACACGACGCAGGAGGTTTCCGAGCTCGCCGAGGCGATCAAGAAGACGCCTGGATCTGTTGAGGTCGACACCTCTGCTCCTGTGCCGGCACCCGAGGAGCCCGCCGCAGAGAGCAAGTAGAGCTCGTTCTCACCTCCCTCTTCGAATAGCCACCCCACTCCCCAATCTCACAGCAACCTGATCAATCATAACATTCATACAGATGTACTACAGCACACATTCTAATCTATGACAGATGCTCTACTGACGACTCATTAGCTTTCAACTAATAACGATCCGTAACCGTGCCAGCTCTCTGGATTACGTGCCCACTTCATCTCCTCCCACGTCTTACTCCTACGCCCCGCCTTGCGCCTTAGCGTCTGCACGAGAACCTTTGCCGTGTCTCTCGCGAGCTCTCTGCGCCCATAAGCCGCATGAATCTGGAACAGGATCTCGATGGGATAGTCCAGGTGTATCTCAATCCTCTCCTTCTTAAGGAGGTGGACGACGCTGCTGATTTCTTCGACTATGCCTGGTTCGCACGCGAGCACGTTGATACCCTGCGTCGTACGGACGCTCTCCCAGCGCACGAGCAGGTCCATGATGCGCTTCCTGTTCTTGTCCGACTGACGCCCCGTGACAACGTCGACATCGCACCCGGGGCAAAGACAGTGGAACTCGTGCAGCTCGCGCAAGATCTGCCGCCGCTTCGCACGCGAGTTGAGCAGGTCAAACTCGTCCACATAGGATGCCCTGATCTCTTCGCCCTCTTTGATGTCACGGAGCGCCATGAGGTCTGTCTGTCAGCTCTGATCATCAGGCAAATAGCTGCAGGGCTCTGATCATTCGTCAAGTAGCTGCAGGGGCACACTCACATCGCTCTTGCGCTTCATTGTCCCAGTACCAGTGAGAGTTGGGACAGCACGAATGGTTCGTGCGCGAGATGTACTCGAAGATGGCGGACTGGTCCTCGCCATTCGGCCCCGTGTGCGGAATGAAATTGGTCGAGATCATGCCGACGAACGGGTCCTCCGACTCAGTCGTCCAAGGGAAGGAGAGACAGATACGACGCTCCTCGTCGCTGAGCGCGTCGAACAGTGCGGGGACGCCCGAGATGTCGCTGTCGGTCACGATCAGAAGCGGCGACTCGTGCACAATGACTTGCCCGTTCTTGATATCGCTCGTCGCGCGCAGCCCAAAACCTTTTCCGCTACCCACTGCGCGCGGTCCACGAGCAATCCGCCTTTCGCCGCCCTCGACGAGCACTTCGTCAAGACCGTACAGACCCTCGATCTTCTCGTACACTGGTGCCCTGCGGGGGCCATAGTAGTACAGCTCGCAGAAGCGCTCGTCCGCACGAGATCGCTGGCGCACCACCGGTACCGTGGGCCGAGTGGCGGACAAGAGGCGTAGGTCGGGGTCCTCCTCATCCTCGATCACGATCGGTTCCGCTGCAGTAGACACGGGCACGGGAAGGTCACGGCGCCTTCGTCGTCGTGCCTGTTCGGGGCTGACTGGGGGTGGAGCCGACACCAGACCAGATGAACCTGACGGCCTAGCAGTCGCGATCGGTGAGTCGGGGACAGGTATCGGTGGTGCGTTCGACGGCGGTTCCGGGAGTGCCTCGTCGTCATCGTCGTCCGCTATGACGATCGGTTCGGTCGAGGCGGGCGTTGAGCTGTTGCGTGCCAAGGGAGATGCACGCGCCGGAGTGCTGCCTGTACGGGGCGACAAGTGGGGCGCACTCGTCGATGTGAGGAGCACGCTGGTGCGCGTGACCTCGAGCTGGTTCAGCGGTTCCTCGATGCCTGCCTCGAGACCCGTGACGGCGGGGGAGAGGCCATTCCGGGTATCGCTGCTGTTGCTGGGGCTGCCGCTGGGTTCACTGGCAGTGACCTCGCTGGTGCCGCGGAGTTCGCTGCGTGGTCTGTTCTGCGCCTGTCGATCGGGTGAGGGTGTCGGGACCGCGGACTGTCCAGTCAACAGCCATCCGAGCTTCTGCAATCGCTTCAGCTCTTTGCGTTCTTTCCGTTCTTTGCGCTCCTTCTTCTTGAGTTTGTGAAGGCGCTTCTTCTCCTCCCAAGACTGCAAATTCGTCTTGGCCTTCTTCGCGCGGTGCTGTGTCGCATTGTGGTCCTCGAAGTGTGGCGTTGACGTGCTGGCGGCCGGACTAGGGTGCGGTTGTCGACGCTCAGGGGGTATCACAGACGTCGACATGGCGAGTACGGGCCGCCTTGATCATCATACAATGACCATGCGTCGTTCGAGGGCGATGGAATCGTGGTTGTTGTAATGTTGGATAGACTAGTTTCTGCGATCAGGACCACCTCGTTGGGTTAGTTACACTCAGGGGCACGGGTGTCATGTGGGTCACCTATCTCCGGCCAATGGGGCCCAGCTGGGAACGTCAGACCTGTCGCGCTCTCGATCGCATCGCAAACAACAATAGTCAGTGGATGCCGGAGAACAAGGCGCAGACTCAGCATCAGCCATGAACCACTCCATCACACGTATGGTCCTGGAGTAACGAACAAAAAGAACGACCCCAGTTCAATGGCAAAAGAATTCTCCGCCAGGGAGTCGAACCCTGCTCTATCGCGAACTTTCTAATCAGATGATGAGAACTCTCTCTAATGAGAGGCGATTATACTAACCGATATACTAGCGAAGATCAATCCACTGGATTTGGCCCAATCTGGGGCTACGGCATACTACGTCCGCTACGCGACACTAAAGGGCGTACACCTGAAGTTCCCAGACGCGGTATGCATTTCTGAAACACAGTCTGGCGGATGCCATCCGTTGGCGGTTGGGCGCCAAGCGCGCCAACATGGTATATAAAGGGTCGCGCATGATTTCAGTTGCTGGTGAACTGTTTGCAACCTCCATTCCATCGTTCCCATGTCATTCTTTACGACGGCAGAATGCACCTCATGGGGTATATGTTCATGCAATGCTTTGTCTATGCGCTATGTGTCTACCCGGTCCTCATCCCTGGCAAATGTTAGTGAGCTCCGCCGCCACGCTCGGGGGGAACGTGAAGGCAGAGGTGAGGCTGGTGCCGAACCTGTCGACAATGGTCCTGATGCCGTCGTCAATGACGTCGGTGACCTTGCCGATCTGTTCCCGGACACCGTCGCTGGCGGAGTCGGAGACCTTCGGCGCCTCCTTCAGCAGCTTGGTCTGCAGGGTTTGAGCGCCCCAGCGAACGCGAACGAGAGCCTCCAGCGTTGCGGGGAGAACGACCTGAACGGCGCCGTACTGGTCCTCGGTGGCAGAGGCGCAGGTCATGGTCTTGAGGACTGTCGTTAGCTTGAACTTCCATGTTCTTGAGCTTACTGTCAACGACCCGCTTGAAGCGGTCAAACTCGGGCACACCGTTGAACACCCGTCGACGCGCCCACTCGTTACCAGCCCAGTTCTGGTAGCAACCCCGCACGTCCTTTACCCAGCGGAGGACGGGGCCGATGACCGGCAGACCCAGCGCCCACTGCTCAGCTTCCTTGACGGGCTTCTCAGCCTTCTTCAGGAGCGTGACCTCCTTCTCGTGGATCACGTGCGCAGCATCACGTATCGGCGCCGGTGTCGGACGGGGGGTGGTCTCCACGATGGTCGAGACGAGCGACTGGATGCCGCTCTTCTTGGCGGGCGGCTTGAAGATGTTGCCGCTCTTCAGCGTTACAGTGTGCATGTCCGGCTGAACAGGGGCAGAGGGAACCTCCTTCTTGGCGGGTTTGCCATCGGCCGTCAGGGTGCTGTACACGCGGCCGAGCTGGATGATCATAACGCGGTACAACTCATGAGTGAGCGAAGGCTTGCCGGGGTCGGCGAAGAAGATGGCGCGCTTTTTCTTGGCGTGGACAATGCGCTGAATCTCCATTACCGTGTGGTCGAGATAGAAAGGGTCCTGGCTCTTCATAGCCTCAAGCAGGTACGCCTCGGGGTTCAGAGGCGACTTGCGAGTGAAGCTCGCAAAGTTCAGCGGCTGGGTCATGTACGTGTCCAGCACCGCGAGGGTGGGCTTCAGAATGACCAGCAGCGCGATCTCGGACACAAAGAGGTACCATCCCAGAGACCAAGACACGCTCGAGCGCGACGTCTTAGCAAAGTTGAGGACGAAGGGACGAGAGAAGCTGACGTACGAAACCAGCCAGCGCCACGCAACGCCGCGGAAGGTTCGGTAGAGTGCGGTGAACGCCAACGTGAAGGTGGCGGAGGCAGCGAGGTCACCCCAGAACGGCCCGGAGAAGCACTCGACAATCTCGTTCTTAACGGCGTCAGTGAAGTTGACATTGGTCTTCTTGGGCCACTGCGCGTAGTTCGTGTCCTTAACAAGATCACGCAGGGCGAAGAGAACAGCGAAGCAGAAGTTGCCGAAGACCAGGAACCACAGACGCTCGTTGCCGTGGTGCGGGGCGCGCTTCGTGGGCTCAAGAAGTGCCAGGTTGGAGTCTGGCTTCAGATTGTTGACAAGGCAGCTGTAGAAGAAGGTGAACACCACAGTGCACCACGCATAGCTGAAGAAGATAGCCAGCGAAGGGAGCGAGAACAGTGTCGAGAAGCCCATGCACAACCGAGACGGAGGCGACTTGAGGTGAGGAGGTTCTGAGAAGGTTAGCATTTGCCCCTATGGCTGGGCTTGCGCAGACTCACTCAAGATCCATTGCTGGCGAACACGCAGAACCCAATGGATGGAGGCAACATACAGCACCGGACCCGCGAGGATAGTGAGCAGGCCAGACAAGAAAGAGTACCTGAGACCTGATGTCAGCTTGCAGCTACCTTGGTGCTATCTCACCCAGAAGGAGGGCCGGGGTAATGGCAAACGACAGAGTCGTGATCACGGCCGCGCGAACAATGAGGTTGAGGGAGCGCGATCGCAAGAATTTCTGTACGTCAGCTCGTCGCCGACCGCCTAAGCTGCATTGAAAGCTGAGTTAGGATTCCCGCAGCGGCGCAGAAGCTGTTTCTGATTACAAGCCTTTGCAAGCGGCTTGGATCCACTGCAGCCCAGCATTGCCTCAGAATGCTTCGAACTCGCACGCTGTCTACCCACCCTGTAATGCGCATTAATTCTGGCGAGAGGCTGGGGTCAGTTACGGTGCAAGCTGAACTAGCTTACCTCGACAGGTTTCACCGGCCTTACCGACGCCGCTCCTGTTGCCACGACCGTTGGCATTTTTGCGTGCAGCTTCCGCCGAGAAGGTAGGAAGCAATGGTGTGCAGTGTCTGGGGACGCTTGATTGTTGACCTGGGCTTGATGTTTTCGTTCGTGACGTCGGTGCAGCGTAGGCGTGCGAGGCACCAAATAACGGCCGCAGCGATTGACAGGCCTAAAGGAGCACGTGGACTAACCCTGGCGGGATGGGTCTGTGACGGCGGCTGCGGTGGAGGTAGGTCCTCCAGACTTCGAGAGAGTTCCAACCATCGCCGCCGACACGTCGCGACTGACTTGATAAACGACAGAGGTCGCCAACACGAAGACAGGCAACCAAAAGCAAAATGCCGCTGAACTATTCCAAGTGGGACAACCTTGAGGTGAGTTGGGGTGGAATGTCGAGGTGGTGGGAAGGTGTGATGGCGCTGACGTCAAGCTCTCTGATGACTCGGACATCGAGGAGCACCCCAACGTCGACAAGCGCTCCATGATCCGATGGAAGCAGCGCGACATTCACGAGAAGCGTGAGGCCCGCAAGCTGCTCATCAAGAAGCTGCACTCTGAGCTCGACCTGAACAATGTCCTGCGTCCCCGCATCCAGTCCGTGATTGATGGCGTCAAGGACAAGGGCGTCGACTACTACCGCTCGGTCCAGCGGCGGATCAAGGAGCAGCCGTCCGACGAGAAGCCCGACACTGGTGCGCCGAACCAGCCGACTTACGACATGATGCTCGGCCAGCTTCTCAGCGACTTGTGGCGCGAGTCTGCGTGGCTTATCGACGGTGACGCCAAGGTTGAGAACGGCGTCGTCACCAAGGGTGGCAAGAGGTTAGAGGAGAAGGACGGCGCGCCCGCCTGGTCGAACGAGGCGACGATCCCGGACGGCAAGAAGGAGGCGATGGCGAAGACGCTGCTCGAGCGTCTCCAGTACCACATTGCCGAGCTCGACAAGCGCTCCGAGGCTGTCAAGAAGGAGGTTGCCAAGGAGGAGGAGGAGATGAACAAGAAGATCACGAGTGACACGATTCACGACGGCTTCTCAAGTTCCGCGGTCAACAAGAGCGGACCGAGCCCGCTCGACAAGCCCAAGCCTAAGACTGCGCCGAAGAAGGAGACGGTCGAGGAGATTGAGGTTCTGAACCCGGGTGCTAGCGTGAGTTGAGGTGATATCGCAGTCAGCTGACAAGCAGTCAAGCAGTGCCGTGTCGAAGCCTGCTGCAGACGAGATTGACGAGGACGACGTTCCGAGCCTGTCGACTTCTGCCCGGAAGTTCGCCAACATTCCGATGGGCGACTTCGAGGCCTCTTACCGTTTCATACAGCAGGACCCGTCTGTGCTGTCCGAGTCGACGCACGATGCTCTCCTGCTCGAGGCGTTCTCGGCGGAGCGTCGCGGGGAGAAGGACCTGGCGAAGCGTTGCGTTTACCAGTCACTGCTGGTGAACTACTGCCGCGAGCTTGGCCGCGACGGTGTCGCGCTCTTCTTCCAGCGCATGATCCAGAAGAACCCAAAGTCGCTCAAGATGTTCGCGGACGACTTTAACCGGACGTACAGCCATGTCGAGCGGCGATCGAAGGAGCTGGCCGAGGAGGAGGGCCCGGCGGAGCGTGAGCAGATCCAGCTCGTCGCCGAGGACCCGAACATGAAGATTGGCTTCAACATTCCCGACGGCCCGCCGCCGGCCGAGCTGCGCATCGAGGGCGAGGGCGCGGAGGAGCTCGACATGGAGCAGGTCCGCGCCTTCCTGCAGCACAAGTGGGAGCTGTTTGAGAGCTTCCCGCCTGCGTTCAAGGACGCGCTCAAGACCGAGTCCCTCGACGAGGTCAACAAGCAGCTCGGCAAGATGTCTGTCGCTGACGCAGAGGACGTTGTCGAGAAGCTCCAGGAGGGAGGCATGCTTAGCTTCTCCGAGAGCGGCGTCCGCGACATGACCAAGTAGATAAAAGCATAGCGCGTAGCGTATAGTGTGTATGTATAGCCTGCAGCATTACGTAGCAACAGCTAGTTGATCATGCTGGGTATCTCGGTGGATGCTCAGGTCATGTCCGTCGATCGCTAGCGGAAGCAATCAGATAACAAGACATGAGCTGCCTCCACCTCTCTCGCAGGCCGCATTTCATCATCGCCTAACTCCAGTTCCATGTCCTACGTGCCCGTCCACGAGCGCGTCAATCCGCCAGAGTACCCCACCTACGCCGACAGCATGAGCGACAGCGAGCGGAGCGTTCCGGAGGGTCCGTCTAAGAAGCGGCGGAGGGAGGAGCATACCCCCGAGGTGGACGGGCGACACGCCGCGCCGACCCCGCCGCCAGCCTCTGGCTCTGGCTCCGGCTCTCGGACCGACCACGGCGCACCCGAACCTGCTCCTCCTCCGCCAGCAACATCGGGGATCAGCCCGAGCATATTCGGCATCGCGCCGCGGAACGAGGTCACGCGCGTCGTGGGCGACTTCATCATGCGGTTCGGGAAGGGCAAGCCGAACCTGGAAATCGAGGTGAAGCTGGGCACGGTGTGTAATCCTGGTCGTGAGTGGAATGCTCTTGCGCAGCAGCTGTAATTAGGGGCGGGACAGCTAACGGGTACAGCGGAGAAACGCCGCGTCCGCCTCCCCGCGCTGAGCGAGACGCTCCTCCCGCCCGACTATCCCTCTACCTTCTCCTCAACCATGTCGAAACAGCAGCACGCGTCGATCAACAATCTGCTCAACAGCGCTGTGCAGGATTCGCGCGGTGCAGTGCGATTCTCGCGCGAGCAGCATGTCGACAGTCTCTATCCCCCGCCTCCGGGACTCTTAGAGTCTATAGGGCACCACGGCAGCCACAACGACAAAGTGCGTGTCAGCACGGACCGGGGCGGAAACGTCGTCGGCACGATAGTCAAGACGCGTCTGGCCGATCTGAACGTCTACTCGCCCGGAGAGTGTTTCGACTGGCGCGTCAGCCTGAGTACGGAAACGCCAGTGCAGTTTGAGCCGAATAGCCAGCCCGTCAACGTGCGCGAGAAGGACCGCGCGGTTTATCGCGCAGACACGTGTCGCGTTGACCTCACTGTTGTCACTTCGCGGCAGGGGAATAAACAGCCCTCCCTCAGCTATGAGCTCGAGATTGAAGTGCTCGACGCACCGGGGCTTATTGCCGAGGGAGAGAAGGAGGAGAGGGGCGAGCCAAACGTGTTTGACGAGGTGCTCCAGAGCGTGCTGGATACGGCGCGGTTGATTATCCGCAATGTTTAGTGGAATTGCGAGGGAAACGGGGATGGGACGGAGGAAGAGGAGGAGAGCTGGTGGCCTGTGGACTGAGCAGAGTTGCCTGAGGGCAAGAGGAGAAACCCACGTCTATGCATTTTCCTTCATACTATTGCATATCTATACTACGCCGACACTGGCTAGCGCTCACGAACTGACGCTCGCTCGCTGATACGCTCAGTTGAACCACTTCTCCTTCAGATTCTTCCTCGCGACGGCGGGGCGCGCGACGGCAACTCCGACACCAAGCGCAGCCAGCGTCACGAGCAGCTGGAGCTTGTTGAAGCCCTGGCCGAGAATGTCAAACGTGCCGCTCGGCTGCAGGGCGCGCGTGCAGAATAAGTCAGTGCCGTAGGCCAGCAGAAGGCCAGAGCTCTCCAGCAGACTCGGGGCGGGGACGAGGTGCTCGAGTCCAAGGACGGGGTAGACGTGCGACAGGATCGAGGAGCCGCCGGTGGGGAGGAGTGAGTCGTAGGGGATCAGCATCTCCTCCTGCTCCGCCTTGGTCGGCTTGCCCTCCGGACGGCGGGGGTCGAGCAGGCGGCGGGGCATGTATGCCACCTGCCCGGCCGAGGTGATGAAGACGAGGTCCTTGGCCGTCACACCGTAGGTCGAGGTCGTGAAGCCGAGACCGCGCACGGCGGTCTGCAGAATGAAGGTGCGAGTCTGGGCGCGGATGCGGGGAGTGGTGGCAAGCGACGAGCGGCCGGCGGACGAGTTCGTCGGTGCGTCCTCGTACAGCTCGACAGATCCCAGGCGCCAACCGCCGGAAGCACCGCCGGCCTCAAGCCAAGCGTACACGAGCCAGTTCTCGACCATGGCGGCCTCGAGCTGGCGATCCTGGACGCTCGGGACGAGGGCCTCGTAGACGGTGGATCCAGTGACAGTGTCAATGACGTAGATGTGGCCGTTGGCGACCCTGTCCTCGCTCTCAGTGACGGACGTCACAACCGTGAGGTGCGGGTTCATGTACTTGTAGAGGACAGACTTGTCACCAAGTGCGCGGCCAAAGCTAGCCGTCTCACTCGGCGTCAGGGGCGCAATGTCGAGGACGGCCTGGTTCGAGAACGCGCGCGACCAGACCTCCTGCGTCGTGAACGTCTGGTTGTCGCCCTGGAGTCCGGGCGCGAAGCCGCGCAGCGTGGTCGTGCCGTGCCTCTCATCGTGTTGCGTCCAGAACATCTCGCCCGCCTGCGCCTCGAGCGCGTTCGCAACCTTCTTGCACTTGGGAAAGATGGAGAGCACGTTGTCCGCGTCGACAATGCCGAGGACGCGGTTACGAGTGCAGCAGTTGATGAACGGTGTGACAAAGACGGACTTGGCGCGGCCGACGCACAGGAACTTGCCCAAGGGAATGTTGAACTCGTTTACGTCGCCGGCGACCTCGCCCGTGAAGGCATCAATGTGGTAGCCGAGCGTGAGCGAGTAGCCGTTCTTGGTGCGCGTCGCAACAACGGCGAGCTGCGGGTTACCAGCTTCGGACACATTGCGCGTCTGTCCAACCCAGAGAACGTCGAGCTCGGGTCCGTCCTTGGTGAAGAAGCCAAGGTTGCGGGTCCAGAGCGCGTTGCCGTTGGCGCTGTCGAGCGCAAACACCTTGCCGCCCTTGGTAACGGCCACGATGAGCTTCTGCAGACCGAACTGGTCACGGTTCAGGTGACCCGCCTGGAGGGGCGGGGTCTGCGCCACAATCTCGGTGGACGTGAGGCGCTGGATGAAACGCAGCACATAGCCAGGCGCCTCCTTGAGGAGACCGATATGGCGCACAATGCGCGCAGGGAAGCTCTCGTCCGCGAGCGTCTCCAGAGTCTCCTCTGTCGCCGGCTCACCGAGGTCCACGAACTGCGCGGCAGCGAGGTCGGCGAGTCCCTCCTCACGTGTCCACGCGACGGTCTTGGGCGGGACAAGCTGGATGGCGCCCGAAGACGAGGAGAGGAGCAGCGTCGGCTCGCCCTGTTCAGTGAGCTGCGGGGAAAGGGCAACGCTGGTGATGACGCCGTGCGAGTTCATGTCAAACGGCACCTCGACGTCGGAGCGAGACTGCTCAACACCCTCGGCGTTGAGACGGAAGGTCTGAACCTGCGTGCTCTTGGTGACGAACGAGTAGAAAACGTACGCAAACTGGAACGCCTCACCGGAGCAGCTGCCAGAGTACACGGGGGCAGCCGCGCCAACAGAGCCAGGAAACTCATTGACGACACGCGCGCCGCGAGAGTCGACGACAAAGACTTGAGCCTTGTCGTTCTCAAGAGTACCGAGCATGAATCCGTTCGCGCGGAAGCCGACATCGACGAGGCCGATATACTTCGTGCCCATACCGGCGGCGCGCTCACGCACGGCGCCAACAGTTCCCTTCTCAGGCTGAAGGACAGACGAGTGCACCTTGCCCCTCTCGGTCCAGACGGCGGCGATCTCGCCATCGATAGTGCGCACGAGGAACGCCTCGCTCCCGTCCGCCTCGAGCGTGCCACCGATCTGGGTAAAGTCGGAGAAACCCATAGTCTTGAGGTCGAGCGTGATAAACGACAAAGTTGAGCGGACATACGCCGTCGTAATGTCGAGCACGACGACCTTGTCGTCCTTGATCATGATGTTCTTGAATCGGTTCGCGCTGATGTCAGCTTGAACTTCGGATTCGACGTAGCTAGTCTCCGTACTTACCCAGTCTCCGGCCACACCATCGTCCACTGCTGGGTACCCGTCTTGCGGTCAATCTTCGTGAGACGGGCACCGTCGGTCAGGAGCATGAGGTAGTCGTCCGCGAGCGCGACGTCCCAGCCATACTTGGACGACGGCTCGTTCTTGACGCTGACGGGGTTGTTCCAAAGGAGCGCTCCGGTCGACAGATGGTAAAGGTTCAGACCACCCTTTGTGAGCAGCAAGACGCCTGAGAATGGTTAGCCAGACAAGCACACTCAACCATTTTGTCTCAACCGCAAAGCGACTCCGAATCGTGGGAGGGAAGGCGGAGGAAGGCACTCACCATCGTCCTGAACCCAGTACTGGAACGGCGTGTCGATACTCTGTCGCCACCGCACATCGCCCGTGTTCTCATCAAGCACAGCCAGCACCTTCTTGTCCGTGACGGCGACGACTGCGCGGTGTCCGTCGATGTCGACAAACTGCGGCGGCGCACTCGCCAGCGGCTTGCCGATCAGGGCGCGGTGCCAGTCGACGATGCCGGCCAGATTCTCCTGCAGCGCGCTGACGACCGAGAGCAGCGCCAGCAGCGCCAGTAGCGGTGCCAGGAGCACTGCGAATGGACCTCGCATGGTCCTACTGTCGATTGGTTTGTCGGTGGGTTGGATGAGAGATCGCAAGACGAAGTCGTTAGTGGAGGGAAGGACGGCTGTGACGCGGACAGTGGCGCCCCGCATTTTCCCAGTTTGGCTGGCACCGAGGGAAGGGTATGCCGGATGGTGCACACGAACCTGACGGATTTCACTGTTTACATTGCGAAGGGAACCGAGGCAGCCCCGGGGGGGCCAGGTGGATGGTACAAGGTGCTGCGGTAGTACTATCTGACCGTGACATATGCAGGTGAATATAGACGGAGTGGTCGGTATTAGGTGAATGATATGGAGTAGGGTCCGAAGGAACGCGAGAGGAGGGAGGTTTCTGCGGCCCACCCTCTCCGCCATGATCAGTTCGAGGATCGCGGCTATCGTGCGGGAACCGGAGCAGCCACTGCCGCGGCCTTGGCCTGCTCGTCGCGTTCGAGCGCGAGGCGTTCGGCATAGGCGTCGTACGCATACTTGATCGGCTTTGCGGCGTAAACGTCGTCGAGCGACACACTGATCTCGCTTGCGTTGTCCGCGGGCGGCTTCGTGCGTCCTGTGAACAGGCTATCGGGGTCAAAGTCGTCTGTAAGTTAGCTCTGCGATCAATGTAGCAAAGCTTGGGAGGCAAACGATGTGCACGAAATAGTGGTGGTGCTGTACTCACTGTCAGGATCGGCCCTGCGCTTTCCGAGCGCTTTGCGGGACGGCATCTTGGGTGGCGCATCGTCGTCGATCTCCTCGGCACTCGACTCGGGAGCGGGAGTGCCGTTTGCGGTACCGTTCGGTCCTTCTGTGCTGGAAGCGTGCATGTCCGAGGCAGCGTGCAAGCTTGCGGTTGAGTTGTGACTGCGGAATGCGTTCGGCAGGGGCAGCGGGCGAGGACCACCCATGCGTCGCGCCGCGGGCTGCTTGTTCCCGACCGGGGAAGGCGCACGCTGACCAGTCATCGCCGGACGGAGGGGCGGCTGCGGCAGCGGGTGGTCTTCCGGCGACGGCGTCGAGGATCGATCGGCCTGGAACCCATTCATCATGACGCTGATACCAGCTCCTGTGGCGGCGCCAACGGCAGCTCCGGCGGCCAGTCCACTGGCGATGCCCGGAGTAGTGCCCAGGCTTTGCGCACTTGCAGGGGTTGCGGCACCGGTGTAGACGGGCGACATGGGCGCGGACGGGGCGACAGGCATGGCGATTGGAGGTGGAGACAGGGCAGCGGGGCGGTCCTGCGGCATCCGCATTTTCTCGAATGAAGCACGCATCTGTTCATGGGAATGGTGCTGGTCGTGTGACTGGCGGGCGTCGGCATCCATGTACTGGCCTGGCGACGGAGAGCGAGACGCGGCCGAACCCTCGGCGCGCATCGTCTCGTCCACCATGAGCATATCCTTCTGCCGTCGGTCCATGCGGGTGTCCTTCTTGCTGATCTCCTCGACAGCGCGAACTTCCTTCTCGTATGCGGCAGAACGCGCGAGCTCATCGTACTGCTCCATAGCGTCAGAGAGCTTGCCGTGCGCCTCAAGGAGCACGTCGAGCGCACTCTCCTCCGGAGTAGCCATATTGGTCGCCTCCTGTAGCTCAATCGAGTCTGCGACACGGCGCGACTTGGCAGCCTCCGACTGCGCCCAGTCCATTTGCGTGCTGAGCGAAGTGAAGGACTGCTGGCATCGAGAGTGATACTCTTGCAGAATAACCTTGTCGTCGAACTCTGACGGCGCAGTGTAAACAAGCGCCTCGGACAGGATTCGCGCATTCTCCTTGCCCTCGGACGCCTCGACGATGAGCTTCTGAATGTCATCCTCGTGGCTTGGAGTGACGTGATACTTGGGCCGGTCGCGCGGTTTGCCCCGGTCCTTAACCGAGTCTTTCGCTTCCTTGCCGTCCTTGTCACGCTTCCTCCGCACCTTGTCCCGCTTGTCCTTCGGTGTCCTATCGGTTCGGACCGTCGCGGTCGTCGTGTTGATACTAGCAGCGTCCGACGGGTTGGGCGGCAGCGAACCGGGAGAATAAAGAAGGAAGTCATCGGGCAGAGGGCGTCCGATGTCCAAGTCCTCAGGGAGCTTGATCTTCTTCCACAGCTCCTGGAGGCCTTCGCAGCCGCGTTCGGCGTGATAAGCGTACGTGAGACCAGCGAGAACGTCGATCGCCCAGCGCAAAGTTGCCTGCGACGGTGGAGGGTCGAGTTTGTTGGTGACAATGGGCTCAACGGCGGCCATGAACTTGCGGCACGTGGCGAAGTCTGTGGTCAGTCAACAGCCCCCAACCAGAAACTTACGGTGGTAGGGGCGAGTCCTCACATTCCGCATCGTCAACCACCAGAGACGGGTGGCCATGCGGCGCTCTGGGTCGGTGCCATGCTTGAACACCTTACGCAGACCACGAGCAGCATCCTTACTGGCCGCGTCGGGGTTTTCGGACAGGTTGATCTTCTCGCAGAGCTCGAGGACGGCGTTCTGGGTCGTTTCACGGCGCGAGCAGAGTTGTCCTGGATACGGTTAGCACACAGCGGACGTGACAGACTAACTGATTAGCTGATAGATGTCCTCTTCCCCTGCTGGGGTCCTTTGCAGGCGATCGGCTGTGCGATCTCGACTGCGATTCCGATCGCCGTCCCTGCGCGGACGGTCGGTTCCGGTCTCGCGCGCGGAAGTCAGAACCTCGATGGACACTGCGTTCGAAGCCGATCGGGAACGCGAAGAGGGCTTAGGCGCGACTTCCATACCACCGTGCCCAAGCGAGCTGGCGTGTCCCCCTGCAGTCGAAAGCTCAGCGTCACCGCGGTAACCTTCTGCGCTAGGCCTGTCTTCAACTGAGCCAGGCATGACGACAGGCAGATCCTTGTCGAGGTGCACAGGCGCGGTCGTGACTGTCGGTGTCGTCCCGTTAGAGCTGACAACGTATTGACCGTGGCCATGGGACGAATGTGTGTCAATGGGGTCAGGCTGGCCGTGTCCTAGGCTGGAGGCAGCCTCGTCTTCAGGTCGGGGCTGCACAGGGTTGGACTGGTGCTTCGATAGCTTATTGTGCTTTCGATCGCTCCACCCGCTCCAGAATCCTTTCTTCTTCTCCTTGTCCTTGTCGTCCTTGTCCTTGTGGGAGCTGGAGGCTGAGAAGAAGTGTCTTGAATCGTGCTTGCCGTCGTGCCTCACGTCGAGGTTCTCCATGCGGTTTGACTCTGGGACATTGTGATGATGACCTCCACCACCCATGATCGAAGGCATGGAGCTGCGGATACCAGAAGCGTTCAGTTCTCGTCTTGACCTCGGTCGATGGGCCTCTTCGTCGCCGTCGTCGGCACTGGTCGAGTTGAAGTTGTTGGCTAATGGTGATCGGTTCAGAGGGGATTGGCCTTGGCCACCCTTCCCTCCCAGCATGTTGACGACCTGGGGGCTGGGGTGAACGGACCCTTCCTGGTCGGATCCCCGCCCTGATTGAGACGAAGCGCTGTATCCTCGACTTCGCGCGCTTGAGTAGCCGTCGGGGCCTTCGTAGCTGGATGCGGTGATGTGCGGTGGGAGATTGGAAGCGACGTTGTGCAAGCTGGGAATGCTGCCTTGGTGGGAGTGCGAGAAGCGGCCTGACGTCGGGGGAGTCGAGGGGCGAGTTGCGGGGCGGAACTGGGGCGACGGTGGTCCCGCACCGGGGGGCAGGAAGAACGCGGGCTGTGCGGGTTGTGTGGGTGCTGTCTGGGACATGGCTGTATCCGGTCTGGCGTACATCTGCGCGATGGGAGGGTCGTTGGGCGAGCGTCCGGGGCCCGGCATGCCTGGGGATCTGGGTTCGGGCGTCGGCATAACATAACTCGAACCTGTTCCACCTGTCCCCGATCTCGATCGAGGGTTCGCCATGCTCGTCCGATCGTTGCCTCCATCTCGCCTGAATGGAGCTGAGGCAGCCTCCTCCTCCATCTGTCGATAGTCGGGCTGCCCAGGAGCTACGGGGGCACCGCGAGCGCTGTCTCGCGGCGGTCTCGGGGGAGGTGTTGCGGAAGCCAGAGCGGCGCCGCCAGGTGGAGGCGGAACCGGCTTTTGCATCATGGCGGCGTTCATGGGCTGGGGAACGATCTGAGGCTGGACCTGCATCGGTCCAGCCGGAGTGGAGTTCGGGTGAGACGGCGGCCTTGATCCTCCGTTCGCGCGGCCGGCGTCGAGAGGGAAAGGCGTCACAGTTGCGCTTTGGTGGCGGCGCTTGTGTAAGTCGTGGCCTTGCATGATACCGGAAGAGCGCTGGTGTGAAGTCGACATGGGAGTCATGGAGCCATCGCGCTCCTGCTCGGACGACTTGGTTGAGCGGTTAAAGAGCTTCTTCATTGTGGTGGAAGCTGCAGCGCGAGCGCCGTCGGTATACTTGCGAGAGAAGCCAGACGTGCCAGAGACGCCAGTCGTACCAGTCGAACCAGGGGAAGCGGTCGACGGAGAAGAAGCTGGATCTGGTCTTGGCCGAGAGCGAGAGCGAAAGCTCGAGCTCGAGCACGCTCGTGACGATCGTGCGTCGACCGGGCGTGGACCGGGCGGGCCGAGGCGATGCTAACGAAGCGGAGGCGCACGAAGCAGGCTCAACAGGCTAGTCGGGCGGGTCAGACGGGCTGAGATGGCGGTGCCGGCTGCTTGGTGCCCGACGTGACTTTGTTGCCCTTGGACGGACTGGGTTCTGGCTAGGCCTGGTCAAAGTCACGGCTGGGTGTCGTGTTCGGGAGTGTGCGTGTCGTGTGTCGTGAGGAGTCGTAATGGCGGGGGCGGGGGGCGGG